ACCTTGAGTCACATATCCAAGAATTGACTTCTATATACAATAGGCAAATTTCCCTTCTAATGAAGGGATGTGGCTCAGTAATACACCACATGCTTTGCCAGAAAGTGGTCCCCACTAAGCAGCTCTAGCATTCCCAGTTGGAAAGACCAGGTGGCAAGTGATGTGAGAGCTCTTTACTTGAGATTTTGGGGAGCCACTGCAAGTCAAAGCAGGCAATACTGCCCTTATATATATAATTGTGTCTGAGCAAAGATGCTAACTCTGGAGTGGCTAAGAGAAATTGACTAGGGCAGCTTACCTGTGATTAATGTGTAGAAAGGATAGTAAAACTACTGGGTAAAATTACATGACCTTGGACTTAAGCATCACAAAAACATGATCCATGCACAGAATTCAGAATCTAGCTAAGCATCGGATTATGGTCAGGACGACAATATATAACATATTTTTAGACCTCACAGTATTTGTAGCAGTTATTGGAAGAAAAAACTCTTGTGGGACCCTAAGTTGTGAGATTTTCTTTATTTGTTATTTGAGATATATACAGTGGTACCTCGGGTTAAGAACTTAATTCGTTCTGGAGGTCTGTTCTTAACCTGTAGTGAGTATGAGTTACTCGTGCGTAAACTGGTGCCTCTCTAGGCTAATTTGCCTTGTTAAACCTTTCTGACTGCACAGCCCTTTCTCATGGTGACTGCCTCAGTCGCTGGCAGAATCCATCAGTGGGCGTTTCTTGAACCTCTTCCAACATAAAAGTTGTTTGACACCCAGTCTCCTCCTCCTCTCACTGCGCGGGAGTCTTCTGCGCAGGGAGGGCGTGGGTAGCGGAGGACCTGTCCCCTCCTCACTGAGGTCCAGTGAAGAGTCCTGGAGCCCTCTCTCCGATTCCCCCATCTGCCCCCCTTTATCCCTCGTGTTGCGCTTAAATGCTTCCCCCTCCACTGAGCTGTTTCTCCCCCTGCTGCTGGGTCCTTCGCCAGCATCATCTAGGAGCCTCCCCTTCGCCTCTCGCCCCGATGTCAGTTCCCTGACATAACCTGAAACTGTTCTTAACCTGAGGTACCACTTTAGGTAATGGGGCCTCCCGCTGCCTCTGTGCTGCCGCCATGTGATTTCTGTTCTCATCCTGAAGCAAAGTTCTTAACCCGAGGTACTATTTCTGGGTTAGAGGAGTCTGTAACCTGAAGTGTATGTAACCTGAAGCATATGTAACCCGAGGTACCACTGTAATTTAAAACCTCCAAGTGAGGTTATATACACACACACAGCATTATTACAGATCCATACTTATGCTTGGAGAAATAAGAAAATACTAGAGTCTCAGTTTCCGTGTAAAAAAATAAAATTCTCTCTCTCCTTAAGATAGGGAATGAATGCTTGAAGGCACATACTGAATATATGCCCAGGAAGTGACATCTGTCTCAGTCTGTCATCAAAATTCCCAGCTCTTGAAGTTTCTATTTATATTGGGAGAAAAATAAGACAGCTTGCCTAACTCTTCCCTTCAAACACATAATCCAGAATTTTTAAACCTGTTAACTGTAAATTCTGAGACTATAAACAACTGAAAAGTCCCCATCTATTTTCTTCTTTCTCCTCCCCTCCCCCCAGATTCTAACTTCACTTCCATTATGGATTCCCACCTCAAATATGTTAATTCATAAAATGGGTCCACACTGTGAAAAGGGCAGTGGAGTCAAAGAGTTGGCCATACCTTTAAGGTTACATGGGTCCGGTGTGGACAGTTGAACAGGGGGAGGGGCTGTCTACACACGGGCTTCCAGTGAGCTGAACCCCTGACTGTACAGGGCCCCAATTCATGGAGAGGTCTATGTATGCAAACTTTTCTAGCTCAGATATCAACGCTCGACATGTGGATGTTCGAAGCTGAGGCAGGTGAGCTCTGCCAGCAGCTTTCAATGCATGAATAGGGCTTAACTGATTCTCCCAGCTGCTCAAAACACTTTCTCCCCTAGGCTGTCCCGCTGTCAATCACCTAAAGAGCCCCACCAACTTTCTAACACACCCAGTAGGTGTCCTGATAGGAGAGTAACACCTTGCTCTGCAAGAAGAGGGGGCAAATCCAGGATTATCATCGCAGAACACAGGGTTCCTTGCAAGCAGGTCTTTGCTATGTAAATTTGCCATCACAAGAGGGAGCTCTTAATTGCTTTCTTAATGAAGTCATTCTATTCAGTGCCTGAATCACAGAATCATAGAAGTGTAGAGCTGGAATGGACCACAAGGACCATCTAGTCCAGTGTTTCTCAACCTTGGGTCCCCAGATGTTATTGGACTACAACTCCCATCATCCCTGAGCTCTGGCCTTGATAGGTAGGGATGATGGGAGTTGTAGTTCAACAACATCTGGGGACCCAAGGTTGAGAAAGGCTGATCTAGTCCAATCCCCTGCAATGCAGGATTTTTTTTGCCCAGTGTGGGTGATTTAGATCATATGGAAAGTTTTCTAAGGGCCCCCAAAATTCTGGGGACTGTAGTTTAAAGCTGTTGAGTGTTGTTAGGGGACACCCCCCAAAATTCACTTTACAGAGTGGGCATATGTTCAGTGTGTGTATTCAAGTATTCCTTCCCTATGTTAAGGAGGGGAAATGTTTTGTTTTTTACATAGAAACTGATACTCTAGTGTTCTCTCATTTCTCCAGCTGAACATAAGTATGGGTCTATAACAATGGTATAGCCATATTCTGTCTTTCTAGGGGGGGGGGAAGACATGCCCCTGAATGCCTTTGTATTTAAGTCAGAAAAAGCTACCTCTGAAGATACAAGCTACATGTCCAGCACCTATCCTCCAACATTTCTCTGATGAAAATAGGGACATCCTATTCCGGGGACGCGGGTGGCGCTGTGGGTTAAACCACAGAGCCTAGGACTTGCTGATCAGAAGGTCAGCAGTTCGAACCCCGCGACAGGGTGAGCTCCCGTTGCTCAGTCCCTGCTCCTGCCAACCTAAATCAATTTAAAGATTTATGGACAGTCAGGCAAAGCTTCCAGGATGATCGATCAAAGCAAGCTTTTTACCGTAAATATGTGTGTGTGTGTGTGTGTGTGTGTGTGTGTAATATTTATTGAAAAGGTAGCAATGGTGGTGCCACAAAGGTGCCTCTAGGGAGGAAATTCAAAAATGAGGTGCCACCACTGAGAAGGCTCTCTGTCTCAAATTACCTCAGGGACGTAGAGGACAACCTCCCACTCTAACCTCTGGTACATAGCTCTTAAGCCTTGTAGGGCTTTCAAGGCAAACACCTACACTTCAGATTGCGTACTTGGAACACATAACCACCATCAACCACTGAAAGTCTAATGAGCGAAAGGGAAAAAAAGGAGCTGCATATTTCTGTGAATATGCAGGAATCAAGTATTAGCACTGGGAAACCTGCTCAGCTAGGGATTATTTATAGACAAGCTGAATGTTGAATAAACGTAACCCAAGGATTAATTAGCTAAAGCCTTATGTTAACCAAAAACGAAGAAAGAAAGGCAACACTATCTGGTTAAATATTAAGGAGTCTGTTGTGTGTGCTTTCAGGATCCAGTTGCAGTTTCTCTGCTAACACAACGTAAAGGGGAGGGGGTACAAAGTTGTCAGAAAACCCTTATGTCTGAAGTTTATTAAAAATCATAAGGTAACTTGGAAAGTGCTGGTGTCCACTAAAAAAGAGAGGTGGTTTCTTGCCACCCTCCGATCCGCCCACTGTGTAATCCAGTCCAGTCATCCCCAATGCCTTGCTACAGCCCTGCAAATTGTTCATGCTCTGCGCACTAGTCTGACATTTACATAAGTAATTGTTTAGGTTCGCAGTTGCACATTACTAATTTATATCTTGCACAGAGCAAGCTCTGGAGGCAAAAAAAGCAATCTGTTAAGTTATCAGCCCATAACTCTGAGGAAGAAAGAAAGGCAGCAAGACATTTTATCCTCCTAGGAAAACTAATCCCATATGCTGAGTGGAAAAAACAGAAGATGTAAATGCTCGCCGCTTAACAAACGGGTGAGTAAAATTATGAGCCACACTGAAGGCATAAATCTGTACCAACTATCTGTGGAAGGTTTCGGGCAGGGTCGCCTTCTGAGCAGGGGAATAAATGGGGAACCGTTTCACAAAGCCACGTTCAGCTTTGGACGGTGTGTGAGGCAATAAAAACGAAGGTGAGAGACCTCATGGACACCTGTGGTTTAGGAGATCGATCTTCTAGGTCTCCTTTGACAAACAACCACTAGTCCTCACTACTGCAGACATGGCCTCTTCTCTGTCATGTGGGTCTGCATAGACCCCAAGGTCTGTACTTGATGAGGGGAGAGGGAGAAAAAATTGTTCATTGAATTCTAATTAAGCAATCCCTAGCGTGTATGTCCCATCTTCTAATGCAGATTCTCTGTCTTGCCTTATTTTTTGCTTCAGTGGCCCCTGGCTAAATCATGCCCCTTTCTTTCTCCTGCTCTCACGCACCATCATGTCTTCTATCTTGCCTGGACAGATTCTACAGAATATTTACATTCCCATTTATCTGTGCCATGGAGGAAGGACTACCATACAAAGGGGGCATCATTTAAAGCATGGGTAGGCAAACTAAGGCCCGGGGGCTGGATCTGGCCCAATCGCCTTCTAAATCTGGCCTGCAGATGGTCCAGGAATCAGCGTGTTTTTACATGAGTAGAATGTGTGCTTTTATTTAAAATGCATCTCTGGGTTATTTGTGGGACATAGGAATTCGTTCATTTTTTTTTCTTTTCAAAATACATTCCGGCTCCCCACAAGGTCTGAGGGACAGTGGAATGGCCCCCTGCTGAAAACGTTTGCTGACTCCTGATTTAAAGGATATAAGAAGATTCCTGCCTGCTCCATCAGTTCAAAAATCCATCTACCACACAGCAATATGTTTCCAATAGAGGCCAGTCAGTTGCTTCCAGGAGGCCGCGCAAGGATGGTGCAACAGAGGGTGGCCCAACCCACAGCCTTTGGGCGCACGAGGCCGATTTTTTAGCAGTCCTCAGCAACAACGTAAACTATTAGAAAAAATGTAAGTATGGTCATCTTTGGGTACCTTGAGTACGGTATCAGAAGCAATAGCTTTCAGTGCCAACAGATGGCACTGAAACATGGCATGACTACCAGGGATGCCAACTTCAATAAAATATGGGGGGCAGGTAAGCCCCATCCCACATAATTGCTCCCAAGATGTGGTGCACACACACCATTTGAATGGCAATGCCCATCAACTTGGGGGGCAGCCCCCTCAAATATTTTATTGGGGGAGCCAAAGGGACCTCAGCAGCTAGGAGGTGGCTCCTATGATGGCTACATATACGTACGACATCACTTGAGTCTTCACCTGCTTTCATATTTTGTAATTAATTATATATATTCAATTAAATATATTGTGTATATTCAGTATTAACTATATTACAAAAACTTTAATTTATGATACAGAAATTGAATTCAGTGTGTGGGCCAAGGGTTCTGTGTTGAAGTACTCTTGTGGTCCACTGAGTTCTTCTTTTAATCTGAATGCCACCCAGATCACCCCAAATCTGTTCATTTGCTCCCAATTTTCCAACAGATTCTGCTCTGGAACAATTCCATTACGCTCATTTAATACCCTCCATATGCTCTGTTTCTTCATAATTCACCCAGGAATATTGGAAACCCTTAGATAAAAAGATCTGGGGCCTGTGCATCATGGGCCCGGCCCCTCTAGGAACGCCTCAAGTTTGGCAAAGGGTTTGGCAAACATTTCTGCCACAAATGAGATCCTTAAGCCATCACAGTGCTGTGTACACTAGAATTTGCATTGCTCTCCAAAGACATTGCAGAGAATTCTCCAAAGGGCTTTCCTTCATGTTTAAGTAATGTTGTGCAATGTAATGCCAACAGGTGCTTTCCGTGTCGAAAAGAGATCAGAGCTGAAAGTGGCTGGATAGGATTGGTACCTCGAATCTCCTCTCAGCCGGCAGTCTGTAAGCTGAAGCGGCTGTGTAACAGAAGAACAATGTCTGGGAGAACTAGTAGTTGCAAGTTGACTTGACGGCAGTGCTTTGTGAACAGCAGTAGGTAGCCGAAGAAGGCAGCCTAGCGCGCAACTGCATATATATAACTGGTGGCCATAATATCCTCGAGCAAGAGAGAAAAAGATGCCGAAGAAGAAGAAGAAGGAGAAATGTGAATTAGAGGTCATTATGGAAGATGGTTTGTATGGAATCACCTGTATTTGGTCACCATTTCTTGGACCTTGTGGGAAATAACTTGGCTTTAAATTCTTACCCAGTGCTCAATGAATATGTATTTGAGATTCCTTTGCAAGAAAACGCAAATCAGTAATTTGCACACTGTTAAGAATAGCAAAGCAGGAAAAAATAGAATTGTGCATGGTTTTAAACTTACTTTTCTCTAGCCCAAAGTTAGGAGATGTTTTCCCCACCCCATTTTATGAGTTATCTACTGTTATGCTGAAGTACCAACAATAAACATGATCGTTCCATTTGCTGTTTTGCAGTCGGGATGGAGATAGATGGCCAACTGGAGAGTGACTCAGAAAGTGAAGGTAAATGATAGCAGCTGCCTTTAATGGTGTTAAAGAATTTATTTTCCCAAGAATTACATGCAGTGTGTATAAACTGATGCATACAGGCAGTGACATAAGCAATTGTTCAGTGATTGCCGGTCGTCGGGGTGTGTGTGTGTGTGTGCTTGCCTTAAAATGGGTGGCTAATCCTTTTCAGGCTGACGGTTTGGGCCAAAAGAGAGACCAAAAGAAACTGGGGGTGGCGGTGGGGTGCGTCCAAAAATGCTCTGGTTTCTCTTCAGATCGTATAAATCTTTCGCCTTCCATGAAAATGTTTTGGCGTCACACAATTGCAGCTGGGAACTCATGGGGTGGTCAATATATGTTATCAGGGGGCAAATAAGAATTGTAAAATACGGACAAATTTGGGGGTTCCTTGGGAGCCCACAAAACAATTTTTTGGCATCATGGCATGATAATGGAAGACCCATAGGAGCAATCATACATACATACATACATACATACATACAGGTTTGGAAATGATTTTTAAACTAAAAACTGGGGTGGAGGGCACTTGGAAGGCTACAAAAAACGCACCCTTTTGACAAAGCACCATTGTGTGCAGGTGCATTTGGCATCAGCATGCTTCTGCGCATGTGCAGACAACGGCAGCCGCTTCTGCGTGTGCACAAACAGCAGAAGCCGCTTATGCACGTGCGCAAATCGCAGCAAACCCGGTATTTACTTTCGGGTTTGCCATGGTCACAACTTGGATCAGGCCCAAGTAGAGGCGGCCGTAAGTAGAGGGTCTACTGTACTTCATCCCAAAAGAAGAATCAAAGTGTGCTGGACCTGAAGCATCCTATCAGATGCATGCCCACCCATCCACCTGAGAGCAAGGAGATTCCATCACCACTCAAAGGCAGCTGATTCCAATGAACTCCACTTACAGTTAGGGAGTTCTTTGTAATGCTGCATCGAAACTTTTGTGCTGTGGCACTGGTGAACTACTAAATCCATACTGGTGAGCTAAGCATGGAAGTGGAGCTTCTAAATTCACAAATTTATAGTTTTGGCAAGACTTACGGCAGTGATAAGAGTATAAACAGACCAAAAAGTGATAGAGTGGGATTGTGTAAAGGAGTATATGAAAAAATATGGATGTGAGGGCGATCTGGCTGAGACATCTGTCACCCCATTGATCGCCAGGGTTGATTCAGCTGATCTGGCTGGCTAGATCCCCTTCCTCCCTCACCGCTCCATTTGCGTCCCTCCCGAAGCTCCATGCTCGGTGGAAGAGGACGACCATCCCAGATAGAAGGAGTGTACCGTTCTTCGGTCAAGGGTATACGATATGAATATTGTTCTGGTATAAATATATCGATATGCAATGAATGAAGTTTGCAGGGTAAAGATAAGGAGGAATTGGTTATAAGAGGTATAAAGGTAAAATAATATTAATAACACAACAATCAAACTTAAAATGAGAGAAGAAAGTCATATACGGGTGGAGGGAAGTCAAGATTATATGTAATTTTGTTTGGACTTTTATATTATGGATTGATATTTTTCCTTTTTCATTTGTGGCTGTTTTTTTGTTTGTTTTGTTGATGTTGTCTATTCTATTTGTTTTCAGTTATTGTAATTAGCAATTTAAAAAAATAATCCACAAATTTCCTATAAGGGACTCACCCATGGTATTGCCTACTATGTGAATGTCTTAAAAGTCTCTCCTAACATACTTGAAATAATAGTATTATTAACCTTTAGGGCACTTGACTGACTGTTACGATAGATACACAAGTTTGTTATAGTGGTGTGATACAAAAACCAGGCTGATCCAGAGACCACGACAGTCATTGAGGATGTATATTCATGCATCTGATTACTTGTCTGTACTAGTAGGCTATTCCGTATTAACTGATGGGAGTTTTATTGAAAACAAGCATTTCTCCCTTAGATACAGATGAGGAAGAGGATGAAACGATAGTCAGAAGGAGGAATACAAAGGAAACTGCTAAGGCAACAAAAAAAGAAAATGAGAGGGATGCTGATGATGAAAGTGATGAGGATGATGGAGAGAGTTCCAGGAGGAAGAAAACAAATAAAAAGAAAAATCAGAAAGCGGGGGATGATGTTGATGGAGATGAAGAAAGTGAAATGGAAGAAACAGCAAAAGGCAAGAATAAGGGAGGAAAAACTGTTTCCAGCAAAGAGCAAAAAGATGCTGCAAACAAGAAAACAAAAGGGAAGAAGAAGAAAAAGAAAAATGCAGATGAGAGGTAAAGATCACAAAATATGCTTAAGGACTTTGATATTTGGGCCTTGGGTACAGATAACTATTTACAAAACGTCTATGCTTTTCTATCAGTTCTGAGTGGCACACAAACATTTAAATCACTGCTTTTCTTAGCAAAATAAACATCTGTGGAGTCCATTGCTTTCCCAGCACCACTTCTGTGTACTCCACGAAGATAAATTGAGATTTAATGATGTGTGCCTTTCAGGAGTAATGCAAATACAGTGGTACCTTGGTTCTCAAACTTAATCTGTTCTGGAATTCCATTCCAAAACCAAAGCATTTCAAAACGAAGGCGTGCTTTTCCATAGAAAGTAATGCAAAACGGATTAATCCGTTCCAGACTTTTAAAAACAACCCCTAAAACAGCAATTTAACATGAATTTTACTATCTAACGAGACCATTGGTCCATAAAATGAAAGCAATAATCAATGTACTGTACTATAAAATAAATAAGACAGTATTGTAGATGATTAAAAAAAAATTAAAAAAATTCTTACCTGCACTGATGATAGTCATTGCTTGGATGGGGGGGCTTTTATCCATTTCCGCAGTCACACAATCAATCAATCAATCAATCAATCAATCAGTAGCTGAACTGGGTTCCACACAATCACAAAAACAAATTAACCGGAAAAGCCTCAAAAACTAAAACGCAAAATAAATAGCAAAAACAAAAGTGCCAAACTTAATCCGTTCCGGAAATCTGTTTGACTTCTGAAATGTTCAAAAACCAAGGCGCGGCTTCTGATTGGCACTGGGGCCCCTGAAACGATAGCCGACAACTGCATTGGATGGTGCCCTTCAGCTCTCTATATTGGACAAACAGGCCAAACCCTACATCAAAGGATAAATGGACATAAATCTGACATCAGGAATCACAAGACAGAGAAACCAGTAGGAGAACACTTCAGTCCCCCAGGACATTCTATACAAGATCTCAAAGTAGCTGTCTTATTACAAAAGAATTTCAGAAATAGACTGGAAAGAGAAGTTGCTGGATTGCAACTTATTACCAAACTTAAAACCATGGAGAGACCTGGTCTGAATAGAGACATTGGATTCTTATCTCATTATTGAAATTGAAATACTTCATTGTCACTTGTACAACTTGTATACAGTGAGATTACACGAGCACCTCCCACTCAGCTCTTAGTCTTAATTCCCCTCGTTTACTGACGCACACCCACCAAACCCGAAAGTCAGTTGCCCTGTTGTTATCTTTTCATTCAGCAGCCTAACAGCCCATGGATAGAAGCTGTTCTTTACCCTGTTGGTGCGACTAATCATGCTTCTATATCTCCTGCCCGAGGGCAGGAGATCAAGAAAGTGCTGGCCAGGGTGTGAATCATCCCTGAGAATTTTCCTCACTCTCCTGAGGCAACGTTCTTCTGCTATTTCATCCAGCGGATTCACGGGGCAGCCCATAATAATTTGTGGTGTATTCACCACCCTCTGTAGGCACTTCCTATCCGTTGACATCAAACCAGTGTACCACACCGTGATGCAGTATGAAAGGACACTTTCTATTGTGGACCAGTAGAAGGAGATCATCAAATATTGATTGACATCTTTCTTTCGCAATACTCTGAAGAGATGAAGTCTCTGTTGGGCTTTCTTAACCACTAAAAAGCTATTTTTAGCCATCTCACCCCTTGCTTTTTCCTGTAACACCAACTACAGTCATTAGCAGTCATCAAAAAAATCTTACCTGCACTGATGATAGTCATTGTTTGGATGGGGAGCTTTTATGCATTTCCGCAGTCACACAATCAATCAATCAATCAATCAATCAGTAGCTGAACTGGGTTCCACACAGTCACAAAAACAAACTAACCGAAAAAGCCTCAAAAACAAAAACACAAAATAAATAGCAGAAACAAAAGCGCCAAACTTAATCCGTTCCAGAAGTCCGTTTGACTTCCAAAATGTTCGAAAACCAAGGTGCACCTTCTGATTGGTGTAGGCGCCCCGGAAACAATAGCTGAGAGCTGCATTGGACGTTCAGCTTCCGAAAAACGTTCAAAAACCGGAACACTTACTTCTGGATTTTTGGCGTTTTGGAACTAAGGTGTTTGAGAACCAAGGTACCACTGTAGTCTGTTGTGTATTCAGGCATCAGTGTCCACATTTCATCCTTCTTTCCATCCTTTATCAGTAATGGATAATATTGACCAAATCACCCAGTATCTTACATCTACCATTACTTCACATGTTTACTGAACACACGATAGCCACGAAGTATGTGACACATGCCAAGCTATCCATGGTCAACACCTGTCATCAAATGCAGAGTGTTTTTGCACGTGTTACTCCTGTTTTTGCAATGGAACACAAAACACTGGACCCTGTGCATAGCAGTGACTGCACATGGTGAACTGAACGCATTTGATGAGCTGATACATGCAAGGTTTCAAAGCACTCACCACATGAACAAAGGAATGAACTGTCCCTGGTCTGGTCCTGTCTTTTTGCTCCTAGTTCTTCCTCATCTCCCAACTCCTCAGACGATGAGTCTCTATGCGAAGAGGAACTGGCCAAGCTAAAGGAGCAAGTGGAGGAGAAGAAGAAACTCATTTCGATCATGAGAAACAAACCCTGGCGGATGGCAAAGAAATTAGCTGTGCTGAGGTAACCTGCAACACTCCCCCCAGTGATGTCCATTTTCACAAGGGATAGGTATGTGTTTAGGCTTCTCTTTCAAAACGGCAGAAACTGCCCTGCAGCCACTATATCACTTTGGGAAAGCAACCAATGTTTGCCATATCGGTTGCCTTAACAAGAAGAATACTGAAAGCAGGAATCTGTTATCGGTCTTTGTAACTGAAGGCCAGATGATGAGTAGAAATCTCTTTGACTGATACCCAGCTTTGGCTCATTTTATTGCTTCAATTAAAACACACAGGCCTAAATGCCTGGCTTTCAGAAACCTTGTTGAAGTAAGCTCTCTGCTCTTCTTTGATTATTTATGCTTTTTGCTATATATACGAATCACAGTGATCCTTTCCCAAGAGCTTTCAGGTGTTAGACATTTGGAAGCAGTTAGGAGAAACATAATGCACCAATTACTTATTTGTGGAGTACAGCTGCCAGGCTCTTCCAGTGAATGACGCAATGTGCCCTCAGCTAATAATGTTTACTGGCCAGCATCAGGGAGTGGCTAAAGCTCAATGGTACAGCATACAGCTGGCTTGCTGAAGGTCTCAAGTTCAGCCCTTGGCATCTCAGCAGGTGAGAGGAGAGCATTCTGTCTGGGACAGCTGCTGCCACTCAGACCAGACAACTGAGCGAATTATCTGATTCAGTATAAGGCTTCATGTGTACATTAACTGTTTTAAAACCTAATGGTTCATTATGGCTGTTTAAGAAGGCCCTTGGCTGAATATTTTCTCTTTTTGGCATATTGATGTTTATCTAATAGTCATTTTGTTTTATTATAGTCTTGATTTTTCTGCTGATATTTTGATTTATGATTCAGTTGAACTGTGGGTTATTTTATATTCACCATCAATTTCAACTGAAAAATGGGCAGCATGTTTTTCATAATAATAATAATAATAATAATAATAATAATAATAATATAGTGCAAAATGATGTCCAAATTATTTCATACAAAGACCCACATGTACAGCTAGAAGAGAAAGCAGGGCAAGTTACTAGATGCTAAAGTATCAAGGAAACACAACATAAGGAATTAGGGTTGTGGTTAATTATGCCCTACTCAGAGTAAACCAACTGAAATTAGTGAACTCAAGTGAGCCATTTCCAGTAACTTCAATGCCCCCACCAATTCAAGGCACCACAGAGAACCATGTAGATCAGTAACCCCTCATGAAAAAAATGTAGGTTTTGTGGTGAAGATACATCCTTTAGTACTCACTGAAAGCTCCAAATCTGAGTAAACTGGTCAGCTGACATTTGGAGTTTGTCAGTTGACGTAACTAGGGAGGGAGACACAGAGAGGACTACCTCAACATAATGTGGCTTGCCATCTTACTAAGAAAGTTGTTCATGGACAATGATGCAACAATGACCAAGTCACAATGTTGAGAGAGAAGAAACCATGGCAATTAAACCAGTTTACATTTATAGTGTAAATATCATCACAGAGGAGAAATGTTGGATAAGAACCCCTTTGTATAACATGACAGCAGACATGATTTCAGATTCCTTCATGATGAAACTCAGACCTTGGCACTGTTTTAGAACTCAAGCACTGTGACTTCAGTGGTTATACTGCATTTGTGGTCAACACAACGGTAAGTGTTAAAGCTTCTGCCAACTTCCAGAGATGCATTATTATTGCTGTTGTCGTTAATATAACCGCCTTTTCAAACTTTAAATTAGGGAGGCTCAAGCTTTTGTTGAAAAGTTTGAAGGTGCCTTGGGGAAAGGCAAAGGAAAAAAGTTGTATGCCTACAAAATGATGATGGCAAAGGTAAGCGACATGAGGAACTCTGATGAATGTAAGGTTTTCCTGTAATTTAATTGGTGTGTTTTTGCTGCTGCACTGCATGAAAATGTTTTTTAGATGGTACTTGACACTATCAAAATTATCTAAAATTTACAAATTAAAATCCAACCTATGTTGGAAGTGTCAAGAATTGGAAGGGATGATGTACCATGTCTGGTGGGGCTGCAAAAAGGTAAAATGTTTCTGGGATATTATACATGAAGAAATAAAAAAAGATGCTTAGGAGCCCCATAGAAAAGAAACCTGAGGCTTACCTACTGGGCCTTTTGGGGAAAGATATTCCACAAGAAAAGAAAGTAATTTTCCTGCATGCTACAGCAGCTGCCAGAACAGTATTAGCCAGTAAATGGAAAAGTGAAATAATTCCCTCCAAAGCGTATGTAAAATGAGTCATTATATACAACTGGCAAAATTTACAGCAGCCATAAGGTTACTGTAATCAAAAGTTAAGATTACAATGGAAATGCTTTGAAGATTATATAGAAAAACACTGTTCACAAAACAGTATGTTGAAATGTACAGATTAAGACTGTAGAGTTTACAAGAAGAATGATGTTTGAAATGAAATATGAAAGATAATTCAGATAAGGAATGTAATGTAAAGATTCAATATAATAGATAACAGAAATCGGGATGTGGTGAAGGGGAGTCAAGGGTGGGTGGTGGATTATATATGTAATTTTATTTATATTATCTTTTTGGTTTTGGTTTGGTTTTGTGCCCCCTTTGTATTCTTGTGTATTCTTGTATTGTTTGTATTGTTTGTATTGTTTTAAAGAAAGAAAGAAAGAAAGAAAGAAAGAAAGAAAGAAAGAAAGAAAGAAAATGCAAATACAGGAATTCAAAATGTTGAAGTTGAGTTTTTAAAGCCATACAGTGGTACCTCGGGTTACAGACGCTTCAGGTTACAGACGCTTCAGGTTACAGACTCCGCTAATCCAGAAATAGTACCTCAAGTTAAGAACTTTGCTTCAGGATGAGAACAGAAACCGTGCTCCGGCAGCACGGCGGCAGCGGGAGGCCCCATTAGCTAAAGTGGTGCTTCAGGTTAAGAACAGTTTCAGGTTAAGAACGGACCTCCAGAACAAATAAAGTTCTTAACCTGAGGTACCACTGTACTTGAAATACATATTTCAAGCACAGTCAATGTTGAAATAAATGGAAGAACCAAACCGCTGCTAAATAGGGAAGGCTGTATGAACAAGGATACCTTACAGTACTTAGGTGTGTCTTCACTTGAAACAGGACTTCCCAACATATTTTGTTGCCAAAGGCAAAGAAGCAAATGGCCTCTTTCAGGTCAAGGTGCAGAGTATCCAAGGCCAGTTAAGTTATTCTGGCACTTCTGACAAAAAAACCAACAACCCACATACACCTCTCCTTGGGAGTAATAGTAATAATAATCAATTTGCTGCCCTTTCATGGCACTCAGAAATCAGCTGCCTCACTCTGCCTAATGGTAAAGTATACTGCTGGAAAGAAGAGTCAAAGTAAAGTCCACTTGTTCTCCCTGTCATTGATCAAAAGAGCTCAATGTCACTGTCTAGTTGAAATCCAGCAGTTTTAGATGAGGGGCTCATCTTTAGTTTTTCAGGACAGCAATAAATAATTTTAACAATTCCACAATCCTGCCTGCAGCGCCAGAGCAACGTTATCTTCTACTGTGTTTATTTCCAGAAATGGGTCAAGTTCAAGAGAGATTTTGACAATTTTAAGACACAATGTATACCATGGGAAATGAAGATAAAAGAAGTGGAAAGTAAGCTAACATTTCTACTTATTTAATAGAATGCTTGTCGATACTGTTTGGAAATCCCTAAAAAGAATCTTCATAGACCAACCTTAACATCACAACCCAAACATAATGACCTGTCCCTCATTTGAAACATCCCATGCTCGCTGTTTCACAAAACACTTCTTTTGTTTACTAAGTTTAAGCACTGCTTTTCAACTTCTGTTTCCAGTGTACAGATAAAGAAGATTTCATTAAAATAGCAAGCCTCAAAGCTACATTGCATGCTTTATTTTGGAGAACTTCAAGATAACAGACTTACCATATTTTTTTGCTCTATAAGACTCACTTTTTCCCTCCTAAAAAGTAAGGGGAAATGTGTGTGCGTCTTATGGAGCGAATGCAGGCTGCACAGCTATCCCAGAACCAGAACAGCAAGAGGGATCGCTGCTTTCACTGCGCAGCAATCCCTCTTGCTGTTCTGGCTTCTGAGATTCAGAATATTTTTTTTCTTGTTTTCCTACTCCAAAAACCTAGGTGCGTCTTATGGTCTGGTGCGTCTTATAGAGCGAAAAATACGGTAATAATTTCGTTCTCAGTGTGGAAGGAGAATGCTAGTTATTGACCACTTAAAAACTTGTTGTCTACATCCAATCACTATGCAACAAGGATTTCAGCATATGCTAATTTCTTTGCTTGTCCAGTACAAACAGGGGTAAATGAAGATGTGCAGGAAATAATATTTTAATATTAGTCCTAAGGTGTTGTTTTTTTAAAAAAATCACTTCAATTTTAGTTTTTTATTGTTCTATGGGAATAACTACAACCCTCGTCAGGTTGATTCCCTGATATTTCTCCAGTTTTTCACATGCTGGCTGCTTATTCTTCATCAATGGTTTGCATTTATTCACTGAAGCCAACACGGGCAGTTGTCCCATGTGCTCAAAAACATGAGTATGGTGTGTGCTTGCCTGAGGAGACGCCAAACTTGTGTTTTGAGAAATTTTGTGGTGCTGATAACACCAAGGTTGCAGGTTTGATTCCTGTGTGGGTCAGTTGCAAATTCCTGCATTTCAGGGAGTTGGACTAGATCAACCTCAGCCCTCCAGATGTTTTGAGACTACAATTCCCATCATCCCTGACCACTGGTCCTGCTAGCTAGGGATCATGGGAGTTGTAGGCCAAAAACATCTGGAGGGCTGAGCTTGAGGAAGCCTGGACTAGATGACCCTCGGGGTCCCTTCCAACTCTATGATTCATTTCTTGCATTATTGTCACCATTGTCTCTTCTCCATCTGAACCATAGGTGCCAACTCCCTGGGGCCCTGGGTGCCTGAGCACCCACAAAATTCCCCACGAAGGGGCTGGGCACCCACAAATTATGGTGCCAGGGCATGACACCCATGGCCCCTGGCACCCTCGGTCACAGGGCCACGTTGGCACTCCTGATCTGGACTGCATCTGTATGCAGTCACAATGGCCAGTCAGTTTCCTTTGAGGCATCAGCAGGGATCAGCCAGTTTCTCTCATTGACACAGGCAGCAGAAGCAGAAAGTGTGTGGGCACAACCTTTCCCTCTGAAGCAGGTAGAACCATGTGGGCACAGTTTCGTTCTCTCTTATAGGCACAGCTCTAGGCAGAGAAGCATCAGGCAAGGAGAACGTTAAGTGGCAGGTGCCTCCATTGTTATAGGGCTTTACTTACAGTTTAGAAAGCTACCTGGCACCAAAGGCAGAATGACAGAATGAAGGTTGACACGGGAGTGTCGATAGTTCACCAGCGATAAGAGGATGGCCACCTGCTCAGTGTGTCAGAGCCAGGCATGGTTTGTGAGATAAATTGGTAAGCTGCCAGCAGGCTGAAGAAAAGGCAGCCAGGAGCAGGACATGGCAGAGGGACACAGTTATGGGGGGAGCAGAGGCGAGGTTTTGCCTCCAGTGGCAAAGCATCCTGGGCCAGCCCTGTGTGTGTGTTACGATATAGAAGCAATGCAGCCGCGAGCTGCTAGCTTGAAAACAGCACATGATGGAATGTTAGGACTGTTCCGTGGGAAACAGAGGGACAGTCAATTCACAGGGCAATGCACCGGAATTAGCTCAGAGTGTAATATGAGCTCTTCCTTTTGCTCTTGTACAGGAAGTGCAGGTTTTGTTTCCCTCTCGACTGCTGGAGTTTGAAGAGAGCAGTCATGTTTTTTGTAATGCTGCAAAGACAGAAATAAAGGCATGTAAATACGTTTCTGTCTATCTCTTTCCCCTGCCGGGGGGGGGCAGGAAAGAGGGGGGGTGTTCTTCTCACGCTAAGAAGGATCGCCTATCGCGACCTAGCCTGTATCCTGCTGGGGAATGCAGACAGGGAGGTCAACAGGAGATCAAGCCGGGTGCCTGGAGAGTGGCCAGTTTCTCCTAATAAAGGCTTGATTCCCGACAGTGTGATCATAATAATAATAATAATTTATTATTTATTCCCCGCCCATCTGGCTGAGTTTCCCCAGCCACTCTGGGCGGCTTCCAATCAAGTGTTAAAAACAATACAGCATTAAATATTAAAAACTTCCCTAAACAGGGCTGCCTTCAGATGTCTTTTAAAGAGAAGATAGCTGCTTATTTCCTTCACATCTGAAGGGAGGGTATTCCACAGGGCGGGCGCCACCACCGAGAAGGCCCTCTGTCTGGTTCCCTGTAACCTCACTTCTCACAATGAGGGAACCGCCAGAAGGCCCTCGGTGCTGGATCTCAGTGTCCGGGCTAAATGATGTACCTGTACCACAGAAAATTCTGTCTGAACTCAGCACTTTTCTAATGACGCCTTCTCATTATTAAAGGTCATTTTGGTTCTTCAGTGGCCTCCTATTTCATATTTCTACGTTGGATGTATGGAGTGAACTTGGTCCTGTTTGGCTTGATATTTGGATTAGTTATAATTCCAGAGGTAAGTATGGAAATAATAATCCTCAATAAAAAATTGGGTTTGGACCCAGAAGACATTGAGTTGCATCAGCTCATGTTGCAATAAGCCATACCATCTAAACGGGATATTTAATACATGGCATATAGAACGCCGGGGCAGACCTCTAGGGAAAGGCTGTCGCTCAGGGGCAGAAAGCATCTGCTTTGCATTCAGAAGGTTATAGGTTCACTCTCCATGTATGTTGAGAGACCCCAGTCTGAAAGCTGGGACAGCTGCTGCCACACTGTATAGACAATATTGAAAAAGACTGGCCAGTGGCCTAGAGCCAGCTTTTTATGTGCATGGGGACCCTCAAAAGCAGGCTTTTAGAGTGCCCAGGAAGAGGAGAGGAAAGCAGAACTCTGCTCTCACAGCACTGGATACAAACAGGGGTGGCACTGTGGTCTAAACCACTGAGCCTCTTGTGCTTGCCAATCAGAAGGTCGGTGGTTTGAATACCCATGACGGGGTGAGCTCCCGTTGCTCTGTCCCAGCTCCTGCCAACCTAGCAGTACGAGAGCATGCCAGTGCAAGTAGATAAATAGGTACCGCTGCGACGGGAAGGTAAACGGCATTTCCATGCACTCTGGTTTCCGTCACGGTTTTCCATTGTGCCAGAAGTGGTTTAGTCATGCTGGCCACATGACCCGGAAAAATGTCTATGGACAAACGCCAGCTCCTTTGTCCTGAAAGCGAAATGAGTGCCGCAACTCCATAGTCGCCTCTGACTGGACTTAACCGTCCAGGGGTCCCTTACAAACCTTAGTCTGGACCCTGGACCCCACCTCACATTGCTTCCTAATTTTAATATGTGCAGGCAGCAACAGCACATTTCTCTGCATGGAGCTATCAAATTCACCCTAGCCTCTTGCTGCTATCATCTATCAGCCCCATCATCCTGAATTCTTGCATGCAAACACACACACACACACACAGAGCACAGCACAAACAAACAAAGATTACTTCACAATCTTTGGGATGTTGTACTACAAAGCCTCTCTCCAGGCATGAACAATGCCTCCAACCTGATCCAGCTTTTTGTAGAGGAATGTGTGCTGCATAGAGAGATAAACATAATCCTTTTACGGCATTCAGGGGAAATATAACCCATGACATCCCCCAAGAATTCTGCCATCAGCCAAAAATGAGCAGAATTCAGATTACTGCTATGTAAAATATGATCTTCACACATTAGTTGTGAAAGGAGAATGTTTAAGTGTATGGGTGACTGGGGTTTTATTCTGAATTTTCTTAGTTTCAATATTTTATTTTATTTCCAAGCCGGAAGGACAGTACAGATACAAGCCATGCGAGGCAACAGATCAATGTTAACTATATGAAATGGGAGACCATTGTAAAATCACAAGATTTCTTAACTAATAGGAAACATCATTCTCATTCTCTGGTTCCTAGTCTAATATACTGCAAAGAACTCCATGTAAAAATGGAGCCTTTGGATTTTTACCCACCCTTATTCTAATAGATTTTGTTAATTTGCACATGGCATCCAATACCATTCTGGTGTGTAACTGGTTTTAAACGATGTTGTAAAATGTTTTGTTGCTAAAAAAATCAGAAGAAATCTGTTCATAAAATAATGGTTACCAGTTCCCTTAATGTATTCAAGTAAAATTCCATATTTATATGGATTACAGTGCCCAGATATAATTTTGCCACTGTGAATATTTCACAACTAAGCCTGCTTAAAACAGGGGAAGGGTAAGAAGCATAATTTAAGAGGCAGCTGTGTTAGTCAGTTGCAGCAAAAACTACAGTCTTGTGACACCAAAGCAGTGGTTCTCAAAGGAGGATGTGGCATGCCACACTGGTGTGGCAAGAGAGGTTGGCAAATGTGGCAGGAATATTCAAGGACTATCAAAGAAACATTTGAACATTTCTGTGTAGAATGGATATACAACCAGAAACAGTATCCATGCCTCACTCCCAGAGCTTTGTGTATTCTTTGACAGTTCTCCATGACAAATTGTTGTGAACAGGGATTTTCAACTCTGACAAATATGAAAGATTAGAAAAGAGAAAGGCTTCTTTGTGTTGATGAGGAGATGAGAGTTTGTTTGTCTCAAATTAGACTTGATATAAATGAGATTAGCCAACGAAAGCAAGCTCACACCTCTCATTGAGTTATATATACATACTTAAGATACATATGCAAGAGGCTCATTATAATTATATTTTGGGAATGTGTCAGGGAACTGCCATCGGAAGGAAGGGAGGTGAAAGGACTCAGACAGGTTGGAAGAGACTCAGCAGCTGAAGAGGGAACCAGCAAGGGGAGAGAAGCTGAACTGAGGGAGGTGAAAGGGCTCAGACAGGTTGGAAGAGACTCAGCAGCTGAAGAGGAAACCAGCAGGGGAGAGAAGCTGAACTGAGGGAAAGGGAGCTGGGGGATGGCTCAGAGATACTTCCAGCGAAAACAGTGGTGAGGTTTCCGGACCTCCTGTAGCGACACCCACTCCTCGCCGGAAACTGTCACGCAGAGAGTCCAGAAGACGTGTTTCCGTTAAGGAGCTTTTATGTTGGAAGCGATTACGAAAGCAACCACTGTCGGAATCTTCTAGTGACTAGAGGAGCCATGTCAGAGGGGCTCAGTCACAGACAGAGGTTTGTGGACTTGAACAAACTCTGAGGGAATACGATTTTACGCACAAGCAGCTCATAATCCCATCACAGCATTCCGACAGTCTTTGAACGCAGCTTGTGCAGGAGAAGGCATAATGAGCAACCCAGCAGGAACCGGAGAAGCAGGGGCTGGAGCGGGTCCAAGCCTGGAAGAAAGGTACCGGGTGTTGGAGGTCCAGCTGGCGCTGCAGACGGCGAGGCTGGAGGAGAGGAGGGCTCAAGATGCAGACAAAGGGAGAAAGCCACCCAGCTCGCCAGAAAGGTACCAGGATTGGTGCAGAAATTTGGGGGGGAGCCCAAAGACTATCATAGCTTTCGGACAGAAATGCAATATGCCCTCAATCTGCAGTTTGATGATTTCCTGATGAGGAATCACGAGTGGCTTTTGTGATTGGGCATCTTGAAAAGGGGGCGAGAGACTGGGTTAGACCCCTGATGGCAGCGCATAGTGACGTCCTAAAGGACACGATGAAGTTCTTTCGCGCCATGGATCTGATGTTTTCCAGCGATATTGAAAAGGGACTGGTGCGCAGACAGTTAATGGCTTGCAAACAGGGGAGCCGATCTGTACGTGAGTACTGGACTGAGTTCACCATGCTGATACACAGATTGGGGTGGGACTTATCGGCGGAACCCATTCAAATGCTCTTTGAAGAAGGGCTTTCTTCGGCTGTGAAAGATGAACTTTCCCGGGCGCCCAGGGCGGAGTCTATGGACCAGCTGACCAAATCAGCGCTGGCCATAGGAGCGCGCCAGGAGGCGAGAGCATTGGAGAGGCGGGAAGGGAAAGGGGAACGTTGGAAGGAGTTCCGCATTCCAGACATTCCAGAGCCAACTGTCCCGCCGGCAGAGCCGATGGAAATCGGAACAGCGCGCGCGCGCGCAGTTTCAAAGCCCAGTGAAGGGGAAAGAAGGATGGAAAAGGCGCCCGGAAATGCTATCTCTGCCAACAGCCAGGGCACTTTGCCAGAGTCTGCCCCCAGAGGAAGGAATGGCAAGGGATGGTGGGAGCTGTGGAGGGAAGAGAGGAAAAATACCGGAGCAACTAAAGCCAACGCCTGGCTGCCATTGTCGGGGCACAGCAGCCAGGCCAAAGAGCAGTGAAAGTGCCCACTCCAGAACCTCCTAAACCCGCCCTAGTGATAGAAGTGACACTAGAGCTGCCAAACGGACACCCTCTAAAGATAAAGGCGCTGTTGGACTCAGGCAGCTCCTGCAATTTCATGAGCAAAGAGTTTGCAGCTGAACACCAGATACAGACGCTCCCTTTAAGCAACCCCCTGCAGGTAACCACGATCGATGGCAGGGAGCTGTTGGGAGGAGAAGTCAGCTTGCAGACCGTCCCAATGATAATGAAGGTGGCAAGGCACACCGAACTAATAGCATTTAATGTGGCCACCTTGGGAGGAGCTCCCATTATATTGGGGATGAGCTGGCTAGCGTTACATGATCCGCTGGTGGGCTGGCATCAAAGAGTGGTTTCTTTTGGGTCAGCACATTGCTTAGAACATTGCAAAGAGGGAAAGGTTTTGGCAGGGGCCCAAGCCACCCTAGCAGGGACTGAAGTGACGGAGAACGTGAAGGTACCACGACAATACGCAGATCTCCGCGACGTCTTCAGCGAAAGGGAAGCTGACCAACTACCACCGCATAGAGCCTTTGACTGTCAAATCAATTTGCTCCCTGGGGCACAGCTCCCTGTGGGCAAGCTGTACGCCATGTCAGACAGAGAGATGCAGGAGCTAAGAGAGTTCATTGACAAGAACCTGAAGAGAGGGTTCATCAGAGAGTCCAGGGCGGTGGGGGCAGCCCAGTGTTTTTGTGGACAAAAAACACGAACAAGCCGAGACTGGTGTGTGACTTCAGGGCCTTAAATGCAGTGTCAGAACCAGTGGCCTTCCCGATGCCCAGGATTGACGACATTTTGACAAGGGTGCGGAAGGGAAAGATTTTCACCAAGCTGGATCTAAGGGGGGCGTACAACCTGATACGAATAAGGAAGGGGGATGAATGGAAAACCACCATGTTCACCCCTTTAGGGGCATTTGAATACTTAGTTATGCCCTTCGGTCTACAAGCAGGCTCCGCAACATTTCAATCGTTTATGAACCACGTCCTGGGGCCGTTGCTTTACAAGAATTGTGTGGCCTTCTTAGACGACGTGTTGGTGTATTCTGAGAATGAGGAGCAGCATGTGAGAGACGTCAGAGAAGTGTTGAGCAGGCTGCAAGCCAACCAGCTGTGGGTGAAACTGGAGAAGTGTCAGTTTCATACCAAGGAGGTGGAATTCCTGGGGTATCGCCTGTCTGACAAGGGGTTGGCCATGGATCCCGGCAAGGTCCAGGCGGTACTGGAATGGAAAACACCCAAAACAAGGAAGGATGTGCAGAGGTTTTTAGGGTTTGGGAACTTCTATCGTAAGTTCATCCCAAACTTTGCCCACCTGACGGCGCCCATTACGGACTGTCTCAGCAGTAAGAAGAAGTTCGTTTGGACGGAGGAGGCGGAGCAAGCATTTGAGGAACTACAAAGGGCCTTCGCCTCGGAACAACAGCTCCTGCATGTGGATTTACAAAAACCGATGAGAGTGGAAACTGACGCATCAGACAGAGCGGTTGGGGCGGTGCTTCTCCAGCCAGGGAAGGAGGAGTCAGAGTGGAGACCGTGTGCTTTTTTTCGCGAAAGCTGAACAAATCCGAGAGGAACTACACGGTGTATGACCGAGAACTACTAGCCATTCATGAGGCGTTCCGGAGATGGAGGCACCTGCTAATTGGCGCACAACATAAGGTGCAAGTGTGCACTGACCACAAGAACCTAGAGTATTGGAGGACGGCACGAGTGCTCAACCAACGGCAAGTGAGATGGGCCCAGGAATTCTCCAAATTTAACTTTGAGATTTGTTACGTGCCAGGCCCAGAGAACATTAGGGCGGACGCTCTCTCACGCAAACCTGAATATTGGGAGGGGAGGGAGCACCCGAAGAGAGACATGTCATTCCAGAGGACCGCTGGGTGTGTGGGGCGGCATTGGTGGGACAAAGAGAACTGGTAGAAGAAACAGAGAATGATGAATACGCCCAGAATAAGCTCAGAGGTCTTAGGGATGAGGGAGAGGAATCAGGGGTTTCGAGGAAAGAAATGGAGCTTTGTATTACAAAGGGGCACTGTATATCCCTGAAGGAGACTTAAGGGGGAGGGTACTCAAGCAGTTGCATGACAGCCCCACGGCGGGGCATTTTGGGCAACACAAAACCATGTGGTTGGTCACCAGGGAATTTTGGTGGCCTAAGGTGAGGGAGGATGTACGTGAGTATGTAAGAGGGTGCGAGCAGTGCCAGCGAGCCAAAGGGGAAAGGCGGGCGCCGGCGGGGCTATTAGAACCCTTACCAACACCAGAACGACCTTGGGAGGCAGTGTCGATAGATTTTATGACTGATCTGCCGAAGTCCAAAGGGAAAACAGCCATCATGGTGGTGGTAGACCTACTAACAAAGATGTGCCACTTTGTAGCTTGCTCGCATGCAGTCACGGCGGAAGAGACAGCGAAGTTATTTGTAGAACACATTTTTAGGTTGCACGGGGTGCCATTGAGGGTGGTCTCAGACCGAGGAAAACAATTTACTTCCAGGTTCTGGAGGAAGCTCATGAGCTTACTGCAGGTGGAGGTCAACTTTTCGACTGCCCGGCACCCTGAAACCAACGGGCAGGCGGAAAGAGCAAACGGTGTCCTCCAGCAATACCTGAGGTGTTATGTCAATGACAGAGAGAATGACTGGGTAGAAAAGTTGGCGCTGGCGGAATTTGCCTACAACAATGCCGAGAATGTGTCCACAGGGATGAGCCCCTTCTTGGCTAATTATGGGTGTCATCCCAGGGCTTTCCCAGGGGAGAAGGGGAGAGATGGAGCGTACCGGCAGCCGAGCATTTTGTGGAAGAAATGGAAGCAATCCACCGTCAGCTCCAACTCAACTTAGAAAGGGCGAAGGAAGAATACAAGAGGCAGGCAGACAAGAACCGAAGGGAAGGTGAAACCATAAGGGTTGGAGATAGGGTGTGGCTGTCAACCCGAGGGTTGCCGTTCAAAGGAGGTTGTAAGAAATTAAGACCCAGGAGGTTGGGTCCCTTTGAGGTCATTCAACAGGTCAACCCAGTGGCTTTCAGGCTCCGGTTACCCAACCACATGAAACTGCACCCAGTATTTCACAGGTCGTTACTGTCACCGTACGAGGGGGGACGAGAAGGGATGGCCACTCGGGGACCGGTCATAGAAGAAAGAGAATGCAGCAGTCATGTGGCAGAAATCCTTGATGCCAGGTGGAAGGGGAATCAGGTGGAGTATTTGGTAGCGTGGGAAGGAGAACCGGAGTCAGAAAACACGTGGGTAATGGCCAAAGATATCAATGACGAGGTATTGATAGAAATGTTCCATCAAAGGTTCCCGCGGAAACCTCAGCCTGTGGAGAGGTTCCGGAGGGAATACTTTGGGACCACTGAGGAGGAGGAGGAGTTGGAAGGATTCCCAGAATCGGAAGGGGAAGGGGAGATGGACTCGGAGGAGGAGGAGTGCTTCGAGACCAGGAACCGCAACAGGTGGAGAGAAGTGTTCGAGACATCGGAAGATGAAGGAAGTTCATTCCGGGGTTTTGCCTCCTCACCGCCCGTAGAGGAGGGGGCGAGAGGGGGTGAAGGGGGCCCTGGAGGGGAGGTGGATGTCAGGGAACTGCCATCGGAAGGAAGGGAGGTGAAAGGACTCAGACAGGTTGGAAGAGACTCAGCAGCTGAAGAGGGAACCAGCAAGGGGAGAGAAGCTGAACTGAGGGAGGTGAAAGGGCTCAGACAGGTTGGAAGAGACTCAGCAGCTGAAGAGGAAACCAGTGGGGAGAGAAGCTGAACTGAGGGAAAGGGAGCTGGGGGGATGGCTCAGAGATACTTCCAGCGAAAACAGTGGTGAGGTTTCCGGACCTCCTGTAGCGACACCCACTCCTCGCCGGAAACTGTCACGCAGAGAGTCCAGAAGACGTGTTTCCGTTAAGGAGCTTTTATGTTGGAAGCGATTACGAAAGCAACCACTGTCGGAATCTTCTAGTGACTAGAGGAGCCATGTCAGAGGGGCTCAGTCACAGACAGAGGTTTGTGGACTTGAACAAACTCTGAGGGAATACGATTTTACGCACAAGCAGCTCATAATCCCATCACAGAATGGATTGTGTTCTTATGTATTTGCATTGTTTTATATTTTATGGAGGTCCCACGATCATATTATAAAGTAGTTGCGCTCTGTGTTATAAATCAAGCACTGCTAGTTGTTTCCTCTTTGTTTTCCAATGTATTTCTTACCAATAGAAAAGTTGGTGTGGTGCAAGCAAATGTTTATTCTGAAAGTGTGGCCCAGAGGGGAAAAAGTTTGAGGACCACTGGACTAACACAATTACTTTGGCATAGGTGGGTCTAGAGAAAAACTGTAAAAAGTAGGGTCTAATGACAACAAAATGCAAAAAAGCACAGCCCCTCACAATTCAGTAAAGAGACTATTCACACCAACAGTAATTGGTGATACCATTGAGGATAACACTGGCGTAGAATGACTCTCTACATTTTGCCTCAAAACTTCCTTTCTAGGAGAGCTAGAGACTTTCTTTTAAAAAAATGACTAGGGGCTGCCACCCCAAGCTTGCCAGCTCCACCTTTAGACCTTCTCAATCTCCCACCTCTTATCACTAGCCCCAAACCCACCTTCCTCATCCATTACAGCTGGAGTGCAGACTATTTTCTGGATAGAGGGACAGATATTTCTTTTCATATAAATCAGCCCATTCGTCTCACATTTTAAAAACAACACACCTTATCAACAGGAAAGGCAAGTTGCTGTGTTGTTATGGATGGGTCGGGAAATGAAAGGACATTTTCAATGCTTCACAAATTATCTTTTTTAAAAAAATATGATTAACTTGTTCCAGATATTAATGGGAGCACCATATGGAAGCATACCAAGAAAAATTGTACCCAGGGCTGAGCAAAAAACTGCCATGGATTTCTCTGTTCTTTGGGATTTTGAGGTAGGTGTCTTCAGATTTGTCTCATTTATTTACTTCATTTGTATACCACCCATAGAACTGATTTTCTGGGTGATTCGCAGGCCATTAAATATACAAAATACAATGCAACACTTAAATGATACAAAAACAATCTAAAACCAGCATATAAAACCAGAGAGGGGAATAACGTAGTGCAAAGATCTGAAAGCACTAAAATAAATGTGCCTACTATAATTGAAAGTCCAAGGACAAAAATGTCTTCACCAAGCTCCAAGAAGACCAAAGTGTTGGGCATCAGCCAAACCTGTCTAGGAGGGCATATCTCTAGATACTAGGGAGGGTCTGGAGGATCAATTGAAGATCTTAAGGTTGGGGCAAGTACTTAAGGGAGAAGGCAATCCTTCAAGTCTCATGGCCTCAAGCTGTTTAGGCATCACTGCCAAGAAGGCCCCTCTGCCTGCTTCCCTGAAACTTCACTCTTCTCAGTGAGGGAACAGCCAGAAGACCTTTGGAGCTGCATCTCAGTGTCTGGGCTGAAATTAAATCAAGCAATGTAGATATATGTGTGAACCAGTCCCAAGAATCCTCCCTATGTGTATGGGTGGACTAAACATTAGCCTTCCCCTTAGTAGGGATCCATACACCATATTGCTGCCTCAAAGGTCCACAGAGCCAATCTGTCTGCAAAGGCACTGAAGCTCAGCACAAACTGCACCATAAGCATAATATCTGGGAAACGCTGAGATGAGATTTAAGCATGGAAGTAGATGAACAGTCAGCAGCGCTGATCCCGGCAGACCCTGCTTTTGAAAGTGCGTATCGGAGAGAGACTGTAAGACTTTCTCAACAAATGGGTTACATAAAAGAGGACAGAGGAGGAAAAAGAATAGGCTTCATTTGAGCTCAAGACACCATTTCTGACAGAGTGTTCTGGAGGCTATAATCTTCATTTTATTCTTGCAGTGGGGAAAACCAGCAAAATAAAATGTAAGCACAGAGCGAGACCCCAAGCTGAAAATAAACTTTCTAATGAACAACGAAACAGAACTCGTTTGTGTTTGACTTTCCGTTGTGCTTTTTGCCTTTAGCTGTCCCAACAATGTACACAATAGATTCTGACCGTGTATCCACAGGGCTGCATAGTGCCCCTTATTTGCCTTCTTCCCACGGCCTCAGTCTCAGCAGCAACTCTGCTGAGGCAGAGAAGAACAAAAAGAGCCTTTTGTACACAGCAAGAGTACATTCAGACATCATGCTAGGTCAACAAACTATGGTCCATACAGCTCCTGCTCTGCTCCTCCATTAGTTGAGGGGGGACACAAACCATAGACCAGCTGACTTTCGTATTATGTGCAGTTATCATGGTTCGTTTCCTCTCCAAAAAAACCACAAACTGAAGACAAGGTTTATTTTTTACTTCCCAGTGATGGTTTGCTTGATTGGGAGAAACCAGCCACAAGTGCTGGTTCGGATGTAACACTAAGCCAGCCATTCCATCATAAAGTGGGAGAGCTCAAGCATACACCAGCAAGCAGCTTATGGTTCAACAAGCAATGCTTGTAGATCAGTGTTAGGTCTGGATGCAGCCACTGTCTGGAAGATATCATACTGAAATGGCTGTATATTCCAAACAACTTACGCAAAAATAAAAGAGGCTTTGGCTGATATATCCTATGCCCTTTTAAAATGTGGTTCTTTTGGGGGGGTATTGGGTTGTTGTTTTTATTTTGACTATATATATTGTGGTTTTATATTTTGATTTTGTTCTGTGAACCGCCCTCAGACCTCCGGGTATAGGGTTGTATACAAATTCAATACTAAAATAAAATAAAATAAAATAAATATATCAAGTTAGGGCTTATCCACACTTTTGCCCCACTTTTTTCAGGCACAGGTCTGTGCTTAAATGCTCTGTGTCCAAGCGGGGGGTCTTTTATTTGGGTGGGGGTAGGTTTGCCCCTGACCTTTCCCTGTGAAAAACTGCTCTTTAGCAAATGCCAATAGGTGTCCTGAATCCCTGACCTACCTGGCAGCAAGTCCAGGGGTGAAGTCACACGAGCAAAGTCAGGAAATGCAATCCAGGGTCAATCCAAGTAGCCAAGTCTGAAGTCCAGCAGTCAGGACACAGCCCAGAGTCAAACCCAAAACATAGTCTTGGAGCATCCAAGCCAAGGTTCATCAACATAGGCAGTTGAGCAGACACAAGACCTCAGCTCTACTTCCAGTTTGTTCTTGGCTTGCTGATTGCAGCATCTGGGCTTGATGAGGCCTGTGGCCCTCACCTGTTGTGAGCCTACTCCAGCTGAGGAATCACACCCATCTTCCCAGAGCTAGCAAGCCCTACCTGGCCAGCTAGGGAGATGGTCTGTGGGCCCTTGTCTGCTCAGCCTCCTGGAGCACCCCTTCCGCTGCTCCCTTCTCTTCAGAGCCCATCACATGCATGCAGACATGGGGCCCTCTGGCCCATGATGGGTCCTGCTGCTCTGGTTCCTGTTCACTGACCCCCCCACCCCCTCATCATCCTCTGTCACCCTGTGAGTACTTCCTTCCCTGTCCCCTGCTTGCCCCTGTGTGTCCCAGTCCTGGCAACATCCCTTGCCAGGATCCTCTTCCTCCTTCTCACCATCATCCTGCCAGTTCATGGGAATTTGGGTTTTCCATGAATTGATGTTTGCTCCAATTGAGCTTTAAAGAGTGGGCTTTGTGGGGAAAGCTCTGTGGCCAAAAAAAAAAAAAGGACACCCGGACCCAGAATTTTAAAGCATAGACCATGCCTGGAAAGAACGAAGGAAAAATAAATGTGGATACGCCCTTGGACTCAGAGCAGACCCACTGAAATCAGTGAACTTAAGCCCAGTGATTTTAGTGAGTCTACTCTGTGTATCACCCTTTGACTAAATGTGGAGGGGGGAGATTAGAGTCTCTTCTAATATTGTTTCAGAAGACAGACATGTCACACTCAGAGATATGAAGGCATAACTTGGGAAAGGAAATCTATCTGTCTGTCTCGGGGACAATGGAGCTGATCTGGAGATTGTACGAGAATTCTGTCTGACATAGTAACGTCTATGAAATAGCAATCTGTGACCTCTCTGCTTGCCTTCTATTTTTGCTTCTTTTCTCGCACACACAGCAGAGGTAGCAGCACACAGATAACTTGCAAAGGGATAATGAAAATTAATTTTAGCAGCCTTTCCTGGATGCTGCTTCACTGGGGCTGTACGCAGGAGTGAAAAATTGATCCCTGCAAGAGGGAGGTGCAATGCAATACATTTCATGTCCTAATGCTGAGGAGTTGCTCATCAGACTAGGACTGTTGCCACCCTAAGCACAATTCCTGGGGTGTAAGACGCATTGAACTCAGTGGGAAGTTTGAATAAGCAATGGGCTGAAAAATTGCTTAGCACAGCCCAAAAGGAAATGCAACTAAAGCTTCTGCTTATATGATCTCTTGTGCCCAATCAAAAGTGCCTGCCACAATAGTAGGCGTCAATCAGCACACCAGCAAAGTCTTGAATGGGCATCTCATTCTGCAATGAGGAGTAAACTGAATTCAGGTTGTCGCCCTCACTAGGCTTGCATCCAATACTGATTACGAAGTTATGTTTAGATCTGATATGCATAAAAATGAACATCTAATATGCTGAAACTGATTTAGGCTGTTTTGTTCCCCTTCTAGGGCTACATTAAGTATTCTGCTGTTTTCTATGGCTACTACAACAACCAAAGGACAATTGGCTGGCTAAAGTACAGGCTACCAATGGCATATTTCATGGTTGGCGTTGTCGGTGTATACGGATACAGTATAATGGTTGTCATAAGATCGTAAGTCCAGCTCTTTCTGTAGCATGGCTTTTTCTGACAAACTGGTAGTGTTAGCCTATGGTGCATTCTTGCCTTGTGTGGTGAACAGGTTATGCTCAGAAAAGCTTGCCACCCACCTTCCTTGCCCTAACACTCCCAGTTGAGTTTTCTCTGGTATTTGCTGCCACCGCCCTCCTAATCTTGCAGCCCTGGTGGAGGGGACCTGGGATGCACCAAAGCAATTACTTTTTTACAAACAAAGGCTCTGAGCCAGAGCTCTTTGCACTCCTTGGCCCACAACTCACTAGGGAACACAGGTAGAACTTCCAGCTGCCGTATCGTACACCTAGAGGCGGTTTTAGGGCAGTGCCAGCGGTTCGCCCACATTGGGTACGGAGTCAGGGAGGGCACCTTTTTAAAGCCCGTTAAGTGCTTGCCCAGATTCAGGAAGGAGGCATGAGGGCTCTGACAGGGTCCTAGAGCCCTTCTTCCTCCTTCCCAAAGCCTGGCACCTCTTACCTGACTTTGGGAAGGCAGGGCGAGGGCTGCAGAGGGTGTCAAATGTTGGCCTCGCGCAAGGCTGAATGAATTTTATTATTTCGGTCACAGACGAGTTCCAGCCCACATACAACATCAAGGAAGTCATAAAACACGATAGGGATACATTTGAATTGGCAATTAGGTATAACAGGGACAATACAGATATAGCAACAGTTAAAAAATATATAAATTAAAACTTAGTCACTAACATATAGCCTAAAATTATCATTTAAAATCTTAATCATTATGATAGCACAGCTTGTTCCCTAAGTTTTATGGCTATCGCACAGAATTTGGCTACCCTTAACGTGATCTCAGGATCCTTGTCCTCTGCCAGGGATTTTAGACACTGAAGTTCGGATTCATTTGGAGATTTTTGCATGGCAGGGGTAATAAATACCGAGCGTATATCCCTGTAGAAACAGCAGCGTAACAAGGCATGAGAGACAGTTTCTATCTCCATCAAGCCGCAGGGGCAGACTCGTTCCGTGTATGGTTTACCCTCAAATCTGCCCTGCAATAAGGCAGATGGCAGCACATTGAATCTAGCAAGGGTAAATGACCATCTGTATTTAGGTATTTGTAATTTTGACAAATAATTTGCTGGGGTAAATCGTCTCCCATTATCTTTTATTGCTGGGTGTTTATTCATCTCGCTCACATGGCATTGCAGTTCCACATCCCAGATTCATTGGCGGATTATTGCTCTCGCTTTCTCATAACCTACAGCTATCAGGGCCTGTGGGGAAAACCCCAAGCCTCTTAGCTTTTCATGCAGTGTAGCTTTCCATTTGGATTGGTAGGAATCCAGTAGCGTTAAGGGTGCCAACCCAACAGGGAAAAAGATAAGTTTTAACCTATAATGGATCTTCATCATCCATATCCGAGAGCTAACAGGTGACATAGCAACAAAGTCTGCCCCTGCTACTCTGAGACCAAATCAGTTTGCTTGTTTACATGGCAGACCCCCTCCTCTAAACTTCGTAAAACCCAGGAACTCTTAAGGCCAACACACCCAGACTGTTTCCCAGACAGTCCCTTATAAATTACTCAGAGCAGGGCAGAACTAGGCTTTATTTCACCCGGTTCAAAGACCCAGCTTGGCACCCACCCACCCCCCCATGAATTGTTCATTACATGCAAATGCCGCGCTTCATTGCACCACTGGGTAACCCATGTTATGGAAATATGCGGTTGCACCTTAGTGAAAAGCAACATCTTCAAATGCATGCAAGGACAGGCCCACATTAAAGCCCCCTAATTACAATTCCCACAAAAGCATCATTCTTTCCAAGCAGTGCTTCCTGTCCTGGCACAAATTGCTTATTGTTATCCATAATTCTCTCCAATTCTGTCCCCGAGAAGCTTCTTGAAACAGGGCAAGTCACTGCTCTCATCCATTCAGTTCTTTTCTTGGAGTGCTAACAAAGCAGTTCCATTGTCACTCGATGTAATAATTTTTTTAACGGCATCATTTTAGCGAGCAGGAAAGTGCACTGAAACCCCTAGCAGTTTATAAAGCTGATGTACTTCTATTTTAACCGCACCAGGTACACGGCGTGAAGAAACGCTCCTAAGAACAAGCTGCTTTAAAAAGTGGATGTAGGGAGGAAAACACAAGGTAGACCCCCAGACTCACAACCCTGAACTCTCCCCTCCAGATTTTCCATTTGGTTGGGACCTGCTGAGAAATCCTACATTAAGGTTGTGAAGGCAGGCTCTGACCAGCCCCCCTACTATTTTGATAAGACAGTCCCGCACAAATGCTGCAAAAAGGGTACTTAAGTTGCCTACCTGAAAGAAGACCTGGCCAACTGGCTTTGGTGCCCCACTGGTCAGAGGTCACTCTCTCAAAGGCAGGGGAGAGAGCCTTTCAAATGCTAAGCTGTCTTGCCTCTAGGTCCCTCCTATCATCAGGGTCCAGACTGCGATGATTGCTGTATCACCAGGAAGCTGACTATCCTTGCTGCCTAACAACTAGAATTATCATATTGTAGCAGCTAGGGTTAGGGCTAGTCCAGTGTTAGAGCCAAAATGCTCTGCTTTATTTTGTATTCTGTTCTGACTTCCTACCTTTCCCCCCGACGTTTCATTTCAAATACAGCTTCACAGTTTGACTGCTGAACTGTGTGCAACTGCCAACATCAGGATTCTAGAATCCCCCTGTGTCTAGCTAGGCACTTGGAATTAATACGACTTAAAGTTTAGAATTAGAGTCATAAGAGACCAGCACATTCTTTGAGTTCCCTTCCAACTCTTCAATTGGATTTTGAGCTCTGAGAGAGATTTGGGAAGTGTGGAGTGCCTTTGCACTCTGAGACAGCACTATCACATATTTTCATAATATGGGTTAGCCTGTGGTGCATTGAAGTGCGGCATTTGCATGTAATGAACGATTCAGACATGTGGGTACTTCTCTGGCAAAGCAGTTCAGTTTTTTCTTGCAGTTTTCCCCTCAGCCAGGTACAGGACTGGAATTAAGCCCAGCAGGGAGGGAAAATGCATTTTAGGAGGGATTATAAGAAAGGGTCAAGGGATGCGGGTGGCACTGTGGGTTAAACCACAGAGCCTAGGACTTGCTGATCAGAAGGTCGGTGGTTCGAATCCCCGCGACGGGGTGAGCTCCCGTTGCTCGGTCCCAGCTCCTGCCAACCTAGCAGTTCGAAAGCACATCAAAGTGCAAGTAGATAAATAGGTGCCACTCCTGCGGGAAGGTAAACGGCGTTTCCATGCGCTGCTCTGGTTCGCCAGAAGCGGCTTAGTCATGCTGGCCACATGACCCGGAAGCTGTACGCTGGCTCCCTCGGCCAATAAAGTGAGATGAGCGCCGCAACGCCAGAGTCAGTCACGACTGGACCTAATGGTCAGGGGTCCCTTTACCTTTACCTTTATAGGAAAGAGCTAAGCATCTCCTGCCCCATCCCCCCACAGCCCTCCACAACTGCCTCCTCATCCTTTACAGTTAAGCTGCAAACACAAGTTTGAAAACTCCAAGTTTGTCAAGGAAACAGAAAGTGTCACTGTGGTGCTCCAAAACATGGTGCATAGATAGTCCCCTCTATGTGCAAATAGCAGCTCCGGAGGGAAAGTTTTTGTGGAAGCCCCAGCAGGAAATCTTTAAATTCCCCGCTCCCTTACCATTGCAGTCCTGGTTAGGGGCTCCAGCGGCTGCTATTAGGTGGGATGAAATGGCAGCCTCAGACAGCAGGTGCTTGGGGATGGGGAGCAACAGGAAAATGTTGGAGGACAGGCCTGGATGTGTCACACACCCTGCCCTATACTCCCTAAGCAAGCATGCTGCCTTCAGGTGTGCTAGCCTAGTATTGGCGTTGACATAAAATTCATCGGCCAGTCTAGTTCAAACAGGGAGGTGCCCTCTTGTCGTTGCCTCAGGCAGCAAAACATCTTGGACTGACCCTCTCTGAACTTCTGAAAAGATGTGTGCAGTATGAAACCACATGCTTAATGTCCTGTGGGAGTTTAGCCTTGAGTGACTTACGCCCACCCCCTGTGGGTTCTTTTACCTTCTGTGCAAAGAGGGAACTTAGTCCCAACAAAGTGGAAAATCAAGATGCACATTCATGCTTATCACTGTGGCGAAGGGGCACACATTTTCTCTTTGGCCATCACACTGGAATTCTGAACAAAGCATGCCTGGGTCACTTACACATCCTTTTTCTTTTTTTAATGCTTCTACATAACATGTGAAGATGCCCTCAGCACACTATGGGAACATTTTTCCTGGCTTGCAAGTTCATTGAAGGCTATCAGAAAGCTAAAAAAAGGAACACCAAACATTTAAAGTGAGCTTCATGAGCCATATACAAAGCCAGGAATGGATTCTTTATCTTACAACTCTCATTTCAATCCTTAATCCCACAAATCTAGTATTCGAAACTCCCATTGTTCTAGGCGCATTTTGTGACAGGGGATTTCATTAGCACGAGCAGTTTCTGAGCTTTGGGCGCAGTATTGTGCATAAGATTTCAGATTAAAACTGCAGAGTGGAAGGAAAGGAGGGCCTTTTTCTGCCTCCCCACTTCCAGCCACTCTCTGAAGAATGGAGAAGAGACCCTCTTAAGAATATGAAACATGAAATTGTGATAAAAAACAGTTTAACCAAAGTTGTTTTACTGGTAGCAGCCTAAAATGGAATCTTCACATTCAGAGGCAAAACCAAATGACAGTTTTGTGGCATCATAAATGCACACATGTAGGACTCCTGAATCAGCTCGCCCTGATGTGTATTCACAATTATATATATTTGCTGCCTGAAATGCCCACATAGAAGTCTCAAAGAGCTGTGCTGCCCTGGATAACACAGACCTCTCTGCTCACAGAAGAGAGGCATCTAGTGGCTGAATAGCAGATTGTAAGCAACCGTATATGACTTTGTTGATCTGCAGAATGGCCCGGAATGCCCATGAAGACACGGGCGATGGGGATGATGAGAGCTTCATTTTTAGCTGGAAAATGTTCACTAGTTGGGACTACCTCATAGGCAACCCAGAGACAGCCGACAACAAGTTTGCATCCATTACAACTAGTTTCAAGGTAATCACCACCTTAACTTTCCTCTCTGCAGCAAGATCCTTGTCTCTCAAGATGCTACTGCATTGCACCTTTGGCAGAATTTCAATGAGGGCAGAATACTCATTTTATATAGCTAGGGAGTCACGTTTAGACACACTTTTGTGATTGTATCAAAAGCTTAATGGTGTTTTTTCTTTTCACATCCCAGCTACTGGCATCATCCATCAGTCTCTTCTTTTGCACTTTCTAGTGATCCCATTTCACAAAGGAAAGCTTGACAGTATTGTTGCATTGTACAGTGGTGGCTGAAAACCCAAAAGACGCATTAGAAACATCCTTTGTGGGTTTAAAAAAAAATCAGTTTATGATTCTTGAACTGAACACAACCCATATAATAATGCAGTTGATTCAGATATTTCCTGCTTTCTCAGGGACAATGCCCAACACTACTAAACTTTAGCTTCTCCTTAACAAGCTTCAGTCTTTCTAAAGTTTAACTTTATTATAAAATATTTATAGGGCTGCTTTTCAGAGTAAAACTCTCTCAAGGTGGCTTACATAATAAACCGGCAATACTAAAAAAACCCACACAACCTGCCCAGAATATATAATATGGTGTTAGCTAAAAGGAATGCCATAACAGGCTGAAAATATCGCTCACGCATGCATTGGTTACCCAAAACAAATAGATCGCCAAAGCCTTCCTGAAAGACCAGAGTGAGGAAGCTTTTTTTAAAAAAGTGATTGAAAATGCACTAAAAAGTGTGGGATTAAAAAAAATGTATTAATGGGACAGCGTATAACCACAGTGCAAGCAAATCGGGATGAAAACGCAAGCTTCACATAGCCTCTTCACAAACAAAGCAGAACAAATCCTCATTAAGGACCAGTTATTGTCCAGTGTCCACATCAGATTTGTGCAAAAATCAAGATGAATGCTCAATAAAGAGGTTGTCTTGAGGCGCCTCCAAAGCCATTGGGCCACCATGAAACAGTCCCTTTCTCCATTGTGCCCACCAATTTTACCAGTCATTGCAGCAGGCAACCATCACTGATCTCAAAGTGTGGGTTGGTTGATTTGGATGTGGACAGTCCTTCAAATAACAAAGACCCAAACCATTCCGGACTTTAAAGGTTAAATCCAACACTTCACTGCATCTTTGGGGCATATGGAATGCTTTGTTTAGAAACCACCAGTGCATTTGTTCCACAAGCGGCTCCACAATCCAAAACACACTAACGGGTGGGGATTTGTGTCCAAGCAAGCACATATATATGATGGGGCTGCAAATCATCTCTCCTTGTGGTTTATTGCATTTCTTAAGGAGTCAATTGTAGATGAGCAAGAAAGCAACAAAGATGAGAACATCCATCTGAGAAGATTCCTGAGGGTTCTGGCCAACGTACTTATTATATGTTGCTTATGTGGAAGTGGCTATCTTATTTACTTTGTCGTTAAGCGCTCCCAGGCCTTTTCAAAAATGGAAAACATTGGCTGGTATGAAAGAAATGAGGTAAGAAGAGTGCAAGCATTTTAAAACTGCCTCAGCTGAGTCAAAGTCAATGTTCTGCTGCATTTCCCTGTTGTTGATCCCCACCTCTGGTATTCAGCAATATACTCTGAATGTGCAGGTTCTATTTAGCTATCATGGCTCACAGACATGGGTAGAATCCGGATCAGGCTAAAGGCCTATCTGGTCCAGTGTGCTGTTCTCCCAGTGGCCAACCACATATGAATTTGCTCAGCCTTCTTTTTTTTTACATTTATAGCAATACACGCAAAGATAAAAACATGCCTCTTGTGTGCCCTTTGTTGCCACAATGGACACATGGGCCAACTCACAGCTGATTGCAGTCTATAGGCTTACCTTCTTTCTCCCAGAATTGTTCTTGGATCTGGCAAATCAGTTAGTGAAACCCTCAAATGGACAACCTGCAATGATGCAAAATAATTATGAGGGGTGGGGATTTAAAAGATGTAGAACCACGTATTTTTCTTTGCTCCTAAAACCTTTCTGCTATAAAGCCCATGGCGTCATTCTGAAAGCAAAGTTATCAAGCTTCCTTCTCGATCCCATTCTTCAGAAACACATATTCAGCAGCAGTGCACGGTCACCACAAAGAGAATAGTGGGAGCTTTGACCAATTTGCTCTGTATGCTCACTATGCTTTTAAAGCACATTTGAAACACATTTCCCCCCTTCAAAGTGTTATGTACTGAAGTTCTCACCCTGGGCCAGCAGGGGGATACTGTAGATAGTTTTCACTCAGGTCCGCATATGCAAATAAGGGATTGAAAGTGACGTTCAGTGATTGGATAGTTACAGAAAGTGGTTACTGTTACGTTCTAGTAGAGCTCTATATAAGCAGGCTGGCTGAACCCTTCAGTTCAGTCCTGTTCTGGCCTGTGAATAAACAAGAGCTGTTTGAAGAATCGCTGTGTTGTCTGATATGTTCACCTACAACTTAACACAAAGAATTCTGGGCATTGTAGTTTACCCCTCACACAGTTGCAATTCCCAGCAAACCTTAACAAACTACAGTGCCAAGAATTATTTGAGGGGAAAGAATGTGCTTTGAATGTACTTTATAGTGGGCACACGGCCTATGATAAGCAGCCTTCTTCCAACACTGGGCCCCATATGTTGTTGGACTACAACTCCCATCATTCCCAGCCAACTGAGCCAATCACCAGGGATGGTGGGAGTTGTAGTCCCACAACGCCTGAAGACCCAAGGTTGAAGAACTCTGGTCTGTAGTAACCTGACAAACGGAAAAGTACTCCCCTGCTAACTATCATTTATATCCTCTGTCGCTTCATGTAACGGGTGAAGTCAGTATGGGGCAACCAGTACTGTAATTATTCAGTAACACCCTTTATCCGTTTGAAATCTCCCAGACCCTCACTACAGACACATTCCCCTCATGATTCCCTAGTTTCTGGGAAGCCATCGCGCCACAATTCAGACATGACACCACACCATGGTCAAGGCACATGATGACTTAAGGTGCCCATTTCAAGAGGAAAAAACTAATTTTCTTTAACACAGCTTATGACTAGGCTTTTTGTACTGCAAAATTTATTGGCCTATTAAAAATAAGATCGGTGCATCACAAGCCAGACCCAAGATTTAGAGTTCTCTAAATAGAAACCTAGTTTAGCATCTGCTCATCCTGGTTCTCTGGTCTCTCCTCCAGCTCTGTTCTGTTGATAATGATCAGCCTATATCCTGATCTGACCTAGAAGGAAATAAGCACGTTGTGGTTTAGGGTTGCTAGGCAACCCTGGGAAAGCTCTCATCACACACACACACACACACACACACACCCTCCTAGTCAAACAATCAAAAATTACTGGGAATTGTCCTGTGTGTATTTAAGCAAAGCCAAAGTACTTTTTTTCCATTTTCCTGCCGCCACCCGCCAAACTGACCAAGCCACGATAGGAGTTCAGTACACAGGTAGAATAACAGAACTGTCGAGCTGGAAAAGGCCACGAGGGTCATCTAGTCGAACCCCCTACAAAGCAGGAACCTTTTTGCTCAACATGGGGCTCGAACCTGCAACCCTAAGATTAAGAGTCTCTTGCTCTGCCAACTGAGCTAAGCCAGGGATTGCCCCACTTGCCTTATAAAAGGTATACAACTTTATTCCCCGAGTCAATAATTTCATTTGAAGATACAGATATTTGTGACGTTTGTGTTCTTACGCTCTCACACAGAAATCCCTACTGTTGGTTTCATCCCTTGCCATCTCAGCAAAATTAAGCTGTGTATCCACTTGGCGTAAGAAGTGATTTCACATTGTTCCTACAGCAGGCTTCACACTTTCATTTTAAGGAGCGTACATGCTCCTGCGCAATTCAAACATGTGGATTGTCTCCAACTTAGTCCTACTCAGAGTAGACCCACTGAATTTAATAGGACAAGGTTAGTCAGGCCCATTAATTTCGGTGGTCCTGCTTTGAGTAGGACTCACATTGGATACTACTCTGTATTTTTATTTAAGTCATACTACTGTACTGGTCTCCTTTGAAGGCACCAGACCCTCAAACCTGATAATATTCTACTTTGTTGGTTCACTTTTTTGTTGTTCCTATTAAATTTACACCTTGCCTTTCTGCAAAGGGATACAGATGCTTTCAGAGCAGCATTGCAACTATTAATATCTCCCACATTGTATTCACGAAAAGCTTAGCCCAAGTGTTGAGGCGCATTTTGTTTGTTTAGAAAATGTATAAACTGCTTGATAAAAAAATTAAAAAGCTCTCCAAGCAGGTTACAAATAAAGTAACCCAGCAAAATCCACAAACACTGGTGGTTTTCTCCGGGTTAAAAACTCAACACAACTTTAAATGTAGACAAGTAAATCAGGTGCCTGGGCAGAAACGTTTTCAGCAAGCGTCCAAAACAATATAGATATTGGATACTATTCCTAAGATACCATTTTTAAATATATTCAAAAGGTTCTGGTGCAGTTTCCCTTTTCCCTATGTTCACCTGAGGGAGAGAAAGCTGAAGCAGAATAATCCATCCTGTCAATGCCCGGAAGCATGGGAGTGAAACTGCTCCCCTCCCGAATCTCTTGAGAGAAAATATTGGGCCTGGAGACAAGGCCCAAGACATTTTGCTGACTGAGGTGAAGCAGGTTATAGCGCTTCACCAGCACACAAGGCAAGGTGCATACTAAATAATAATAATAATAATAATAAATTTTATTTATATCCCGCCCTCCCCAGCCGAAGCCGGGCTCAGGGCGGCTAACAACAATAAAACAGTACAAAAGTACAGCACAAACAACACTCTAAAATCATTCATTATAAAATTAATTAATTCAAGCCACTGGCAACCATTGGGCCAGAGCTCCGCGAAGATTGCCGAGGGAGGGAGTCAGGCTGTGCCCTGGCCAAAGGCCTGGTGGAACAGCTCTGTCTTGCAGGCCCTGCGGAAAGATGTCAAGTCCCGCAGGGCCCTGGTCTCTTGTGACAGAGTGTTCCACCAGATTGGAGCCACGGCCGAAAAAGCCCTGGCTCTAGTTGAGGCCAGCCTAACTTCTCTGTGGCCTGGGACCTTAAAGATGTTTTTATTTGAAGACCGTAAGTTTCTCTGTGGGACATACCAGGAGAGGTGGTCCCGTAGGTACGAGGGCTTTAAAGGTTAAAACCAGCACCTTAAACCTGATCCTGTACTCCACCGGGAGCCAGTGCAGCTGGTATAGCACCGGGTGAATGTGATCTCGCAGCGAAGACCCCGTAAGGAGTCTCGCTGCAGCATTCTGCACCCGCTGGAGTTTCTGGGTCAGTCTCAAGGGCAGCCCCACGTAGAGCGAGTTACAATAATCCAGTCTGGAGGTGACCGTTGCGTGGATCACAGTGGCTAGGTCAGGGCGAGAGAGGTAAGGAGCCAACTGCTTAGCTTGGCGGAGATGGAAAAATGCTGCCTTTGTTGTAGCTGCAATCTGCGCCTCCATGGAAAGGGAGGTGTCGAAGATTACACCCAAACTCTTAACGGACGGTGCTGGCACTAATTGCGCCCCCGCAAGAGATGGGAGTTGCCCACTAGTCACCTCAAGGCCGGCTAAGTTATTTTCTGTACCTGAGGCAGAAAATCCAGCAAGGATTACTCCTCCTCTCTGGCATCAAAAATGTAACAATAATAAATTTGCTCTGACTAGTAATTTCTACCCTTCCATAACACTCAAAAACACCAGCCTAAAGTGGCCATCTCGCTATAGCTTTGTTACCGGAATTTTTATAATGGTTTGTTTCCAGTTAAATGGGACACTGCACCTCCAGACCATCCCCCAAACCAACACCATTCAATTTTGTAAATACATTGGTACCTCAGTTTAAGAACAGCCCTGTTTATGAACTATTCGGTTCACGAACTCCACAAAACTGGAAGTAGTGTCCCGGTTTGCGAACTTTACCTCAGTCTGAGAAAGGAAGCCGAACGGTGGAAGGGCACTGATGGAGGGAGGCCTCATTAGGGAAAGCACGCCTCGGTTTAAGAACGGTTTCGGTTTAAGAACACACTTCCAGAACGGATTAAGTTTGTAAACTGAGGTACCACTGTACCCCCATAAAAACTCACCACAGTTTTGCTGCGTTGTATCTTGTTCAAGGTCGCACAGCCTTCACCTGTCCCAGGTGCAGCAAAACCTTCAAATATTCATATAAAATCAGCCCCACGTCCGGATCGACACCGTTCCAACTTCATTTTACTCAGGGAACAAAGGACTACCGAAGCGGAGAGCTTGGGACATGAGTGAGGGCAGCCATAATCCCTGAAGCCTGTGACAACTACACAGCAGCCTCTTGCACAAGAGATTATCACTGGCATCCTGGCAAATGTGTGCCAGACAGGTAGTCATCACATGGACAACAGGAAACCATCCAGGAAAGGATTGGGTTCTCAGTCAAGACAAAGAAGTGTGAAACCCAGGAGCTTGTAAATATTTCCTTTGATGGGTGTGAGGTGGAAGGCAAGGGAGAGATGGGGGCAAACCTGATGAACCGGTTCTTTGTGACATATGTATGATGTATCTGTGATGTATGCATGATGCTTCAACAAAGCTGTTTATGGGAAAAGGGGAAACTTATAAAAGAGGAAACATCCCTTTATTCAGGGCCTCTTCCTGCTTCTTCCATGTGGTGGGTGGAAGTCCTGTTGCAACAGTCTTTGAATAAAGATCAGGCCTACCGGCTGCTGTTTTGCTCCTTATACTCCTGGCTTGTGTCTTTGTTTGGCAAACCAAGTGACCCCAAGGATTTTCCTATAACAGCTTGGTAGTGTGAGAGATCTATCCTGCTTTGCCCACAGAAGGACAAAGGCAGCCTTTGCCCTGCCTCCATCCCCGCAAGGAGATGCACAGGGCCGGCCCTACCATTTGGCAAAGGAAGGCAGCCACCTCAGGCAGGAAATGCTGGAGGCTGGGGACGGGTGTCGAGGGGCAGAACTGGTGCCAAGGGTGGGCGTCAGCTCATTAATAACATTGCAAAATAACAAAGCTCTCTTTTCGGTGTGACAGGTTGAAATTGTTATGTCCTTGCTAGGAATGTTTTGCCCTCCGCTGTTTGAAACCATTGCAAACTTAGAGGAGTATCATCCTCGGATTGGACTGAAATGGCAACTTGGACGCATTTTTGCACTCTTCCTTGGGAACCTTTATACTTTCTTGCTGGCCTTAATGGATGATGTCAAAGAAAAGGTGGGAATCTAAAAAGAATATCCATACATTAATTCCCAGAGGGGTAGCTGCGTTAGTTTGCTGTGGCAAAAACAGAAGAGTCTTGTGGCACCTAAGTAAAGCCAATATTGCCCCTGCTAGTGAGTTTATTATGGTTGTGGTGAGATTCAAACCAGTCTCTTCCCACTATATTATATCGACTCTTACTCTGTGGTTTGGATTCCCTGAGGAGAAAAGATCCAGACAGATCTATCTGCTCTGGAGCAGAAAGTGCAGCCAGGCTCACTGGAGGAGATGAAATCAGTCAGTTAGAAATAAAGAGTCTTTGCTGAATCAGCAATTACAAAAAAGTGTAGGCTGGTGTGGAGGTCTAGCTGCAGAGGAGTCAGGGACATCTGGAAGTGGCTGACAGGGCTGAGCCACAGAAAAGACTGAGCGTATTGGAAAATCAGATCTATTCATGAGTCAGAGTCCATCAAGCAAGGCAGGGGGTGTATGAGAGGCAAATAAACCCTCGAGCAAAACCAAGGCCTTGTCAAGACGACTCCTCTGTAGAAATATTAGCCAGTGTGCCCATCAGGCCCAAATGGAAGTGTACTGCATTTGACTAAAACATTCCCTAGAAGGTCCGTCTGTCCCCGTTCAACATGACATGTCAAAGAAATGGTTGGAGACAAGGAAGGAGACTTCTTGACAGCTATTCTACATGGCCTAGCTCTTAGGCTTCTTACACAATCTACCCCAAAGAGGGAGAATTATTCAGACCCCCGTGGCTGTGAGTCAGGTTTAGCACCATTCAAAACTGGTTAATTCTCCATACACCCTTACTGAGATTCAAAATGATGTATGACTTCAGTCTTGCTATAGGAGATGAAACAAGTGATTTAAAACGAAACAGACCAGGGCTTTGGAGGAAGAAGCCCTACAGAGCTGCAATATGTTTGGAATATGAATACTTGTTTGCACATCTTGACAACCACATTTGACCCCTTTTCTCAGCCACACTCACAGTCCAAGTGTGCACTGTAATGTAGCCAGCTGATTTTCATTCTCAACCAGTGCTTTTGGACTGCCTTGTCCATTCTGGCATATCTTCAATAGATAGTTCTTGGAAAATGCTTTCCAGGTGCTTATCCTGGATAGTACAGCTTCTCTGTTGTTGTTAACAACGTTTAACAGCTTCCATTTAAAGTTTAGATCATTTATGTCGCCATTATGAGGATGCACGTTTACCCAGCATACATTTTATGAGAATTAAATATGTTTTCTGTTGTAGCTGGTTGAAGAAGTCAGCATCAGGAACATAACACATTGGACCCTCCTAAATTATCATAATTCGTCTGTGGCGAATGGAAGTGCTGTTTCTCTACCTTCCATGGATCCAGCCGATGTCCCTCGAGGACCTTGCTGGGAAACCACTGTGGGAATAGTAAGTCCTTCCATGAAACTCTTATCTTAGCATGCCTCAGACAGGGCCTGGTAGTGTGAGCCCTGTTTAACCGAGATCAGAGCTACACAATCTGCCAAACTGAATTGTGTTGTGCACCCATGGGACTTCTGTACCATTTTGTAGCCTGAACTCATAGTGTAGGTGTTGGGAGTTATAGTTCAGCAGCATCTGCAGGGCCAAAGATTCCTGAAATATACTCAGAGTCGAGAGTGGATTTCATGCTCTTTGTTCAGCTCATAGTGGTGAGGAGGAATGGAAGTTCCCCCACAATATCTGCTTTATATACATTATTTACACAATGGGCCCCACGTGACTGGCTAATTACGGGATTCTCCTGTAGGCCAATCAGGTTGTGGATTCACGTCCACCTGGAGCTGGATTGGGTGGCTCCTGCGGTATACTGCATTGTTCAGACCAATCAGACTGCTGCATTCTGAATCCTATTGTTCTAGGACCAATCAGACTGCTGCATTTTGGATCCTATTTAACTTAGCACATAACAGTTCCCATCATCCCTGGTCACTGGCCATGTTTGTTGGGACTGATGAGAATTGTAGATCAGCAACATCTTGAGGACCAAATGTTCTGCCATAGAGCCAGGTGCACTTCCTCAAAAGACGGAGGTTTCCAAATACAGTCAAACCTTGGCTCCCGAATGCCTCCGTTCTGGAACGTTTTGTCTCCCGAACACCGAAAACCCGGAAGTAAATGCTCCGGTTTTCAAATGTTTCTCAGAAGCCAAACGTCTGACACGACTTTCGCTTGAGTGCAGGAAACTCCTGCAACCAATCAGAAGCCTCGCCTTGGTTGTCAAACATTTCGGAATTGAATACGTTCGACAACCAAGGTTTGAGGGTACATAAAAAAGTGTCAGCAGTAGTATTTTTTTCTGCTTTATTTATACGATTCCAAAACAGAAATGCACAAGGAAACATAAGGTTTGTACAACATGGTAAGCCAAACTGTGACGCACTGGAACCACCCAAATGTAGAGGTCCTAGAGGAGATCTCACAGTTACTTTGCTCCTCCCCAATTTTATTTAATCCCATGCCACACAGAGCTAAACCAAGGTTAGCATACCATTTGGACCCAGGCTCATGGTTCAGCTCTCTCCTCACTAACCACAGGCTGCAGTTAAGAGCAATAACCAGACCGCTGTCACCAGCTTCTTAAGTTAGAATACTGTCCGAGCTAAACTGATCCTTCTCCTGTTCAGAGCTATCTCTTTCAAGGACTTCGTAGTCTCAGCAGTTGCACGAAGGTTCTTTATTTACCCGGTCAAGTGTTCAGTGCGCAAAGGTTATCCTAACCTGTCCAACACAATCAATAATTCAAATAGTCCAAGAATCAAAAATCAAACTTCATGACTCACCTTTCACAACAGATGAAATCTATATCACGGTCTTCGGCAGGAGCAAAACAGTAACTTCCTTGTGGGTACTCTTTCTTCTTATGCTTCAGGGTACCTAACATCCAGCCCTTCTTTAATAGGGCATTTAGGGCCCATGGTTTTCTAGATAGCAACCCTATGACTACTCTAAAGTAAGAACTCTCCTCCCACAGGACTGGCACAAGTTGTTTTGGTGCCTAAGGAGAAGTAATAAAACCTTCTCACCCTTCTCAAAGTGCATATACTAAGGCTGGCCAATTTATTTTGGAAAATACCACAGACAAGGCCTCTCCATAGGAATAAAACACAATAATAACAAATAACCCCTCAAGACAGCCTAAAGTAGCAGCCTCACTTTGTAGACCTGGGACTCAGCTATACAGCTGCAAATAAAACATTTTAAATGCAATATACAAATGTGGCACTAGACGGCAACAGTGAGCTATGCCAAATTCAATGTATTTTTTAAAACGTTTTTGAAAAAAGCATTTTCATCCCAACCACGGCTTTTATCCGATGCAAAGAGCACTAGGAAGCACAAAAAATGGAGATTCTCTTCTTGAACCAACTGACCACTTCGGACCTTTATATCAGCAGCAGATCTGGAATGTTCTGGAATCCCATCTCCAATGGTGGAGCGCTTCTTTCAGTGGCCAACCAAATACCTAGAGCATAGCTGTCAACTTTTCCCTTTTCTTGTAAGGAATCCTATTCGGAATAAGGGAATTTCCCTTAAAAAAGGGGGAAAGTTGACAGCTATGACCTAGGGGAAGCCAGCAAAGAGGACAAACAGAAAAACTTATAAGACTGATACCTTTGCATTCTCCTGGTCACATAACTAAAGACCTTGGATACAGATGTGCTTTTCCACAGAAATTAACACCACAGAGATATAGTGGTTTGGGTATGTGTAAGAAAATAACATAGCACCCCAGCTATTACCTTTGTGTGTGTGTCTTTTGTTTTCAGCTTGCACCATCTCCCACTGTATTTCAACCACCAACAGGCAAAGTCTGCAGGCTCCATTAGGAATTCCTCCTTTAAATTAAAAGCTTCCCTCCCTGCAGCTTCAACCCATTTTATTGCTTCCTTGGAACAGTGCAGGTGGAAGATTAGTGCCAAAGTGCCCCTGATTGGGTCAGTTTTCGTTCCTCATTTGGGGGCCGGAGGGAGGAAGATATTTATAAAATTACTTCAATTATAGACGGTATATTTTTCTCCATAAGAACAAAGGAGTGGCAGGAGATACACTGCAGCTTTCTGAATCTAAAGTACAGGAGACATCTAGTGGTCACAACAGAAATGAGAAGTAGGTTCCTGCAATGGAATCTTTCTTTGCCTGACCAATAAGAGAGCAGGTTTGAAGCAGAAGAAGTTAAGAACTTTGGGGATTTGAAAAAGAAAAGAACACTTGAAAAGACAGTTGGAGAAGGGAGAAGGAGCAGGAGGAAGAGGGCTAAGGGATTATGAAACAAACATGGATTCTTAGTCTCCTGTTTGCCTCATGGTGGTCAGAGGAGCCAACTCCTGGGGGCCGAGGTCCCTTTGGCTCCGCCCAGTAAAATATTTGAGGGCCTTCCCCCCAAAACCATTGACAGACATTCAAATGGTGGCATCATGTGATTAATTATGAGGGGTGGGGCTTGCCGACCCCCCAATATTTTATTCAAGTGGGGCCCCCCTGCTCATGGTGCTCGTATTTCCGGGAGACGCCAAAAAGACACACACACCACTGTCCTGCTACTTTATAGTCCTGTCACCAGCAGACAGATGCTTTGCTTGAGAAACACCAAATGTGTCCTAACCTAAAGGAAAGACATGGAAGTCTACGAGAGAAGAGGAAAAGATGGAAGCAGTAGACTCAAGGCTCTTTCTGAGGCGACAAGCCTGCATCTGGGCTGCGCCAGTTCAGGCAGCAAGAGGGAGCTTGTCATGGAGAAGTCTCTCATGGCATCAAAATAAAAACTCTGTACTTGCAGCAGTCAGTCAAATGAATCCTCATCTACAGACTGAAGTGCTACAGCATGGGTAGGCAAACTAAGGCCCGGGGGCCGGATCCAGCCCAATCACCTTCTAAATCAGGCCCGAGGACGGTCCAGGAATCAGCATGTTTTTACATGAGTAGAATGTGCCCTTTTATTTATTTATTTGTGGGGCATAGGTTCATTTTTCCCCAAAAATATAGTCCGGCCCCCCACAAGGTCTGAGGGGCAGTGGACCGGCCTCCTGCTGAAAAAGTTTGCTGACCCCTGTGCTACAACATGCACACGGGTTTACTGCCTCAGTTAGAACTAGGCAGATGTTTTGAACAACACAAAAGCTGGCCAGCTCCCTTGGCCAGGAAAACAGGAGGAACATTGGAAAGCCAGCACAGTCTTGGTCCAGCTCTATTTCTTTATGTATTTATATTTATTTATTAGATTTATATAGTGCCCTTCGTCATAAGATCTCAAGGCAATTTCAAATTTTGCTTCTGCTGTAAAACCCTCCAGTGCCATAGTCCTCACACCCTAGGCCAACCCCAACCTCTCTCACCACCAAAGGAACACAAGTGAACAACACAAGCAACGCTGACACCAAACTCTACATACATTAAACATAATAGAAACACCGCCACCCGACCCCACCCCTATCCATCTTCCCTCTCTCCACCACCCCTTTCTTTTTTCTTTCTTTTTTTTCTTCTCCCCCTAATGCCTCAACAAATGAAACGGATTTGTAAAAATGTTACATGAAAAAAAAATACGAGGCACTACACTTCTGTAAAACAAGAAAATCCTTAATAAAATATTTTTTTTAAAAAAAAAAAAACCTCTGCCTGAGGAGTGTTGCTAGGCCTTTGGGGACTTGAATAACCAGTTGGCCGGGCTGCAACTTCGACAAATTCAATCGAGGCAAAGGAGTTCTGAGGTAAAAAGTGAGCTTGGTTCAGCACCAGGTATAACCGGACACTTAGACTGGCCTACAAGTCCCAACACAGTCTTTCTAAGGAAGATTATATGGGAAATTTGGTGGCTCCTGAATTAGTGACTTCTGAAAGACAATTTTCTGTTTTAATGTTTATTTCCTCTTAAAATAATATATATGGCAGTTGGGGGAGTCTTAGAATACAAACTGGAGAACATCCTAGCTAAATGCTTATCACTTTTTGTCGTCCCCCCCCCCAGGAATTTGTGAGGCTCACTGTGTCTGATATACTTGTGACATTTGTAACCATACTTGTGGGAGATTTCCTCCGTGCTTGCTTTGTCAGATTTGTCAACTATTGCTGGTGCTGGGACCTGGAGGCTGGATTCGTAAGTAAATGAACTGTAGATGAAGCAAAGTTCTTGTCTTATAATAGAGTTTAACCAATGCTTTGAGCCACATTTTAATTCTGGTTTTCCCCCCACTGAAATGTAGATTTAGAATCCCCGCACTGCAGATAAGGCTAGTGTAACTGCTCAGGCAGGCTGGGGCATGTTATGACTTATAAATGTGTCATGACACTTCATTTTGCAACAACTGCAGCATCTGAACTAGCCTTAAGGGCAGTGGCATACAGAACAAATGACGGTAACCTAGCCTTGAGATTGCCAATGCATTGATCGCTATAGCCAGGCTCTTGTCTGTCCAGCAGCAGTTGAAGTTGGCAAAAGGCTTTGTCTAGTCTGCAGCAATCTATCCTGCATGGATTTAAAAGCCAGGAAGGTAAAGATATGCTAGAAAAACTTAAAAGTCCCAAAATCTCAGATTATCAATAGTCCAGGACTCACCAGAACATCAGGCTGTGCAGTGCATGGTACCGTCATGTGGAACCATTAATGCGCATATATAAGAAAGACAAGATTATTCTCAGCGCCCTACCCCACCCCGTTCAGAGATGGAACTTGCAGGGATACGGAGGAAGCTGAACTCTACCAGCTGCCCGAGTTGATTTGATGTCAAATGCATCACGATAAACCATGCCAACAGTTTTTAAAATTTAATGGCAGAAGTGTGGGGAGGCAATTTTAACTGGGAGCCCAGCCCATGGAGAAGTTTAACCGTTCCCTCCACAATCATGATCTAAAGAGGGGGGGGACCCTTTTCCTGCTATAAGTCTTATGGGGGACGACTCCCAGTGCTGTCAATGGGAACATTTTCCCCTAAGGCTCATAACCACAGCAGGGCCGGGGGATTTTCATTGGGATCACAGTGATCTTGGGCAAAGTCATGAAGGCTGACCTACCTGTTATGTACTGAAGTTCTCACCCTGGGCCAGCAGGGCGATACTGTAGATAGTTATGCAAATGAAGGATCGAAAGTGACGTTCAGTGATTGGATAGTTTGTATGCAAATGAAGGATCGAAAGTGATGTTCAGTGATTGGCTAGTTACAGAAAATGGTTACTGTTGCATTCCAGTGGAGCTCTATATAAGCAGGCTGACTGTGATGGCCTGGGAATCCGATTCAGAGGCTGAACCGGAGGAATCCCAGCCTGCACAGGAGTCCCCGCCTCCAGGGCCGGCTGAACTGGGGCAGGGCCTTGATTCTGAAGCGCCTGCACCTGTGCCGGATCCTCAGGAGCAGGCATCAGGTGAATCCACTCTGGCTCCGGAGGTGGTTGACTCAGTGCCTACAGGTGAGTCTCCCCCTGGGTCCAGTAACCCTTCAGCCTCTCCTGAACTGCAGAGGCTCAGGGCAGAGAGGCGAAGGGAACTGGTTTCTCCCAGGAGGAGTGCTCGCCTTAAGGCCAGGAGAGGCGGGTCTCCTGGGGGCCGGGGCCGCCCCTGGCCTCAGAGAAGATAAAGGCCAGTCAGCCCGGTCCCAGGTTGTGGGAGCAACGTCGTTGAAGAGCTGTTTCGGCCAGCATCCAGTCCTGTTCCCCCAGAGTTCCTGTCCTTGCCCGGCTTCTCGCTGTGGACCCCGCTTCGCCTGAGGAGGACTGTCTGCCGACCCTCAACTCAGGTCCTGGACCTCACCCCACGGTAACCTCCCCCCTGGACCAGCACAGTTTGCTCCCGCCACACCCGCACTCCCCCTTCGTTGGGGTGCATTTGGGAAAAGCCAGAAGCCATGGCCGACCAGGCAGCTGCGCTGGTGGCATTGGCCCAGGAGAACCAGGCCTTGACTCACACCATGCAGCAGCTCAGCGATGCGGTTACGGCACTTCAGCAGCGCTTGGACACCCTACCGGCTCCTGTGGCCGATGCCCCAGCTCCAGGCAAGTACCCAGTAGCCTTGCCAAAGAAATTTGATGGGGCCCCGGCCAGCTTTCTCATGTTCCTCGCCCAGGCCAAGTTGTATATTCAGGGGCGAGACCGGAACTTCCCTGACGACCGCACCAAGGTGCACTTTTTGATCAGTTTGTTAAAGGACCAGGCGGCCAAGTGGGCATTGCCGCTGCTCAGGCAAGACTCCCCCTTGCTGACAGACTATATGGGGTTTTGCAACCATTTGGAGGCCACATTCGGCAACCCCCAGAAGGAGAGTCAAGCCAACCGGGCAATTAGGTGTTTGAAACAGGGCAAGTCCACTGCAGCCGCCTACACCATGGAATTTCGGCTGTTGGCACAAGACTTGTCTTGGAATGACTCTGCACTTCGGGACCAGTATCTTGAGGGACTGTCGGATGAGATTCTGGACCAGTTGGCCATGATGGATCGTCCCACCACGCTGGATGCCCTTATTCAGCGGAGCCTGCAGATAGACGATCAGTTGGAGGACCGTCGCCAGGTCCGGGACCGCCAGCACCCCTGGCTCCTGGCTCCAGTCCTTCCCAGCAGGTCCACGCCCACAGCCAAGTTACCGGACCTTCATTGCAGATTATGCTGATCGCACCACCCCGTTGACCCGGCTACTGCGCCCCAAGACGCCATTTTCCTGGGACAAGGAGGCAGAGGAGGCGTTTCAGGGGTTGAAGGCCTGTTTCCAGAGAGCGCCGATCTTGCAACATCCTGATCCCTCTCGACCCTTTGTGGTAGAGACCGATGCCTCCAGTACGGCTCTCGGTGCCATCTTGTCTCAGCAGTACGGACCCTGCGCCTTCTATTCCCGCCAGCTCCTTCCAGCGGAGCGTAACTATACCGTGTGGGAGCGGGAACTACTGGCCATCAAGGTGGCCTTTGAGGTCTGGCGCCACCATCTTGAGGGGGCACGACACCCGGTGGAGGTGAGAACCGACTACCGGAACCTGGAGTACCTCCAGACCACCCGCAAGCTGAACCAAAGGCAGATCTGGTGGGCGTTGTTCTTTTCCCGGTTCCAGTTCCGGATCCGCTACATCCCTAGGTCCCAAAACCAGAAGGCAGATGCCCTGTCCCGGAAACCTGAAGACAACGCAAACACGGTACAGCAAGCAGTACCCACCATGATCCTACCACCGGCTGCATTCCTGGCCACCCAGGAGGCTGAGCCACTGCAGGCTCGGGTGCGGGAACAGCAGCGGGTCGACGCTTGGGCCCAGGAACGACTCCGGGAACTGGCCAAAGGGTCATGCCCTCAGTATCCGGGGCTGGTCTTGCATCAGGGCCTCTGCTGCACCACGGTCGCCTGTACATCCCGCCAGGGCCACTGCGGGGTGAGGTTCTCCGGATGACCCATGATGCCCCAGCAGTGGGACACTTTGGGCGGTATCGGATCACCCATCTGGTAAGCCGTGAGTTTTGGTGGCCCCGCCTGAAGGCTGACGTGGCTCACTACGTCGCTGGTTGTGATGTCTGCCAGCAGGCCAAGGGCCCTACCAGGCAACCCCCCGGCCTACTTCAGCCATTGCCAGTCCCACCACGTCCTTGGCACACGGTTTCGCTGGACTTTGTAGTGGACTTACCCCCGTCTCGTGGCTGTACCTGCCTTCTAGTTTTCTCCGACCATTTCACTAAGATGGTGCACTGTGCCCCCTGCCCATCCGTACCCACAGCTAAGGAAACCGCTCAGCTGTACCTTCAGCATGTCTTCCGCCTGCATGGCCTACCTGAGCGTGTGGTGTCCGACCGGGCGTTCAGTTCACATCCCGGTTCTGGCGAGCATTGCACCAGACCCTCGGGACAGAGGTCTGTCTCTCATCAGCCTACCACCCACAGACCGATGGCCAGACGGAACAGGCGAACGCGGTGCTGGAGCAGTACCTCCGGTGTTACTGCAGCTACCAGCAGGATGACTGGGTCGACCACCTAGCATTGGCGGAGTTTGCCTACAACAACGCAGTGAATGCGTCCCCCCAGCAGACCCTGTTCCAGGCCAGTTACGGTTATCATCCACGGCTGTTTCCGGATGTGCTGCCGGCATCCACGGTCCCTGTGGTGACGGAGTGGCTTCAGGAGCTCCAGTCCCAGCAACAGCTATTGATGGAGCAACTGCGCCAGGCCAAGGAGGCGTACAAGGCCCAGACCGACCGCCACCGCCAGGTAGGGCCGGAACTCCACGTTGGTGACCTGGTATGGCTCTCCACTCGCCACCTCCACCCCTCTCGACCTTCGCGGAAGCTGGACACCCGTTTCACTGGCTCGTTTCCTATTGTGGACCAGGTCTTGCCTGTGGCATTCCGTCTCCGGTTGCCCGCAACCCTGAAGGTTCACCCGGTATTCCACAGGTCCCTTCTGAGTCCGGTGGCCCCACCCGACAAGTTCCACCCGAACCTTCCCCGACCGCAGCCAGTTTTGGTTCAGGGGGAGCCTGAGTACGAGGTGGAACACATTCTGGACTCCAGATACCGCAGGCGAAAGCTGCAGTATCTCATAGACTGGAAGGGGTATGGACCGGAGGACCGTTCCTGGGAACCAGCAGCCAACGTCCATGCGCCTGCCTGCCTCCAAGATTTCCATGCAGCGTACCCCAGCAAGCCGGGTCCAGACCCTCGATTGAGGGGGGGGCCTGGGAGGGGGGATGGTGTGATGGCCTGGGAATCCAATTCAGAGGCTGAACCGCAGGAATCCCAGCCTGCACAGGAGTCCCCGCCTCCAGCGCCAGCTGAACTGGGGCAGGGCCTTGATTCTGAAGCGCCTGCACCTGTGCCGGATCCTCAGGAGCAGGCACCAGGTGAATCCACTCTGGCTCCGGAGGTGGTTGAGGACTCAGTGCCTACAGGTGAGTCCCCCTGGGTCCAGTAACCCTTCAGCCTCTCCTGAACTGCAGAGGCTCAGGGCAGAGAGGCGAAGGGAACTGGTTTCTCCCAGGAGGAGTGCTTGCCTTAAGGCCAGGAGAGGCGGGTCTCCTGGGGGCCGGGACTGCCCCTGGCCTCAGAGAAGATAAAGGCCAGTCAGCCCGGTCCCAGGTTGCGGGAGCAACGTCGTTGAAGAGCTGTTTCAGCCAGCATCCAGTCCTGTTCCCCCAGCGTTCCTGTCCTTGCCCGGCTTCTCGCTGTGGACCCCGCTTCGCCCGAGGAGGACTGTTTGCCGACCCTCAACTCAGGTCCTGGACCTCACCCCACGGTAACCTCCCCCCTGGACCAGCACACTGACTGAGCTCCTCAGTTCAGTTCTGCTCCAGCTTACAAATAAAGAGCTGCTTTGGAAGAATCGCTGTGTCGTCTGATATGTTCGCCCACAACTTAACACTACCCTCCCTGGGTTATTATGAAGATAAGTGTGTGTGCCACCAAGCTCCCTGATGAAAAAGTGGGATGTAAATGTGACAATAATAATAATATTAAATAATAAAATTCAGCCTTCCAACATCATCTGTTTAAAAAACAAAACACTGATGTGGCTTCTAATTACATCTTTCGCATCCCACTAACAACATTTGGACATGGCATTCCCACCCCCAAGGCAAAAACTGAGACAACAACCAGCAGAAGCAGCACATATTTACCAGCAACAGCTTCCAAAGAATGAAAGTTGTCCCCTGTAAATAAGTACACAGATGGAATATATGAGAGCTCATGCTAGTCACATTAGGCTAGAGAGAGAAAACTGAGTCATTATTAGACAGCTCATTATATCTCCCAATTTTTACACAGCATCTGTAATTCTTCTTTCCTGACAACCCCAACATTATGTAATTCTCCATCTATGGGGTCACATTGTTCCCGCTTGTCATTCCAGCGGAAGACAGGCAGTCTTGAGTCACGCATATTGTTTCAGCAATCCTATTATTGTACTCCCAATTTGCTGCTTTCCACCCACTTCCCAGTTTTGGCGCTGCCATCAGTTTCTCTAACAAGGTGGAGGCTTGGTTTAGCAGGAGGATGCATAAAACCCTACCAACAGATAGGAATGGAGGGTTGTGTGTCTTTATGTACTTATTTGCAGAAATACACGTAGAATTCATTTTACCTGAGATGCAGAAATAAGGGATCCAACAAACGTACCATATGCTGCATCCAATCAGCATTTCACTAGGTCACTATTTGAAGGAATTATTATTTTTAATCCACTTTAAAAACAAATGATTGAAAATGCAGAATCTGGGAGACAAGGGAATGGTCTGGTGCATATCTATACAGACCATAATGTTGGTGATAGAAAATGACTACTGTGTGTTCGTTGCCACCCTACAGGTATTAGTTTCAAAGAGGATAAATGTACAGGAAGCTTTTTACAGCCATTCAGTGATAATTTTATATCTAATGCAACAATAGTTGAATTAGGGTACTGTCAGGGAACTGACATCGGAGCTAGAGGCGGAGGGGAGGCTCTCAAATGATGCTGGAGAAGGGCCCAGCAGGGAGAGAGGCAGCTCAGCAGATGGGGAAGCAAATCAGCGCAACACCAGAGATAAAGGGGGGCAGATGGGGAATCGGCGAGAGGGCTCCAGGACTCTTCACCGGACACCAGCGGGGAGAGCACGGGTCCTCCGCTACCCACGCCCTCCCTGCGCAGAAGGCTTCCGCGCAGGGAGAGTAGGAGGAGACTTGGCGTCAAACAACTTTTATGTTGGAAAAGGTTTAAGAAATGCCCACTGACGGATTCTGCTAGCGACTGAGGCAGCCACGAAGTGAAGGGCTGTCCAGACAGAAAGGTTTAAACAAGGCAACATAGCCAGGAGAGGCGGCAACTTACGCACGAGCAACCCATACTCATTACAGGTACTCCTTTTTGAAATGAGATATCAGCGATCTCTAGGCCCCTTTTATATTTATTCAAATAATCCAAAGGGTAAAAGTGAATGGAAACCAATGTTTTATTTCAGGTGAGAATCCTTTATTTTCCCCTTGATATTTCTGTAGTCCTCCAATACCAAAATTTAGCATTCAGTCATATTTCCTCTTTTTCATTACAGCCTTCATATGCTGAGTTCGATATTAGTGGCAATGTGCTCGGTTTGATCTTCAACCAAGGAATGATCTGGTGAGATATTCTTGTCTACTGTAGCCCTTTGCTAGAGAAAATGCTAAATTAAAACTTAAGAAATGCACCAGACTGAGGTCTGCTGTGCATTTTTGAAGGCCCAACAGAGACTCCATTTCCTTAGGGTCTTGCGTAAGAGCAGTGTCAAACAAAAACTGATGATCTCCTTCTACCGGGCCACAATAGAAAGTGTCCTTTCATACTGTATAACAGTGTGGTAAGCTAGTTTGACAGCCACGGACAGAGGGTGGCGAATACAGCACATGACATAATGGGTTGTCCTTGGAGTTCGCTAGATGACATCGCGGGAGACCGCTACCTCAGGAGAGCGAGGAAAATTCTTAGGGACGACTCACATCCTGGCTAACACTTCTTTAATCTTCTACCTTCGGGCAGGAGATACAGAAGTATAGTCAACCGTACCAGCAGGTTAAAGAACAGTTTTTATCTGTGGGCTGTTGGGCTGCTGAATGGGGAAAAAATAGTGGTGTAATTGACTTCCGACAAGCACACAGAGTGTGAACAAGACTGAGTATATGGGTGGGGGGCTCGTTTAATTTCACTGCACACGGGTGGTGTAGTGACAATAAAGGTTTTTTTTTAATTATTATTATTATGGCTCTTCTAATCACTCAGAAGTGCATGCTAGACACATCACATTTTGGTAACTTTTACTCAGAACGGTGGTTTTAGAACAAACACCTACCTATTTAAAAAGGTTCTAGGATAATCCCACAGGTCCATAGGATGCAGTGTCAACTTACGCAAGCTGAGAATCCGTCAAAGAACAGGGGCGAGGAAAAACAGCCTGTTCAGTTTGTCACTAAAACAGAAATGTGGAGCCCATTATCATGGGGTTCATTTTATATATGAATGATGAGCAAGATCCTACATTTTTCCATATTCTGCAGTCCAGGGAAGGTCCATAGCTCATTGATGGAGCATCTGCTTTGCATGCAGAACACCCCAGATTCAATCTCCATTATCTACAGGCAGGGCTGGAAGAGACCCCCATCTAAAGCCCACGAGAGCTGCTGCCAGTGACTAGAGAGCTAAACTGATCAGTGGTCTACAAGGCAGCCTTCCATCATCCTATGTTCCTTGATACTCACTGAATACTCCTTCCCTCTTCTCCCCATTCACGTATGCTCCTTAAACTTTTTTAGCCTGTGCACCTGAAATTGAGCAAGTGATATAGATTCTTCTTTCTCAGTCCAGTGGGAGGGAGAGATGGATCATGTGACACGGCTTGGGTGACTTGAGCAGGCTCTGCGCTGCTTTTTCTCCTGCCTCACCCAAGTGATAGCTCCACTCTCTGTCCTACTTTCTGTTATTTCAAAAATGAAAAAGGAGTTCTCATACCTTGAATTTAGCTGTTCAATCTCCCTCTCTCCCCTGCTCAGTCATGGGACTGGGAATTACAAAAGAAAAAAGAAGTCAAAAGTCAGGCTTGGCGCAAAGGACAAGAAGGCAATGTTTTCTTCTCAAATAAGGAAGAGAGGAGCCAGCCTCATAAAGAGCCCCTTATTTTTCTTCATATAGGCCCTTTTTTAGAGACCCCAGGGCTTTAGTTTCACAGACCCCCATGTGCCTGCCCCAGATATACCAGTGAAAGTCTGTGGAATCCTACAAGTCCAGTAAGCCCACTAAACAACCACATTGCCTCTTGTAAGAGACTATCTGGGGCAGCTACTCCATCAAGTTCTCCTTAAAGCCCAGACAAATTCCACAGCTGGAGGAACTCCTGAACCAGTCTCTGTTTGTTCTCAAGGCAAGGGCAGGTGCAGGGCAACCCAGTCAGATGGGGAGGGTACAAATAATAAATTATGATTATTATTAAGCCAGAGGTCCTTCCAGCTCACAGTTATGCAATAATAATAATAGCAATAATAATAATTTATTTATATCCCGCCCTCCCCAGCCGAAGCTGGGCTCAGAGCGGCTAACAACAGTAAAAATAACACAGTTTACATAAAATCACAATCAATTAATTGAAATACATTCTAAAATCAATTCAGAGTCAAATTAATGGCAACATTGGGCTAGAGTTCTATGAGGAGTACAGAAGAAGGGGGTCAGACTGTGCCTTGGCCAAAGGCCTGGTGGAGCAGCTCTGTCTTGCAGGTGTTGCAGAAGGATGTCAAGTCCTGCAGGGCCCTAGTCTCTTGTGACAGAGAGCTCCACCAGATCGGGGCCACGGCCGAAAAAGCCCTGGCTCTGGTTGAGGCCAGCCTAACCTCCCTGTGGCCCGGGATCTCCAAGATGTTTTTATTTGAAGACCGTAAGGTCCTCCGTGGGACATACCAGGAGAGGCGGTCCCATAGGTACGATCCAAAGGCCACTTGCAGCCCACTTTGTCACTCCAACACCAGGGAGTTCATTTAGAAACAGACAGGGGTGTGGAAACCTTATCAGGCTTGGTTCCATGCCCACACCTTCTATAAGCTCCTGTTGGTGTTCCAACATGTCCTCCATCCATCCAAAACACATGGCTACCTTCCTTCATCTCACCAACCAAGGCAATTTTATTGGTGCACATCCCACCTAGATGTTTCTCTCATCCTGGGACATTGAATGGGACATTGGCTACTTACTGTGAAAGTCAGTTCTGGTCCAGCATGAAGGAGACACCCAGTCCCACTGCAGTAGGTGGCTGCTGATGTGATAGAGCTCAAGATGTCTGGTTCTGCCATGCTATCTCAGAGGAGGCTATCCGTATGCTGACCTTATTTTCGCTTCAGCATCCAACCTTTCTACTGTCTTATGCACTACAAAGGAACTAAGCTGGAGCCTCTTCTGTCTGCTCAAGTCACCCAAGCTATCTCACATTATTATCCTGTCTGATCTGGGTAGTGGGTGGAGACAGCTCATCTGGATGTATCCCTAATGCTGAAACCGAAGGGACTGTCATAATAAGTAGCTATGGTTCCATTTTGCAAGCCAGGCAGGGGAAAGCTCTATTTTTAAAGAGTTTGCTTTGTAGTACGATCACATTGTTGTCGCTAACTACTTCCTTCCTGGCAGAACTTGCTCTGAGTCCATCCTTAATACCAGGCTCCTATGCTCTTCTATAGTTCGCTGTTTCTGAAGTGGATGCAGCTAAAGCCTTCCTGAAAAGCTTTCTATATTTCTCTCTTTTCTTCCTTCCTTACAGGATGGGATCCTTTTATGCACCAGGACTAGTTGGCATAAATGTGCTACGTCTATTAACCTCCATGTATTACCAGAGCTGGGCTGTTATGAGTAGCAATGTTCCCCATGAGCGCGTGTTCAAGGCCTCCAAATCCAATAATTTTTATATGGGGCTCTTGCTGTTGATCCTGTTCCTAAGCCTATTGCCGGTTGCCTACACCATAATGTCCCTGCCTCCCTCCTTCGACTGTGGACCATTCAGGTATTGGGGGATCCTGGTGGAGAACACCTCCTTAGCATGAGACCAGACTCCTGCTCATTTGTCCTACCATGCACACTAGACCCGATCCTATGCACATTTACTGCTGTGTTTAATGGGCCTTATTTCCATGGAAGAACATACATAATAAAGAATTTCTCTTAATCTTCAGGGTGACGGCCAACAATGCCGTGCTGCTTCCACAATGGGGCTTTCCTTGTCCTCCTCTCCCCTGCGGCATGCCTGCTTCCTAAATCTTCTCCAGACCTTTGCAGACCCTCTGGAGCAGACCTTGCGTGTGTGCAGTGGACTACAGAGGGGAGTCCTATCAAATGTGCTGGTGCAATGTTAGCTATTGCCCTAGATTTTCTTATCAGCCCCATAACTGCATATTTAATAGGTAGAGGAACGTCAATTGTTGTGTAACTTTAAAGAGTTTTAAAGAAAGTGTACTCTGTTACTCCAACTACTGCTAGCTCATTGGACACTTGCTGTCTCTCCTGACTTTCTTGACCAGTGTTTTCTTTCTTTCCTTTCCCTGCTTTACCTCTATGAAAAGAGATGAGCTGTTGAAGAGTAGGACAGCATCCAGGGTGAGCAATTGACATATTCAAGGAGAAGCCATGGACAGTGAGCAGTCTGGTGTTCCCTAGGAGTCTTGATATTCCCTTGTCGCAGAGGGAACAGCCCTATGGGGAACTATATAATATACGCTCCAACATTTCTCCAATGAAAATAGGGGCATCCCATTCCATAATGATAATTTTACTATTTATACCCCACAGATCTGACTGGGTTGCCCCAGCCACTCTGGGCAGCTTCCAACATATATGAAAACATAATAAAACATTAAACATTAGGAAAACTTCCCTATACAGGATTGCCTTCAGATGGCTCAGCAGTCAGATATCTCCAAACCCTCCAACTTTTCTCCAGTGAAAATAGGGACATCCTATGGGAAAGTGGAATATTCCGGGATGAAATCAGAAACTGGGACCAGCTTCTCTAAATCAGGGATGTCCCTGGAAAATAGGGACACTTGGAGGGTCTGTATATAAGACTGTGCACTTAACCTGGAAGATGGAAATGTAATGGATCAATACATAGACTAAAACTCAAAGTACCAGAGAAGTCAGACAAGCTTCAGAAATAAAGCCCTGCTTTCCAAAGCAACTTTTTCCATCGCCTCCCCATCCAAAATCTGCAATGTAATATGACCGTAGATGGTAAAAGTAAAACAGAAACTGACTTCTTCAGAATATGCTCCACTATCACTGTATTAATAAGCATTTCTTACTGCCATTCTGCATCAGCTTTACACAAATTGCTCCTCAGACTGGATTAACATGTCAATGAGCCCTAATTTGATTTAGTAACTGTTTCTCGCTGCACTGCTGGCTCTGACTCAGCGTGGAGCCAGTTCAGAACAAATTGTTCCTTTTGCTCCACTGTCCGGACCATTCTTTTGTTAATAAGCGGTGTCAGTAGCAATCTCTTCTCAGACTTTTGAGGGAAGAAAGAACGTACACAGTTTCTTTAGATTATTTTAGACAAGTCTCTTTGCATGTAGCTGTTCTACCCTTTAAGACTGCATCACAGCACACTGGTCTGTGGGCCACTTGACCTTGCACATATGAAGAATATGGTACTGTATAATGTCTGCTATCCTGAAGTAACTAGATGCCCTCGTTAAATCCCAGCTGGTAAATAACCTACCACACTCTTGATAGCTGTGAAATGGTTTAGGTTGATAAAAAGACATTCTTGATCCAGCTCCTGCTGAACATAACACAGTGTACAAAAGTTTCCAAAGATGAGGATTGCTTGTCATGTTCCCTTTAGAAAAGAAAATTGAATGCTGCCCCCCCTAAGTCTTTGTAAGTGGACTTTTCACTACCTTTTATGTAACTGAAAACAAATTTCAATTAAATATTATGTTTGGGAAAAAGACAAAATGGATGCATGCACCTGCGTCTTGACATACTCAAAAAGAACTACACAATCTTGGAATTTCTCTGAATGGTGCATTTCTGAAAGAAGTTGATAATGGCCTCTAATGAGTACTGCAAACTGTCATTTATATGTACCTGTTTACCATTCCAGTGGGAAAAAGAAAATGTACGATGTAATCCAAGAGACCATCCAACACGATTTCCCACCCTTTGTGGCCAAGATCTTCGGTTATGTGGCAAATCCAGGACTAATTATACCCGCCATTCTACTTATGATGTAAGTTGTTCCAATAGCCTGGGGACCTGAGAGCGAAGAAGAGTTTTATTTTAGCAAGAGGTATCCTTAGGTTATTGGTTTAAAATTTGCTAGGATTTAAAATGCCGTGCTGTGCGTGTAGCCTGAAATCAAACCAACCATTAATGGATTATGCAGAATCTGTCAAAAATGTCTTCTCACCCTAATTCATCTCCACTCCTTATATCCATAATACAGATTATTTTTCCACCGCAGCAAAAACAACAATACTTTTTTGTAAGCCACTTTGATATTTTTAATGATATGCTTATATATAGTTTATAAATATTCTGTTTTAACCTTTAAACGCCTGCTGAAAACTTTTCTATGCTGCCAAACCTATCCAGGCAATTAAGACAATGTCTTTCTTTAACAGTTGATGGTCTCTGATTTTAAAGTTTTCTGTGGTTTTTATTATATATAGATTCTCGTAAACTGCTTTGATATTTTTTGCTAGAGTTGTAAAAGAAAGAGGTTTTTTTGTTAATAACTGATAGGAAATGTGGATATTAACAAAAACACTCATGAAAGTGTTTAACTGATATTGTATTTCTTAGATCAGTATTGAGAGAATGCATGAATTAGGCAATGTGTTTCGGTCTCCCAAATAATTAAACCTGCCTCTTTTGTCTAATTTTAAGCCATTGTAAGGTGTCACAGAAGTTTAACTGATATTTGATTTTGTAGCCTTGCTATATATTACCTAAATGCTGTGGCTGAAGCTTATCAACATGCCAATGCGGAGCTGAAGAAGAAAATGCAAATGGTATGTTTGTATTTTATCAAATTAACTTACAAATGAAAACACCACAGGTGTTTTGGTCCATTGTTGAACTACATGGTTCAAAAATCCATGTGCCAGTTCATGTGCTGATTGCTACATTCCTAGCATTCCTTAAGTACATATTAGCTCATCCTGAATTACCTGCTCCTTCTTTATATATTAAAACCACATAATAAATTCTCATATTCCCAACTTTTTAAGATGCACTTAACACTGATATAAAAAATGCTACAACATTTTTATAATATGAAATATACCCGTGTGCAGCTCTATCTAGGGGCAAGCATTTGAAAATATATGATGTATCCAGCCCCCCAGCCCCACTCCACTGGCATAAATACACTCTCCAAATGAATGTCTCACCCCACCTGAAGAACTCCATTCTGAGAGTACACAGAGGCTTTGTGGTTTTTTAGAAAACAAACAAACCAGGAGACTTCCGGGGAGGTGCCTCCGGTAATGGCGGAATTCCTCTGACCGGGAGGAATCTGCTCCGTGGGAATCTGGGTCTGGCCGCCACGGCGAAGGTGGAGACCCGTTAAAATCATAGGCGGGAGAAGCCTGTGAGTGTGGGATTCGGCGGGCACCTTTTGCGCCTCCCCCACTCGCGGAGAACCCCAGTTTTTGGGGCTCCGGAGCGACGTGGGGTGAGCGGCGCGATGCATCGAATCATTTGCTTCTTCCACGGAGTGAAGCCGCATAGCTGTTGCCGGAGAGCGCTGCCCTTTCCTGTGGACAATTTGACTTTAAAGTAATTACCCGTGAGTAGAACTGAAGCGGAAGAATTGGATTTCTAAATGTTTAATTTGGTACCGTAACGGGGAGGTTCAAAACAGGAAGTCCGCCTTCCCCTTTTGTAAATAGACTGAGGCAATGAAGTTGCAAGCTGGAGTCCTGGAAAGCCTTTTGTAAAAGATTAAATTTCCATCGGTAAAGAACATTAAACCCCCTCTTGGAGGCAGGAGAAGAGAGGGGGAAGTTGCGGATTGAGTATGCCTGCGGGAGAGAGCGAAGAGATTTAAAACACCGCCGCTCTGACCCTGGAAACGGGCTGCTAGCAGGACTGACGTCTTTCGGAATGTTCATTGACAGCGTTTAGAACGTTCATTGACAGCTAGTTAAACAAGAGAAATACATTGTTTCTACTATCTCCGGCTGCTTTAAAAAGGAGTAAAAGTGACACTTCCGGGTTGGCGCCATCGCCGAATGGCGGACTCCCTCCGAGCTCCGGAGGGAGTCTGCTCGGCAGGGGCTGGGTCCTACCGCGCCGGCGACGCGGGGACCCTTAAAAACCACGGGCACGGAGTCCGTGGACAGGGGTGACTCGGCTTGCACCATTAGCGCCCTCGCGGCTCGGGAAGGAGCCTTTTTAAAGGCTTCGGATCGGAGTGCCGGGGAGCGGCGTGGTGCTGAGTCCTCTGCTTTCCCTGCCGAGCGCAGCCGCATGCCATTCGACGGAGAGCGCTGACTTCTTCCATTGAAAATTTGGACTATTAACAACAACCCGTGAGTAATTGGGAAACCGGGTTCAAAATTTCGGTTTGGCACGAGCGGGGCGATTTAAAAGGAAGTCAATCCCCCCCCCTACTGTAAGCATTCCAAAACAAGGACTGGGTAACCAAGGTCCAAAGGGAAGTATATTCTTGATAAAAACCATTAATTTCACGATGGGAAATTATAAGAACTGTGCTGGAGGAGAAGAGTGGAGGGTGAGAAGAAAAATGCATCCCCCCTGGGAACCGGGGCGGTTCGTGGAGCCTGGTGAAGAGAGACGGAGACTTTGACAGCTGTCAAAGTGGCTGTCAAAGTTGGAGAATATAAAGAGGACTTTGTTATGAGGACTTTGCCGGTTAATTTTGCTACAATTTGCTACAATATGGATATAAACTGTTGGAAAATAAGCAACAATTTGACTTTTGGATTAGAGGATACAAAGTTATTACAATCCCCCTAGAGGGGTTTCGGGATATTACAAGAACGGTCGTAAGTGGAAAAATACTCTGGGATTCGCACAGGACTTGTTATCTTTTGGGAAAGCTGCAAAACTGAAATAGTATTTTGTCTACAGAGGTATTTACATTAAAGGAGACAATAGAATTTTCTATTGAAGAAAGGAAGGGACTCGACGTAAGTATTTGTTCCTGAATAACAAACCTCTGCAGAGATACCAGATTTCTGAATTAGAAAGTTTTAGCAGCTGAACAGGACAAGAAACCTGAGAAAGTGAGGAAAAGAAGACCAAAGGACTGATTACGACACGGAAAGAACAACGGGAGGAGTGGTAAAGATCAAGGAAATTAAAGGCCTTTGTTAGATTGGACACTTGAAGTTACATATTATTAATAAATTAAAAGAAAACCGGCAAGATGGAATCGGGGAGAAATTTGGTCATGAATTGAGACTTCCAAGCTGATAATGCATAGACTGATGGATATGAGGAATTCAAACCGGGGAAGGGGAGATTTGAAATCCAAAGGCTGTGTAACCATCTTTTGAATTTTTCTATATCTTTTATTTTTATTTTTACATAACTTACGCATGTCATTTTATTTTGATTGGACGTGTTTAAAAAAGGGAATTCGTGGAAGGAACTGGGGTGGATCTTGGGGAAAATCTTTTTTCTTTTCTTGTTAATGATGTGGGACGGTGGTAAGATTTGTACAATTCAATTTGGATAGTGGGTTAAACAAATTAAGCTTCAAATTGGGAGTGAGAGCTTGTAGAACTAAATTAAGGAAAGGGAATACAGTCGGGGGAGGGGAGTCCCAGAAAGTAGGCAATGAAAGTAAGGTTCTTAAATATCTCTTTTTCTTTTTTTTCTTTGTATTTTTATATTTTTGGAAACTTTAATAAATATGATTTAAAAAAAAAAAATAAAAAGGAGTAAAAGTAACTGAAAATTGAAACTAATTTGAAACTAATTTTGGATTGTTTAAAAGAGGATACTATTGACTATTACAAATAGAAACTGTTTCCCCCTAGTGGAAGCCTTTGAAACCGGTTGCTCTACAAGAGCTGGGCTAGGGGAATTTCCAGCTGCAAGTTAAAAACCGTGAGACTCTGGGACTGACCTTGAATCTTTTAAGTGTTATGGTAAATGGAAGAGGAAAAACAGACCAGTCAACTGCTGACAAAACATTAAGGTCTGGGAGGACTTGGCAACAATCCAGGAGAGGTCCATCATCAGGCCCCCCTGCTCCTTCTGTTGCTGCCTTTGTACCAGTATATTTAAAACCAAGAGGAATGTCAAAACTTCCGGAGGTGGCGCCAACGGTAATGGCGGATTCCCTCTGATTCGGAGGGAACCCGCTCCACAGAAATAGGGTCGGATACCACTTTGGCGCAGCGGGGACCCCTGAAACCACAGGCGGGTGAAGCCTGTGACCCTGGGACTCGGCGGGCACTGTCTGCGCCCCCCCAATCTGCAAAGGAACCCGGCAACGGGCTCCGGAACAGAGCGGGGAAGTGGCGCTGTGCTGTGAGTCGTCTGCTTCTTCTGTGGAGTGAAGCCGCGTAGCTGTTGCCGGAGAGCACTGCCTTTCTTCCTTGACAATTTGGCTTCGAAAATAACGATCCGTGAGTAGGATTACTACGTAATTAAAGGAACTGTACAAAAATTGAAAGTAATTGGCCGAAGCGGAGAGGTATAAAAGGGAAGTCTGCCTCCCGCTCTTGTAGATAGAACAAAGCATTGAACTTGAAAGCGGAAGCTTTAAAAGATGCGTTAAAGGATTACAATCCGATCATCTAACCGGGATTTTCCCCCCCCCTCAATTTGGGGGAAGAGGGGGGGGAAGCTTTGAACGCTATTTCCCCAAGAAGAGGTGAGAAAGAGGAGATAAAAACCACCGCTCAAACCCCCCTGGAACGGGTTCCCAGTAACAGCAAAAAGCCTAAGAGAATGTACTGTCTTTGAAAGTATTTTGACAGCTAGCCCTGCATCTGAAATACAATTTGGATACAATATTGCTGACAGGTATCTCCTGGTCCTAAAGTAACTGTTTAAGATAGACTGTTATCTTTCTGGTGAATTGGGGGACTTAAGGGAGAAATAAACTACTTTAAGAACTTTATGACTGTTACAGTGTCCCCCTAGTGGAACTTGGAATTAGCTACAATTGCAGCTGGCCTGAGGAAATTTCTCACACTGTTTTCCTGGAACTTTCCATTTCAAAACAACTTTGACTCTGACTGTGTGATTGACCTTGAGTTTTAGCTGGAGGGGTATGGCAGATGGGAAAGAGAAGTTAGATTCGTTACAGGCAACAAGGTCTGGCAGATTATATCGCACAGACGGTGGATTGCAAAGGAGAGCCTCGACATCTGGCCCCTCTGGAGTCCCAACAGCAACCTCATCAGCACAACCTAAAACTAAAGGTATGGCAAGTGACAATGCCCTTGCTCAGGTACTGGCTAAAATTAATGAATCTTTGGATAGAATAAGTAAACAAGTAGCAGAGGCATCGGATAAGATTGATCAAAATACGATAAGTATTACCGTATTTTTCGCTCCATAGGACGCACTTTTTCCCCTCCAAAAATGAAGGGGAAATGTGTGTGCGTCCTATGGAGCGAATGCAGGATTTCGCTGAAGCCTGGAGAGCGAGAGGCATCGGTGCGCACCGATGCCTCTCGCTCTCCAGGCTTCAGGAAGCTATCCGCAAGCCTTGCAAGCCCGGTGGGAGTTCCCGCGGGCTCACAAGGCTTGCAGGCAGCAGCCTGCAGCCTGCAGCCCGGCGAGTGTCCGCAGGCCTTGCGCGCCCGGCAGGAGGTCCCGCCGGCGCGCGAGGCTTGGGGCAGCAGCCTGTCGCCCGAGCACGGGAGCCCTCCGGAGGGCTCCCCGTGCTTCGGGCAGTGTCTGCAAGCCTTGTGCGCCCGGCAGGAGGCCCCGCCCAGCGCGCAAGGCTTGGGGCAGCAGCCTGTCGCCCGAAGCACGGGGAGCCCTCCGGAGGGCTCCCCGTGCGTCGGGGGAGGGTCGGCAAGCCTTGCGCGCCCGGCCCGAGGCCCCCCCCAGCGCGCAAGGCTTGGGGCGGCAGCTTGTCGCCCGAAGCACGGGAGCCCTCCGGAGGGCTCCCCGTGCTCGGCGAGTGTCTGCAAGCCTTGCGCGCCCGGCAGGAGGTCCCGCCCAGCGCGCAAGGCTTGGGGCTGCAGCTTGTCGCCCGAGCACGGGGAGCCCTCCGGAGGGCTCCCGTGCTCGGGCGAGTGTCTGCAAGCCTTGCGCGCCCGGCGGGAGGTCCCGCCCAGTGCGCAAGGCTTGGGGCTGCAGCTGTCGCCCGAGCACGGGAGCCCTCCGGAGGGCTCCCGTGCTTCGGGCGAGTGTCTGCAAGCCTTGCGCGCCCGGCGGGAGGTCCCGCCCAGCGCGCAAGGCTTGGGGCTGCAGCTTGTCGCCTGAAGCACGGGAGCCCTCCGGAGGGCTCCCGTGCTCGGGCGAGTGTCTGCAAGCCTCGCGCGCCCGGTGGGAGGTCCCGCCCAGCGCGCAAGGCTTGGGGCTGCAGCCTGTCGCCCGAAGCACGGGGAGCCCTCCGGAGGGCTCCCCGTGCTTTAGGCGAGTGTCTGCAAGCCGCGCGCGCGAGGCTTGGGGCGGTAGCCTGCAGCCCGAAGCACGTGAGGCTTGGGGCGGCAGCCGCGGCGGGGGGGGGGAATAATTTTTTTTATTCATTCCCCCCCCCCCAAAAAACGAGGTGCGTCCTATGGACCGGTGCGTCCTATAGAACGAAAAATACGGTAACCAAAATACAGCAAGTATTAATAATTTGGGACAGAAAGTAAATACTAATACAGAAACTATTCAGAAATTATTACAGGAATCTATCTCGACACGTGAAATTGCCGAGGAGGCTAAAGAAATTGCTACAGCTACTGTTGCAGAGGTTAAAGAGAAGATACCACCGTTACATAAACAACTTGAAGACCATAAATCAATCGTGTCTATGATCGAGTTGAAGGAGAAACAAGTGAACTTAAGGGTCAGAGCTGTACCTGAAGTGGAGAAAGACAACTTAGTTGAATTTCTTACGCAGGAATTCCTAGATTTTTGGAATCCAGACTTGGGGAAAGACAGTTTTAAAATGGTGAATGCTTTTAGACTTGGAAAAGGAGGGGGAAAGAAGGTGAGAGATTGTTTGATCACTCTCCGAACAAAAGAAGAGAGAGACAAGATTTTGAGTTTGCATTTCCAGAAGACACTGGAAATACAACAGTCAAAAGTGGAGATATTCAAAGATATTCCGAAACACCTTCTGGATCTCAGGTCTAACTACAAAGATCTGGTTAACTTGTTGAGAAGTAATGGAATTAACTTTAGGTGGGAATTTCCTCAAGGCCTATCCTTTAGTTACAAAGGAAAGAAGAGAAAAATAAGATCGGAAGACGACAAAGACAAATTTTGGAAAGACCACGGAGAAGACCTACAGAAGAAAGTTACAGGAGAGTTAAGTGCAATTGTAAGAGAAACTTTAGACACACCAGGACTATCTCTGGAACTAAAAGACCGCCTGAAAAACGTGATACCACCGACGGAACAGGAACAGGCACTGGGTGCTGTTGGAGGAGAACCAAAATAATTACATCATGGCCCTGCAACTACTAAGTTGGAATTGTAATGGTCTCAATTCCCCTCAGAAAAGGAAATCTGTGTTTCATTTATTAAAAAAGGAACAATTGGACTTGATTTGTTTACAAGAAACACATATAACAAGATTACACAGGAAATTTCTGATAAATAAAAGACTTGGTCAGGAGTTTATTTCATCGGACAAAGTTAAAAAAGAGGGGTTGTGATTTATGCAAAGGACAGATTATCACCGAAATTTATTTTTAAAGATGACCAAGGAAGATTTGTGGCAATTGAAATTCAAACACAAGGAGAAAAATTTTTGATAGTAGGAATTTACGCACCAAATGAAGGGAAATCTGATTTTTTTAAGAAGCTGCATGAGACTTTGATGGACTATTTGGATTATAACATGATTTTGATGGGAGACATGAATGGAGTGGTATCTACACATATGGACAAGGCACAAAGACAGGTAGTCACTAAGGATGGTAGACTACCGAAAACCTTTTTTGAGATGACAGACAACTTGGATTTAGTTGATATCTGGAGAACAAGAAACCCCATGGCTAAAGAGGGAACCTTCTTTTCTGAAGCCAAAATGACATGGACAAGAATTGACCAAATATGGGTAACTAGAGGAATGGCACCAAAGACAAGAAAGGTGGAAATCTGCCCGAAAACTTGCTCCGACCATAACGCTGTTAAGATGGAAATGAAACTAACACCAACTGGCTCCTTCAGATGGAGGATGAATGACACCTTATTTAGAGATGAAGAAGTGTTAAAGAAGGCCCAAAAAACCTTGAGAGATTATTTTGAGATAAATATGAATACCAACGTGGAAAAAAGAGTAATCTGGGACGCAAGTAAAGCGGTTATGAGAGGGTTTCTGATACAACAGAATGCAGTAAAGAAGAGAATTCAAAATGAGAAGAAGGATAAAATATTGGAGAAAATAAAGGAAAGTGAAAAAAGATTGAGAACAAATCCAAAATCTCAAGAGATTCTGAGAGAATTAAAGCTACACCAAGTACAATATATGAAAATGATGAATCAGGAAATAGAATGGAAAATTAAACAAATGAGACAAAAGACATTTGAGTCGGCTAACAAATGTGGGAAATTGTTGGCTTGGCAAATGAAAAAAAGACAAAAAATAAATACAGTTACTGTCAGAGCTGGCTCCAGGTCCCAGCTCACAGAGGACCAACGCTAGCCGGCAGTAATGTACAAAAGTCTTTATTGAAGTACAGTTTCCATTTTCAAGCCGGAGCGCCCCAGCTCTACGTCTAGGGGTTAGATCGGCGAAGCTCCATCTGAGTCTCCGCCCCTGTACACCAGTTTAAGATTCTAGCCTTACTCCACCTCTTACGTCTCTCCTTTCTCCTCTGGGTCCTGCTACCCCCCGGGGTCCCTTCCTTCCTGGATTCTTCGGACGTTGACCCGCTGACTCCTCCCCCTCTTTTCGGCGGGCTTTGGGACCTGGCTCCCTATCCGGGCTGCCAACTGCGCCGCCCTCCTGTACATTTGAACTTGGCGCGCGCACCCAGCCTTCAACCTTCCTCTCGACCGTTTCCTCGCTCCCCGATGGAGGCGTGGCCAATCCTGACTCATGTCCTCCCACTGGCAGTGCGCCGCCTGATCCCGATGCCTGGGACTCCTCCCCCCTTCTGCACTCTGGTGTGGACGCTGGTCCTGATTTCCAACTGCTGCTCTCTGAGTCCCCTCTGGCCCCTTCTTCCTGGGGTGTCCCCTCGGCACCCCCTTGCTCTGACCAAGGGAGCCCCTTTCTGTGAATCTTCCGATTCGCTGGAAAGACTCAGAGACCTCGGACCGCTGTCATCGCTAACATTTCCTTCGGACTCCTCCCCTCGCTCTCTATTTCCTCCCTTTCCTGTGCCTCTGCTCCTGAACCCCTGACATCCATCCCCCTCGAAGCCCCCCTTCCCCCTCCCCTCCTTCAGGTGTGGGTACTGGGTGCTCCGTCGTTGTGGGGGTGAGTGCCGGATACAGTTCGTCCCCGTGGCGTGCATCCAGCCGGATAAGTCCGGCTCGTCCTCCGTGCTCTCGCCGACCTCAATTTCCTCTGCTTCCATCTCTTTGCCGCCGTGCTCGAACCCAAGGTCCTCCCCCAACACGTCCATGTCCGTCTCTCCCCGGTCTCCTCCGGGGACGTTGCCTGCCAAGGACCCCCCAACCACTTCCTGCGCCACTGCTCCTCTGGTTGATTGTCCCACCAATAGGAACGGTCTGAGGCAGACCCCGAGGGTGATCCCTCCGGGGAACGTGCTTCTAGTGCCGGTTCCTCGTCCGAGGTGAACCCCTGGAATGTGCTAGCTGAAAATGTGGGTGTGAAAAGCCAGTCGTCGAAATACTCGGCTGGCATGGGCCTGTGTGGGAAAAGTGCATGGAACTCGTCCTTGAGCCAAGATTCCTCCAGAGCATAATCTGGCACCCAACTGTTGGCGCTAGCCGGGGTACCTTCCTTGGCGAGGAGGTATTCCACTCCCTCCTCCCCCCATCTCGAGTCTAAAATCTCTGTGACTTCGTTGACGGGTTCCCGCCTTGGCGACCCCCCCCCCTTGTGGGCGTTTCCCTGAACGGGTCTGGTGCCGTTCCTGGCTCCTGAAATCTATGAGGTGCTTTGTAGGGCGTGAGCACTGATCTATGGAAAACTGGGTGCATTCTGGATCCCTCCGGCAGTGTCAACCGGAAGGCCACTGGATTGACCTGTGCCTCGACTTGGTAGGGTCCTAGCTGCTTATGCCCTAGCTTCTTCTTCGCTAACGATCTGGCCGGCACTGCCTGGGCTGCTAACCAAACCCAGTCTCCCACCTGTATGTCTTCCCCAACCCTTCTGTGCTTGTCAGCCTGCAGTTTGTATGCGTGCTTTGCTAGTTCTAACTGCCTCCGAAGCTGTTCGTGAACCTCCTGCAACTCTGATGCTAAGGCTTCCGCTGCCTGTGGCTCCCCTCCCCTGCTCTCGCTAATCCCGGGAAGGTTCTGGGATGCCTCCCGTTGTTGGCGAAGAACGGTGTCACCCCCGTGGACACGTGCTTCGTGTTGTTGTAGGCGAACTCAGCGAGCGGCAGGTAGTCCACCCATGTTGCCGGCTGCTGATTTGCGTAGCATCGCAGGTACTGCTGCATGATGGCGTTGACTCGCTCCGCTTGTCCGTTCGTCTGCGGGTGTCTCGCCGACGCTAGGTTGATCTTGACGTTCAGGAAACCCATCAGCTTCTGCCAGAAGTTCGAGATGAACTGTCGCCCCGGGTCGGACAGGATAGACCGTGGCAGACCGTGAACCCTGAACACGTGGTCTATGAACAGTTTGGCGGTCTGTTCCGCCGTGGCCACCTTCGCGCACGGAATGAAGTGGGCCATTTTGGTGAACATGTCCACCACCACTAGCACTGCCGTCTTGCCCCTCGAGCTGGGTAGATCCGTGACAAAGTCCAGGGCCACCCTCTCCCACGGTTCGATCGGTGTCTGCAGCGGTTCGAGCAGTCCCGCCGGCGGTTTGTGCACTGACTTGGCCCTTTGGCAGGTGTCGCACCTCGAGACGTAATCCGCGACTTCCCCCGCATCTTGGGCCACCAAAAATCTCTGGCTACTAATTCTACCGTCTTCTCTTTGCCAAAGTGCCCGGCGGTGGGTGCGTCGTGCAACTGCTGCAGTACTTTCGCGCGGAGGTCGTCTCCCGGTACGTAGAGGGCCCCTCTGCGGATGAGCAATCCGTCGCGTATCTGGAACTCGTCGTCCTCCGCCGTGCCCCTTTGCACCTCTGCCATCTTTGCTTGCGCGAAGGGGTCCTCCTGCAGTGCTCGACGTACAGCATCCAGGTCCACGGTTGCTGAAGCGCACGCCCACGCTTTCGGTGCGAAAATGTGCTTGGCCGCTGCGGGTGCCGCCTCCTCGAGGTATTGCGGCTTTCTGGACAGTGCATCCGCCATGATGTTGTTGTCGCCTGGGATGTACTCTATCCTGAAGTCGAAATCCGCAAAGAACTCCGCCCATCGTATGTGCCTCTGGTTCAGGAACCTTGCCGTGCGCCAGTACTCCAGGTTTTTATGGTCCGTGCGGACCTGCACTGTGTGTTTGGCTCCAATGAGGAAGTGCCGCCACGCCTTGAATGCTGCATGAATGGCCAGCAACTCCCTGTCCCAGATGGTGTAGTTCTGCTCTGACTTGCTGAGCTTCCTGGAGTAGAAGGCACACGGTCTCCAGTCCCCATGCGGGTCTTGCTGCAACAGTACTGCTCCCACGGCTCTGTCTGAGGCGTCCGTTTCAACCCTCATCGGTCTGCTGGGATTCACATGCAGTAGCTGCTCTTCGGACGAGAAGAGACGCTTGAGTTTCTGAAAGGACTGCTCCGCTTGCTCCGTCCAGATGAACTTCTTCTTCTTGGAGCTGAGCGTGTCGGTAATGGCCGCCGTCTGCATCGCGAACCCCTTGATGAACTTGCGGTAAAAGTTGGCGAAACCGACAAACCGCTGGACCTCCTTCCGATTGCGCGGGCTCTTCCAGTCCAACACTGAGCGAACCTTGGCGCTGTCCATGGCGAGCCCCTTGTCCGACAACTTGTAGCCCAGGAAATCTACCTCCTTCATGTCGAACTGGCACTTCTCCAGCTTGGCGTACAGCCTGTGCTCCTGCAGTCTCTGCAGAACTTCCTTGACGTCTCCCTCGTGGGTCTCCTCTGATTCTGAAAATATCAGGATGTCGTCCAGGAAGCAGACGCATTTCTTGTAGAGGAGACCCGCCAATACGTGATGCATGAAGGCTTGAAAACAGTGGGAGCCATTTTGTAATCCAAAGGGCATAACTCTGTATTCATAGGTGCCCAGGGGCGTGAACATGGCAGTCTTCCATTCGTCGCCCTCCCGTATGCGAATCAGGTTGTACGCCCTCGCAGATCCAACTTTGTGAAAACGCGTCCTTTCCTCACCGTTGCGAGCAGGTCATCTATCTTGGGCATGGGAAAGGCTGTGGGCTTGGTTTTCGAGTTCAAAATTCTATAGTCCACCACAAGCCTTTTTTGGGGCGTGTCCTTCTTCTTCACAAAGAATACAGGACTGCCCCCCACTGCCTTCGACTCCCGGATGAAACCGCGCTTCAAGTTGAGGTCTATGAACTCCCTGAGTTCCTGCAGCTCGTCTTCAGACATGGAATACAGTTTCCCGGTCGGCAGCGTCGCCCTGGCAGGAGGTCAATCTTGCAGTCATAAGACCTGTGGGGAGGTAGCTTGTCCGCTTCCTTCTCGCAGAAAACCTCCAAAAACGCTGCGTACTTGAGTGGCACTGCTTGCAGCGTGCCTAATTGTAGCTGCGGGTCATCCTCTTCCCCTTCCGGGCTAGGCAGAATGCAATGTTCCGCACAGTATGAGGAGCCGAAGGTCAGTTGTCGCTGGTACCACGCCAATGCTGGGCTGTGCCTGTGCAGCCAACTCATGCCTAATACTATAGGCGTGTCCGACAGTTGGGTGACATTGAAGCTGATGACTTCTCGGTGATTCCCAATTTGCATCACCATCGGAGGCGTTTGCTGCACCACCTGCCCCCAGCAATTCCCTGCCATCCACCGTGACAACTTTCAGAGGCAGCGTGGCTGGCAGGAGTGCTATGTTGTGCTCTTGAAGGAAATCCAGTCCTATGAAGTCTGCGTTACTACCAGAGTCAATGGTAATCGGCACTTCCATAGTGAGTCCATTGGGTAGTTGGAGCGATGCTGTGAGCTGCACCACTGGTTTGGGCGGGAGGGGGTCTGTGGGCTGCAAAATCTCTGGGGACGGCTTCATTGACTTGTCTGGTTGGGCCCCAGTGCCTCTTCCTCCAACCAGACTCTGTCGTTTCCCTGCTGTGGTTCTCTCTGCTGAGTTGCTTCTGTTACTGTTGCTGAGGCTGCAGTGTGCTTGTGGAGCCTCTGGGGACACTCTTTCGCCATGTGCTGAGCACTGTCGCAGATGTAGCACTTCCTGTTCCCTCTAGGAGGCTTCGCTTTGACTGCTCCCGGTGTTAAGGCTCTGGTAGCTGACTGAGCCCTGGCGCCTCCAATCTCCATCGGTTGCTCTCCCCCCTCCTTGCGGAGGTGGGGATTGCACACGCGCTGTATCCTTGGGAAAGAGGGGAGGTGCTCTCACTGGCGTACGTCCCCAACGTCCTTCTTCTCTGTTCCATGGACGTTCTTCCAGACGCACCCCAATTTGCAGCGCCCGCCGGACAACCTCCTGAGTGCTCTTTGGTCTCTCCCCCCTTGCAATCTCATCTTTCACATTTGCATTCAAGCCTTCCCATTAGTCCATGGCTGGGGCAGAATCCTTCTCCCATCCCAGCGCATGGACTAATGCAAAAAAGCGGGAATGGTACTGCCTTACACTGGCTCTGCCTTGTTTGAGCCCATGTATGTCTTTTCTGGCGATATCAATGTCTATATTTGATAAAAAACACGAATCCATCGCTTTAATAAATGCATCCGCATTTTGGAGCGCCGGATCCTTATCTCTCCACAGATTGCGCAGCCACGCTTTAGCTTCCCCATGCAAATGGGACAAGATAAACCCCACCTTCTCTTGCTCATCTCTAAAGTCTTTATCCAGCAGTTCCAGCGCAAACAGCACGTCTGCTCGGAAGTTAGGGTACTGCTGCAAATTCCCATCGAAATGAGATACCAGGCTGCCTCCTCTTTTCCCCAGCCCAATCCCCTCTGATTTGGGTCCCGGTTGCCCCTGCTTAGCAAGCACTTCCAACCTGGCTTGGAGATCCCTGCAGGCGGCAGCCGCTTCCTCTTCCCTTTTCCTGGATGCGAGTACCTCCGCGTTGAGTTGTGTCACTGCATTTTGCAGGGCTGCTAGTTGCTGTTCTGTAGTCATCTTGCCTGACTTTTGTGAGCTCGCGAAGCACCAATCTTCTTCCCTCGCTGCGTCCACTCACGTTACGAGGTTTTTGGTGCAAAACTTTCGGAGATGGAGCTTACTGTCAGAGCTGGCTCCAGGTCCCAGCTCACAGAGGACCAACGCTAGCCGGCAGTAATGTACAAAAGTCTTTATTGAAGTACAGTTTCCATTTTCAAGCCGGAGCGCCCCAGCTCTACGTCTAGGGGTTAGATCGGCGAAGCTCCATCTGAGTCTCCGCCCCTGTACACCAGTTTAAGATTCTAGCCTTACTCCACCTCTTACGTCTCTCCTTTCTCCTCTGGGTCCTGCTACCCCCCGGGGTCCCTTCCTTCCTGGATTCTTCTGACGCTGACCCCCCTGACTCCTCCCCCTCTTTTCGGCGGGCTTTGGGACCTGGCTCCCTATCCGGGCTGCCAACTGCGCCGCCCTCCTGTACATTTGAACTTGGCGCGCGCACCCAGCCTTCAACCTTCCTCTCGACCGTTTCCTCGCTCCCCGATGGAGGCGTGGCCAATCCTGACTCATGTCCTCCCACTGGCAGTGCGCCGCCTGATCCCGATGCCTGGGACTCCTCCCCCCTTCTGCACTCTGGTGTGGACGCTGGTCCTGATTTCCAACTGCTGCTCTCTGAGTCCCCTCTGGCCCCTTCTTCCTGGGGTGTCCTCCTCGGCACCCCCTTGCTCTGACCAAGGGAGCCCCTTTCTGTGAATCTTCCGATTCGCTGGAAAGACTCAGAGACCTCGGACCGCTGTCATCGCTAACATTTCCTTCGGACTCCTCCCCCTCGCTCTCTATTTCCTCCCTTTCCTGTGCCTCTGCTCCTGAACCCCTGACAGTTACGAATTTAGAAGTGGAAGGAAGGAATATACAGAACCCAGCTAAGATTAGAAATTGTTTCCAGAGGTACTTTAAACAACTATATACACAAGGGCCACTGAAAGGAACTGATCTAGATCAATTTTTGAAAACAAATGGATTACAAAAAATCTCTCAAGAAAATAAATTAATGTTGAACTATAAAAATAACTGAACAGGAGATAGAAGGTGCCATTCAAAATATGCAATTGGGTAAGTCTCCAGGACCGGATGGATTAACTTCTAGATATTACAGATCCTTGAAAGAATGGTTAATACAACCTTTGAAAGAGGTCTGTAATGAAATAATGGAGGGGAAAAGAGCACCAGAGTCGTGGAAAGAAGCTTATATTACACTTGTACCGAAAACAGAGACTGAAAAGACACAGCTTAAGAACTACCGTCCTATATCATTACTCAATGTGGATTACAAAATTTTTGCGGACATTTTGGCTAAGAGATTTTAAAAAGTGTTGATGGAAGAGATTCATAAAGATCAAGCGGGCTTTCTCCCAGGAAGACACTTGTCTGACAATTTGAGGAATATAATTGATATTTTGGAAAAACTAGAAGTGAATATAAATACTAAAGCAGTTATGATATTTGTGGATGCGGAGAAAGCTTTTGACAATATTTCTTGGAGCTTTATGAAGAAGAACCTACAGGGTATGGGGGTAGGCCAAGGCTTTGAAAATGGTATAAGTGCAATCTATTCAGAACAAAAGGCTAAATTAATTGTAAATAATGTGGTGACGGAAGAACTTAAAATAGAAAAAGGGACACGACAAGGTTGCCCAATTTCCCCACTACTTTTTATTTCGGTCCTGGAGGTTTTGCTGAACATGATTAGAAGGGACCAGCTGGTTAAAGGTATACAGGTCGGAGCAAAACAGTACAAATTGAGAGCATTTGCAGATGACTTAGTACTGACGTTACAGGAGCCAGAATCTAGTACCAAAAGGGTTTTAGAACTGATTCAAGAATTTGGTCAGGTTGCAGGATTTAAATTGAACAAGTTAAAAGCTAAGGTTTTAGAGAAAAATCTAACACCAATGGAGAGAGAGAGGTTTCAAAATGTGACAGGTTTAACAGTGGTTAAGAAAGTTAAATACCTGGGGATTAACATGACAGCAAAAATGGGAACTTATTTAAAGATAACTATGAAAAATGTTGGGCTGAAGTGAAAAAAGATTTAGAAATTTGGTCAAATTTGAAGCTTTCACTGCTGGGCCGTATTGCTGCGATAAAAATGAATGTATTGCCTAGAATGTTGTTTTTGTTTCAAACACTGCAAATTGTCGACAAAATGGACTGTTTCAAGAGGTGGCAGAGAGATATTTCCAGATTTGTCTGGCAGGGCAAGAAGCCCAGAATAAAATTTAAAATACTAACAGATGCAAAGGAAAGAGGTGGATTTGCCCTGCCAGACTTTAAACTTTATTATGAATCAGCAGCTTTTTGCTGGTTGAAAGAATGGCTGCTTCTTGAAAACACTGACATTTTGGATCTAGAAGGTTTTAACAATGTATTTGGATGGCATGCATATCTGTGGTATGGAGAGATCAAAGCACATAAAGCATTTAAAAATCACATTGTCAGGAAAGCACTGTTTAATGTTTGGATAAGATACAAGGATTTATTGGAAAACAAAACTCCAAGGTGGTTGTCACCAATGGAAGCGAAAGCCTTGAAAAAGCTCAATATGGAGGTCAAATGGCCGAAATATTGGGAAATATTGGAACAAGATGGAGATAGACTGAAATTGCAGTTTTGAAAAATTAAAAAACAAAGTGCGAGACTGGCTTCATTATTATCAGATAACGGAGGCATACAATTTGGACAAGAAAATTGGCTTCCAGGTGGAAAAATCAAAATTAGAAACAGAACTGTTAGAACCCAAAACTAAGAATTTGTCAAGAATGTATAACTTGCTGCTGAAATGGAACACTCAGGATGAAACTGTGAAATCTGCTATGATTAAATGGGCACAAGATGTTGGACATAACATTATGTTTGCTGACTGGGAACAGTTGTGGACCACAGGTATGAAATTTACGGCATGTAATGCCTTAAGAGAAAATATTGTGAAAATGATATACAGGTGGTACATAACCCCAGTCAAGCTTGCAAAAATATACCATTTGCCTGATAATAAATGTTGGAAATGTAAAGAAACTGAAGGTACATTTTTTCACCTTTGGTGGACGTGCCCAAAGATTAAGGCTTTCTGGGAGATTATATATAATGAATTAAAAAAGGTATTTAAATATACCTTCTTGAAGAAACCAGAGGCCTTTCTCCTGGGCATAGTCGGCCAATCGGTGTTAAAAAAGGATAGAACTTTCTTTATGTATGCAACAACAGCAGCAAGAATACTCATCGCAAAGTATTGGAAGACACAAGAGCTATATTTAAAACCAAGAGGAATGTCGACAGAAGAGGCTTTAGTGGCGGCATTATATAAGATAAATGACTCACTGGATCAGCTTAACAGGAAAATGGATACGATAAATGCAAAAGTGGATGTTTCAATTACTAAAATTAACTTAAATACAGAAAGTATAAATAATACCAATACAGAAACCACCCAGAAATCAATACAGGAACCTACTTTGATACGGCAAACTGCGGAGGAAGCCAGGGAAAAAGCTGTTGTTGCTGAATGTAAAGTAACACAACTGGAGAGAAAGAGAAAGAGAGCCCCAGCCCTACAGAGGCAATTTGATGAACATAAGTTGACGCTTGCTATGACTGAACTTAAAGAAAAACAGACGAATTTGAGGCCATGCCCAAGGATTAAGACACTTTGGGAGATGATTCATAACGAAATGAAAAAGGTAGTTAAATATACCCTTTTGAAGAAACCAGAGGCCTTTCTCCTGGGCATGGTCGGCCAATTGGTGTTAAAGAAGGATAGAACTCTTTTCACGTATGCAACAATAGCAGCAAGAATACTCATTGTGAAGTACTGGAAGACACAAGATTTATCTATTCGGGAAGAATGGCAGATGAAGTTGATGGACTATATGGAATTGGCGGAAACGACTGGCAGAAATCCGAGACCAGGGAGAAGAGTCGGTGGAAGAAGATTGGAAAAAGTTTAAGACTATTTATAGAAATATTGTAAAAATAATGAATGTTAGAAAAATGTTGGAATGAAGTTATACGGCTTTAGTAGAAATGTTATAAGGAATTAAGCATAAATAGATTAATAGAGCATTAAAGGGAAAAATGTTAGAATATGTTAAGATAATTATAGGATAGAAAACAGAGGAAGATGGAAAGGAATTGCTGAAACAATTAACAGAAGTGGAATACAAAAAGGGAGGTGTGAGGAGGTCGTGGAAATAAGGGAATGAAAGATAAGATATTGAAATTGTTTTGTGTTTTAAATGGTTTGTGTTTTGTTTTGTTAGTTTTATGTTTTGTTTTGTTTTTGTTGTTGTTGTTTTGTTGTGTTTAAACGGTTGGAAAATTAATAAATATTATTTTTTTAAAAAAGAAAACAAACAAACCAGTTTTAACAAGGAAAAATGTTGGGTACAACACAGACACTAACACAACACAAAGCCTTTTCAAATTCCCTTCGCTCAGTACTCAGATCTTGTTTTAAACTGCCAGTCCTCCCCCAGTGTCATCCCTGCTCACTCTCCTCAAAACTCTGACACTGTTTAAAATTGCCACCTTTCTCTCTCTCCACGATCCTCTATTCCTGCTTAATTCAAACCTCTGCTGCTGTTTAAACCACAATTTCCCTCTCAGTAGCTCTTTTACCACAGCAGAAGTTTAAGTAAAGCAGGGAGAAAGAAACTCTGAGAGGAAAATGACAGTTTTAAACACTGACAGGACACTGAGAGGTCGTTTTTTAAAAAGAACAAATCGGTTTTTAAAAGGAGAAATATCAGAGATGAGCACAACACGGAAGCTGACACCAAAAAGCTAACACAACAGAGCTTTTTCAAACACCCTTCTCGCTATTCCCAAACCTTGTTTTAAACTGCCAATGTCCCATCCTGCTCATTGTATTTATCCTGGTATTGTTTTAAATTGTCACTTCCCTCCCCTCAATGTTTCTCCATCCCTGCTTTACTCAAACCTGGGCTGTTGTTTTAAACCATTTTTCCTGCCCTGTTTCTCCATTCTCATATGTATGTGTATTTATAAATAAATAATATTGCTGCATTTCAGGTAATTTTCCAGTTTTCAAAACATCAGGATTATATTGAGTACATTCAAGTCTCGGCCTCTGTTTTAGTTCTCCCTTAATTTGTAGCTTTTACCATAATTATTTTAAAAAATGATGATGATGCCTGAGAGCTGTGTCAAACGCTAGTCCTACTCGGCGTAGGCCAACTGAAATTAATCATCAGGACGAGCTTAGGTCCATTAATTGCAAAGGATATGACCCTAACGTTTTTACGTGCCATGCTCTGTAGCAACGTGAAGATGAGAAAAACAAGAAGAATAACAAAGCTTCCACCAATCCCGCAATGCAAGATTTGGAAGACTTGCTTGTTCCACGTGCAAAGGCCATGGATGGACCCAAACCAACAGAAGGTAAAAACAGCCCAACACACTGGCCTTCCATCAATGCTAGTCAATGTACCAGTAATTCTTTTGGTAAATCCCTGGGCTCAGTTCAATGTTTTGGTCTTGGTATACAAAGGTTTAAACAACTTGGGAATCAAAAACCTGAAAAAATGACTAAGATTTACTCAGGATGCTCTGGTTGTTATTCCAGTTTTAGTTTCTGTTGGACAGGTGACTGCATGAGACAGGGGGTTCTCAGTGCCCCCCACATTATGGAACCCCCCTCCCTAAATGGCATCAGGTTGTCCCATGTTGGCCTCATTTAGGCACTAGGTGAAAACTAGGTTAACCCAGCCTTTGAAATATAATCAGCATTTTTGGTGACACTATTTATCTCTCTCTCAAAAGTGAAAACCTTTTTTTGCCCAATGACTGGATTATAGTCCGGCTCACTTTACATAGACTATTTTAAACATCATTATGCCATCAGGTGACAACTTCAGTGCTATCATTTCTGGCCTAAACAGAGACAAAGGATTTTTAGCATTGTATTAATTAGCTGACCAGTGCCAGGTTGTCTGTTACACCTACTGATTATGTAAAATACCACTGTTAATTGTGTAATTCTCAGGTTTTACTTGTTAGCATTTCATTGCCCTCTGACGTCACTGATACTTACCCAAATCCTGTGTATTCATGAGGATGTCCCTCCATGCATCTGGTAAGGTGGACTGCAGTCCCTCTGGAGGTTGATGTTGAACTATTATAAAAGTTTAGCTAATGCAACAACTAATAGAGACATCAAGGGGAATTTAACTGCTTGCCTCAGTGGCTTTGCTGTGCACAAAAATAACAGCTAAATGAGATCTGAAGGATGCATGGATGGGTTAGTTAATATGCGAAAAAGCACTGAATGTTCCTTTCCTTTTACAAGATAACAAGCCTGAGTCTGCCAACATTAAAAACACTCCTGCAATGAAGGAAGAAGCAAGCACCACCAGAAACAGTAATCCTGAGAACCCTGCAAGAGGAGCCACACTCCAGCCTGCTGTTGTAGTGACTAGGCCACCAAGCCCAAGAGGCGGGCTGCCTAACCAACCAAGACCAAATCCAAAGATGCCACAGCCTAGGGGACCACCCCCTGGAACGGGAAGGGGTAAGACTCATTAACTACCATTAAAATACAATTAATCTACGTGCCCTGGAAATGTATGCTGCACATCAATTCCTGCAAGTAGAAATTTTACACATCCACATTTGAGGTCTAAAGTACATCACTGTCAAAAGTCCATCATATAAAAACAGCCTTCTGTGGTCACTTCTCCAAACCCCCTTTTCCTTTTGAGCATATGCAGTGCTTAAACCATCAGGAGCAGGTCTTTTTTGAGGTGGGTTCAGAATGAGCAATGCTAAGACAACAGGTCCCCCATTCTTTTATTCCCCTTCCTTCCTTCCCCTTTATGAAGATTACCCGCTCTGGGATCCCACAGCTAATTCTCCCCTGGTCTCCTCGCTGGCCCAAATAGGACTAATTTAGCCAGCTAGCCCTGGTGATTATCTTAATGTTTATTGGATGGATTTTCCCCCTAAATTGATTTTTGAATTCTGAATTTATTGTTATTCACGTTTTATATTGTATTTTATGCTGTTTTTTGTTGCATCAATTGTTTTAAATTTGTTGTTAGCCGCCCTGAGCCGTTTTCTGAACTGGGAAGGGCGGGGTATAAATAAAAATTTATTATTATTATTTGAAAATATAGACCTAGGAATGAAGGCAAGAAGCATGAAAAATAAGGTTGCAAATGATAACGTTTTCATTCACTTCCTGGCTTTTAAGAGGTTATCTTTAGATGCATTTACAGGAGAAACCCTGAATGTCTCTTTAAAGGTTATAAAAGTTTTCCAATGCAAAAGCAGCTACATTTTAAGAACTGTTAAGAGCAAAAGAAGTGACGTAAAAGCCACTGCTTCAAAACTTCTTACTCCCAGATCAAAGGATCCCACTCCCTGCATTCTCACCATGATCTGTCTGCAATATGAGAACATTACTTCTAACCTACCTTTCACGGTGGGTTCAAATGCTAGCAAAATATGTGAATTGATGCAACTTTCCCCTCCCTGTGCACTTGAAGCCCTCCAGCAAAAATGCCCCCACATATTTTGGCTTGAAAAAAGCATCCTGCTGGCTCCCATACGATTTTTTTCCCCAAACCTCACTGTGGCAGGTTTGATTAAGAACAGGTGTGTTTTGTGGCCTTTGACTTTTATTGCTTATGACTTTTGTTATATTTTGTAAATCTTTTCACGTCGTAAGCCGCCTTCAGCATGGCTTAACTATGAAAAGGTGGCATACAATTAAACAATGATGTTGTAGTAACAGGTCCTTGGAATTTGTGTATTATAGTACGTCCTTGAGTTTCATTTTCCAAACCACGGCTGACATTTAGCTATTGCTTGGACTCAGATTATCCCATTAGTGAAAGTATGTGTGAATTATATGCATGTTTGTGTAAAAGAACTGGCATAGAGCTATAATTAACTTTAGAAAAAACCCTGAAGTTTTGCCAAATATTGATGAAAGACATTCCTAGTAAAGGGATGCTTCTTACTGGAGAGCTTGGGTTGGGTCTTTTGCCTCCATACCATGGGGAAGAATCATTCATCTAGCCAGACCAACCCTGCCTGAACCTCTAGATACCATTACTTGTCAAAAAGTCAACAGAAAGCCTAATAAAGGTCTTATCTAGAATGGATCAGGCAGGATCCCAGCTTCTTGCCTCCTCTCCAATGCCAGGCGCCATCTCACTTTCCAGACTGACCCTGCTTAAGGTCCAACTGATCTCTGGGCAGCATTGTCTTTATTGGTCTCTAAAGTGCTCCTTCCCATAAGACCAGGGTGCTATTTGAAACCTACAGTATCTGAAAAGGTTTCCTTTGCTTATCTGCTAACTGCTCCTACACAAATTCTTAAGACTTTCAGCAAAGGCACACCAGCTGCCTCTTTCTCCCCATCTTTAACATACAGACGGGTGAAGATTTCTCAAGTACAGGAAAGCTTACACACTGTTTTGTAACATTTTGGTTGACCTAATAAAGGTATTGTCCTTTTTTCCTGAGTGGCTACGACGTTAAACTTTTGTGAAACATGTTACAGGTAGGTAGCCGTGTTGGTTTGCCGTACTCGTAACGTAAGGAATTTTTAAATTTCGTTTTGTGCTACAAACCAGATTCAGCTCTAAAAAAGCCCCCAATGCTATTCACACAGAGGAGAAAGGGGTTAAAAAGCACTTTGCTGTGTCTCTTCGGAAATTACATACTGCTCCAAGTTAATGTGCTGGCCCAACAGTCTACTTAATTCAAAAACATGACCAGCTGCCACAGTGGGCCCTGCCCTGTACAAAACACTGTAAGGCATCATAGCATGGATGTGACCAAAATTATTCAAACATGCCCTGTAAAATACACAATCACTATAAAACATCCTTGATGCATAAACTTCTAAAATTTATCAAATGTCAGATCGTAAGATTCTGTAACATTGTGGGTGACTTGATTGTGCATGTGCACGATGCCATATATATATATATATATATGAGCTCATGGATCTCAGAGCACACCAGGATAACACTGCATATCAGAAAAGCAAGCAAAGCCTTGTATTAAGAAAGATCTTTATTTTTCACTGTACTCATGAATTCCTGTAGATGTATTAAGACCATTCAGTGGCAGTCCCTACCCACTCAGTTGCCTGAGCAGTGGGGGCTGCAGACCAGTCTTCAGTGGCAGGCTGTGCACTCCAGTCCTCTGGAAAAAAACATACGTAAAACCACCATCAGAAATGTTAAACTCAAGCAAACACCCCCAACCCTCCCTTGTCACGTTTGAGAACTAATAAATCTTGAGATTTTATCAGAGAAACCTCTGTTGGAGAAAATGGAAACACCACTGACGCAAGTGCCAAATAACTTTACAGTTCGCTGTCATCAAGAGATGTAGTTTCATCTTTCAAGATACTTACCAGCTGGGAATGTTGTCTGTATTGGCACAGACGGCACTTGCACTCCTTCAGACCAATCAGCCACCTCAGGCTGCGGAGGAGCAGTGAATTCGGGTGCAGGTGCAGTCCATTCGCCTTGGAATTCCTCCTTTGTAACCGCCTTCTCAGCTGCAGCCTGCTCCTCCTTTTCAATCTGAGAGAGAGATTAACGCAAGATAATGTTACAGATATATTCTGCGACGGACAAGCTATGGGCCTGCCTCCTGGTGACCTGGCAACCAATGAGAGCTGGAGAGACCCAGAGCAAATCAGGAGAAAGCAGTATTTAAGTTAGATGCAGAGTTTTAAGAGTCACAATAGAATCAAGAGTTGGAAGGGACCCTGAGACTTATCTAGTCCAACTCCCTGCAATGCAGGTATATGCAGCTCTCCCGTACAGGGATCAAGCACCACGCCCTAATCAACCGGGCCATGCACCTGTCAGGTTAGACAGGGGCCTAGCAGATAGGTATTTGACTCTCCCTGTCAGAGTCGGGCTGTCAGTGTGAGCAACTGGGGTTTGAAGCATCTGAGTGGGAATGGCTAGGCAGGGCAACCCAGATTTGATCCCATCAGAGGAAATTAAATCCCAGAAGGGGCTGAGTGGGTGTTGCTGGTTAGAACACTGATAGCCATTCTAGCTGGAAAAGGTCTACCAAAGACTTGGTTCAATAGAGCTGTTGAAAGGTTCCTCTAAAGAGAGTTTATGTATGTGACTAACTTTGGTGCCCCACTAGTGAAACCATCAAGTGTCAATCACACATAGTGTAAACGTTAAAGAAACATTTTGCTCCAGAAGTGCCTCCTCATACTCTGAACCTCTGGGTAGGGACTGAGCGGACAGGGTACAGGTCATGCTGCTTTGCCAAGGTTATGCTCTCCTTTTCCTTCCTCGTCCTAAAATCCCAACACAATACTGTGTGCCAATCTGAGCTTACCTCTTCAGGATCCCGGTAGAAGTAGAGATCAGGCATGACCTCCCACGGGTGCTCACGGGAAATAGTGCCACGCATACGCAAGACCTCACGAGCCAACATCCACCACATCAGGCCAACTGAATGAGCCCCCTGGAGCACAGATTAGATATTTATCCATTAGGACCAAGATTCTCAAAATAATAATAATTCAGAAAATTATAGGGTAAATTGGCAAAAAACGTATCTTATTAAAAAGCCACAGGCAATCAAGTTTTGGCAAGACTGCTCAGCAAATTCAAAAGCAGAACAATGGGGTAAAATACATTAAAAATAAGGTAGGTACGTCCCTCAACTACCTGTACCATTTCCCATAAAGGTGTGGCAAGAATCACTATCAAACTCCACTCATTGGACCGTGAAAGTCCTTGTGGCGTTAGCGAAAAATCCTGCCAAGATTGATGTAGCACAGTTCCTACACTCAGGAGTTCACTGGCCAGAAACTGACCTCAGCTCTGAGCTCTAACAATGTGCACACAACCCCTCCAAAACTAGTTGCTGCCCTCTATCAAAACACAGCAGTAAGCTTTGACTGCAAACTTTGAAAATCACACCCAGAAAATGCCTTTAAAAGAAAACCATGGATAGACATAAAGAGTATACACTACCTTGTTGTTGCATGGAATTGCAATATCCACATAGCGCAGGGGAGAATCAGTATTGCACAAGGCAATGGTAGGGATGTTTACATATGATGCTTCAGTCAGTGGCTGATGGTCAGCTCTTGGATCAGTGACTACCAAGAGGCGGGGCTCACGGAAGGCAGCCTGGATCTGATTGGTGAAAGTGCCAGGAGTGAAACGGCCAGCAATTGGTGTAGCTCCAGTTGCAGCAGCAAATTTCAGAACGGCACGCTACAGTGGGGAGATAATAAGAAAGGTTGAAATAGTTGAATTTCTTCTACAATTTATGCTGCATTTTCAACAGAAACCTGGCTTGCATGGTTATTTGGAGACAAGTGCTGACACATTTGCAAAAATACTAAAGCCAACCCCATCACACAATTCGCATTCCTAGACATACTCCCATACCTGTCCAGTATTCCTGGAGGAGATAACGCTCACATCAGCCGGGTTCTCGATGGCAACAATGGCACGAGCTGCCAAAAGCAGCTTTTCCCACGTTCTCTTCAGATTGATGATGTAAATACCTACATAAAACGCAATGGTGTTTTAGATAACAGAAACTGGCAACTGGACGCACTTGTATTGAATCTTGCTTCCCGACTGCGGTTGTTTGCACTTCTCCTTCCCCCTTGTTAAAATGATACGAGTGCATGAGAATGAAAAATGGCTCCAAAAAGACATGGAGATGTACTGATTTCATCCTCTGGTTTGCCTTCATCTGGGAAGTGACGATTCAAAGGAATGTGCAAGTGGCATGAGGGTTCCTACACTTACTGTTTTGCTGTGGTTACACTTCAGAGGACAATTTTGCAGAAGGGGGTGCTTCCCTTCCCACTCATAGTGCCTCAATAGTAAATGCAGAGGTGCACGTTTACAAAGTATTATTAAACATGTCCCTTCACCTTATCAAGCTTGGCATGGATGTGGCAGTGACTACTATCAAACTCCAGTCATAGAGCATAGCTCTCCTGGCGTTAGCGAAAATCCTGCCAGAGTTTACTGTAGCACACTTCCGACACTCAAGAGTTCATAGGCCAGAAACTGACCTCACCTCTGAGCTTTAATAGCGTGCAGTTAAAACCAAACATGTAGATCAAGCTGCCTGAAATATATCGAATCTTACTCAAGCCACCAAAGCTATTCTTTGTGACATGTCTCCATGATAAACATCAGAACACAAAGAAGTAAAACAAAGTACAAAAAACCTGTCCTGAAATGTAAAGAACCCCTAGGTGTCAGTTTACTCCTAGAGTACTGCAAGATAGGCCAGGACAAGGAACAGGGAACCTGTGACCCTTTCCACATGTTGTTAACAGAGTCCTACTCCCATCAGCCCTAGCCAAAATGGCTAATAAACAGGGATGGTGGTAGTTGTAGCCTAGTAACATTTGGAGGGCCAGAAATTCCCATCCCTGGCCTAGACATGAAGAACAATTAACAAAAGCAATTCACTTATTTGAATAGGCAAGTTCAGCATGTGCATTCTTGGCAAGGAATAGGACTAAAGGAAGTGAAAAGCACTAAGCAGTAGTATATAGAATGAATATATAAATAACTGAACAGAAAAATGTAAAATCCAATGCTGCTTTGCACTCATAAGCCACTGCTGAGTCTAGCATCGCCACAAACAACAGACTATTAAAAAATCACCCTGACATTCTACAAGATTCTTACCATCACTTTTTCTTTTATAAATGTACTGTTCCATCTGAAAGTCGAGATTGGTGCCTCCCAAGTGGGTTCCTGCAGCAAGGAATTTGAGGACATCTTCCTCCTTCATCTGCAGAACATCAAGACCTCCGGACATTGTGAAGTTTCCTTTTAAAGCAACGACAGGAAACCTAAAACAAAATCAGCTTATGTTAGTGTGGGACAGGAACATCACTGTCAGGTCTCCGTGCCAATCTATAAAATGGGAGCAATAGTGAACTACTGTCACTGCAGAGGCAAATATATGATTGCAAAGTCTTCTTCAATACAAGAATGATAAAAAAAACCTTGGGTTCTGCATGTGATTTACAGTAACTTTGTGATTTAAGAAAGATCTTAAAGGTAAAGGTACCCCTGACCGTTAGATCCAGTTGTGAACGACTGGGGTTGCGGCACTCATCTCACCCTATAGGCCGAGGGAGCCAGCATTTGTCCACAGACAGCTTCTGGGTCATGTGGCCAAGCCGCTTTTGGCGAACCAGAGCAGTGCACAGAAATACAGTTTACCTTCCCGCCGGAGGGGTACCTATTTATCTACTTGCACTTTGACGTGCTGTCAAACTGCTAGGAGGGCAGGAAAAAGATCTTATATAGTGGCAATTGAAGAGGCAACATAACCACATTTCTGGCCTAAAACTGTCATCTAACAGCAGCCATTAGGCTGCAGCAGAGGCAGTGATTGGAAATAGGATCCCTGAATCAGCTTTGTTGGGCTTCTCCTCTCAGATGTTTCCATTTATGCTGGTCATTTAAAGAACTTGGAAGCATGCAAACTTGGGTGATCCTATCATTGGATTTATGCAACCTGCTCTGGGAACCTTTTTTGGCTGGAAGATCATAAAAGTGCTTTAAATAAATAGGGTGCCTTACAACAAACTGCAGCAATTCAAAATGAAAAATTGCAACCTTTATGCTAAGCCTATTATATAAAATTAATTACTATTAAGTTTAAATTGGTATGTTTGCATCAAAATTATGTTTTCTTTAAATGTTTTTAAAGGGTTTCAACCAGGAGGCTATTAAGCAACAAAAGCCCAGGATTCTGCTGCCAAGCTTAAAATATACACAACCATCATATAAAAGTGACTATGGTCTCCAAATCAGGGGGAACCATTCAATGCCTGCAATGGAGTAAGATTTCTTAGAAAGGCCAAAGAAGACTACTCATCTGGGAGCTCTTTAAAAAAAAAATGGAAGCAGATATTTTGAGGCAAATTAACATTTTCTCTGTGTTTTATTTACATTGTACAGTAGATGTTATTCCCAGACTCTGGAACACCCTTCCTAAAGAACTTAAAACCGGCTCTCTCCTTGCAGTCTTTAGAGAGACCTTACTTCAACACGCTTTTGGGAGCTGACTGTAATGAAAAGGCTGGTGCAGCGCCATTTTCGCTGTCCTTTTCAATATCTTGCATATACACGTAATGTGTGCTTGTCCTTTCTAACGATCGCCCCCCGCACCTGTGTCCCTATTTTATCTGTGATCTGCCTCGAGTCCTTGGGGGAGGGGGGAGAGAATGGCAAGAAACATCAAATTAACTATGTAACGACATCAGGATTCAGAACTGCTTCAGCTAGAGGTGAAGCAAGGAGAGATCGCCGGCATCCATTACCTTTAGGCACCAAGGAAAAATTATTCCTATACTCCATGACTTTTGGCTAACTGAACCGTCCAGGGCCATTTAAACAGTGTTCGGGTGTGTTATTGCCCTTGCTTGCAACGAGTTTGTGTTATATATATATATATATATATATATATATATATATATGTGTGTGTGTGTGTGTGTGTGTGTATGTATATACACACACACACACACACACACACATATATATACATTTGTGCTATATTTGTGTTATTATATAGATAGATTGCAAAGCGCTCTGCGGATGAAGGGCGGTACGGAAATCCAGTGATAGCAATGTATATATTCCTGATCTGGGTTAAAACCTCAGCACGGGTTGGGCTCGGGGCCTCTCAGGGCGCCCCCAAGGCCGGGTTATTCCGCTGCAGCTGCGAGGCCTCGAGCGAAGGGCCCCCCAGCGGAAGGGGGACCAGCCCCGTCCTCTCCCCCCAAGGGCCCCCCACGCTGCCGCCCCGGCTCGGCTCCCTCTTCTTCCTCCGAAGACGCCTTTTCGCTCCCCCACCCCCCGTTCCCCGCCCGCTTCCCCGCGCCGACTCACGCGGCTACAACGCCGTATGGAGGCCTCCCTGGGGTCGGAGAGAAAGAAGGCCGCGGCGCCTCGTGACGCCTATATATAGTCTGCCGGCCCGCCAATCGCGAGGCGCTTCCGCCGGGAAAGGTGTGGTGACGTCAGGGACTCGGCGCCGGGGCGGGGTGAAGCGGGACGCGCCTGGAGGGAAGAGTTCGGCGACGCACGCGGCGCCGACGCTCACTTCCGGTGCTCTGTTGGAGCGCCGCCATGTGCGGGGAAAGCGGAAGAGGGCGCGAGGCGTCGCTGAGCCACGCAGCTATTCACCCTCCGAAGCTTTTGCGCTCGTCGGTGTGCTTTGCGCAGTCAAATCCACGCCCCACTTGCGCGCTGGAGGAAGAAGAGGCGGGGCATGAATGAAGGGGGATTATAATTAAATTTGAATTTAATTTAATTTTAAATTTAATTAATTTTAAATTAAAATTATATTAAATTTTAAATTAAGTCAACTTTTAAATTAAAATTATATTAAATTTTAAATTAAATTTTTAATTAAGTCAACTTTTAAATTTTATTTTATTTTATTAAAACTCGAGAGTATATAGACTCACCAGGCCCAAGGGGATCCCAAAGTTTGCAGAAGGACAAAAAAGAAAAATTGCAGGGGAGTCTAAACAATCCAGTGAGGACTGAGCATGCTCAGTGGCCACAGAATGCTGACTTGGGCGGGGAGCGGAATGGAGTATCCTGGAAGAGGGCAACCCCTGAGCAGCAGCATCCATGAGAAACGTTTTGTTGCAAGACCCCCTTGCATATTTTGTATCTCTATAGTTTAGCAACAGCACTGAATCACGTGGAGTACCAGTAGTAGCCTGTGAGTGGCAACAGAGGCCACTTGTTCGCCTTCCCAGTATTTACCATTGCTTCTTCCTTCTTCCACCTCATTTAAGGAACAGCCTTGAATAAAAGGAGCTGGCGTTTTTGGGTAGGCAGATAAGACTACAATCCTACAGGAAGCAAGTTGTATTGAAGTCATAGATTGTGTGTGGGCAAATATAATGACATTTGGAAAGCATTTATAAAAATAATAGAATAGATTAGAATCATAATTTCACTTACATACATTTGTATTTGACAGGTATGTGGGGAATTTTAGTGGAAGGTTTTTGTATTTTTAAAGCATTTTGTTTCCCTTTTTTTAAAAAAAAGTCACTTTAATTGGAATATCTGCAATAAAATATAAATATTTTTAAAGGGCATACGTCTGAATAGGTATGCATTGAAATACACTCAGTCCAGCAGTCAGTGAACCTGTGTAGCTTAATCCTGTTTACTGAGAAGCTCCATCACTCATCCAATCCCCATGCAGCCATGTGTGGGTCCTATTCTGTGTCGATCATTCATTTGGTAAGGCTTATTCCCAAACAAGTGTGTGTAACTTCCAGTGCCGGATTTACAAATAAGCTAAACGAGCTATAGCTTAGGGCCCCATTCTCTTGGGGGCCCCAAAAAAATTAAAGGAAAAAAACACCTGGATGTACATTTCCAAAATATAAGATAAAAAACAAATAAAATAAAACCTACATACAGCAACAGTGTTTTGTGTTGTGTAGGCTCCTGTGATGTAAGTAATGGACATCGCCTGCTAGCCTGCTCCCTAAAATATCACAGGTTTGCTCATTTCTATATATAGGGTGCCTACATTCTGCATGCACTGGTTGAATGGCAACATGTGCAAATGGCTTTAGATACCTATTTGGTCCATAAATTACCATATAGCATATACTCAAAACAAAAAACAGCAACAATTTGTTGTTGACAAAGGACAGCTGGACATATAAAGGGCCCCATTACCTGCAGTCGCTTAGGGCCTCGTCAAACCTAAATCCGGCCCTGGTAAATTCAGAGTGATGTGGCCCAATCCTAAAGCAGAAACAGGCTCCATTCACTCCTGCATTTAGGACTGCAATCTTCCCGACCACCTGATTCTTCCGCAGGTATATTTACAAGGTGAATGTTCCTCATCCCTTCAGCACATGCTATGAACAAAGCGGGTGCCAGAATTCATGTTAGTTACTGTCTTACAAGATCCAAACCCAAGATCCAACGGGAAAAACGTGTTTGGATCCAGTAGATCTTGGGCTTTCTCAGGTGTGCTGTGGCTACACCAGCTAAAGTCCATCACCTGGGTTCAGCCAGGGCTCAGCTAGCAGAACGCACACCACCGTAACTTGCACCAGCAAAGTCCAAAAAGTGGTGGCTGTGGGCAGAACAGGCAAGGAGAGATTTACACTGGGTCATGTGACCCAGGGCCCAGTCCTCAAAACACGAGTCAGTGCTGTGGGTCAGTTTGTCTGGCTGTTAACCAGAAGGAACCGCTGTGGGCACGATTCCTGCATTGCAGGGGGTTGGACTAGATGCCCCTCAAGGTCCCTTCCAACTCTACAATCCGGTGATTATTTGATCATGTCACACTCGCCAGCCAATGGTAGCTTTTCCCAGAGACTCCTGAACGGAGTTTAGAATAGGGGCACCTTAAACCTGTGTAAATTATGCCAGTTTCCTATAGCTAGGATTGCTCTGTCTGTACAAAGTTAAGAAGCAGACCAGAAACGGTCTAAATTTTGCATTGTTGTTGTGCATACAACATCAGTAAGGGGCAAACATTTCCAGCCTGTAATGAGCAAAAAGGCCTTAAACAGCCTTGCTCAGAGAAATAACGACTCTCCAAAACAGGGGTAGGCAACCTAAGGCCCGGGGGCCGAACGCGATCAATTTGCCTTTTAAATCCGGCCCACGGACAGTCCGGGAATCAGCGTGTTTTTACATGAGTAGAATGTGCCCTCTTATTTAAAATGCATCTCTGGGTTATTTGTGGGGCATGCCTGGTGTTTTTACATGAGTAGAATGTGTGCTTTTATTATATTTGTGGGGCATAGGAATTCGTTCATTTCCCCACAAAAAAACAGTCCGGCCCACCACATGGTCTGAGGGACAGTGGACCAGCCCACGGCTGAAAAAGGTTGCTGACCCCTGCTCCAAAAGAAGCTTACGCAAATCAGCATATAAAGGTATGTGAAAATAAATGCTGAGGCAGTCTGCTAACTGCAACAGTTCTGCTGTGTAAGGAACGAGGATGTGTACTACAGTTTGCCACTCAAAAAGGATACACAACACAGGCTGCATCTTTAAAGCACATTCAAAACACACACCCCAAATCTGGGTACTGTGGTTTCTTAAGGGTTGCTGGGAAATTTAACTCTGTGAGGGGTAAACTAAAGTGCCCACCATTCTTTGTGGTGGGGCAAATTGCTTTCAAGATATAGCCACAGGTATACTCCACTTGCCCCAATCTTCCCCTCAAAAACAGGATATTCCATTAGGTGCAAGGTGCTGTTTTGACTGTTTGTTGCTATAGCCTCTCCTGCGGTCTGCGGCTGTTTGGGGCTGATAAGCAAAAAGCATCTCCACCCAACTTCCTTCTGATAAGACAGATAAGACAGCCTGTTCAGCAGCTGCCCCTAGGCAGAGCATAGCTGGATTAAGACCTTTAGAGGCCCTAAGGACTTAAAAACATTTTGTTGCCCCCATATATATCGACTTCAAAATATAAAAAATAATAAACTTTTGTTTTTTTGAAATGAAACAAAACCTAGTAAGATGGAAAATAATGATTATTTTTGTATACTTCCACTTTATTTACATTTGAAAAGCTTCCTCCTACTTTTTCCTAATTGCAAACTGTTTGCTCAGATCCTCAAAACTAGTATTACTTGCCGCCTCTGCTTCTATACTTAAGTCGAGATAAGGCGTCCAGCCTGCCTTGTTGCTGTTCTGTTGGGATTTTTAATTTGATCCCAGAATGTCCCACTTTTCCGTAGGAGGCCCCTATATTCATTGGAGAAATGTCGGAGGATATGGCATGAAGCTCTTAATGCCAGGGATGAAAAGAGCTGAATACATCATTACCATCACGCAAGCACTGTTTCCTCAACAGTATGCTAGCAACCATCAGCTGCAGTGCAGACTGTGTTTAAAGCTTTCTTTACCCAATTCAGCTCCATGATCACCCAGTTCTACAACAATCTATTAAACCCTTCCCATTTCAAATGTGTGGTTGGCACTTAAGCAATTTATGAACACATAAAGCACAGGTAGAACCTGCAAAGTCCACCACCACGGGTCTCTTGATTACACTAGGGCTGTTTTGATGTAAAAACGCTATAGAAGTCCTAGAATCGCAGAAATGTAGCGTTGGAGGGGACCCTGAGGATCATCTAGTCCAACCCCCTTGCAATGCAGGAATATGCAGCTGTCCCATACGGAGATCAAACCTGCAACCTTGGCGTTATCAGCACCACACTCTTAACCAACTGAGCTATCCATTGTTTCATCTATGAGACAACCACAGGCAGATTTTCTCACCACTTAAAATAAGATTGAACCACATGAACCGGGTGGTGCACATGAACTGGCAAAATCAATGACTCATTTCAGCAACGTAGAGAGCAGTTACAGCAATATAGCCTCATTCATGTTTTGCATGGATAGCCTAAAACAGACACAGCAGAAGCAAAAGAGAGGGAACGTCCAGGATTCTAAGCCCTCCAGCACCTAGTTCCCTAACCACATACCCCCAGCAGAGACTGGTATCAGACACATCATGGGCATTTGTTTCCCCCAACCCCAGAGAACGACTCCATGCTGTACATGCAGCAAGCCCCGAGTTCAAATCCACAGCGCAACCCCACTCTATACAATGTATAGGAGAGGGAAGGCTGCGAAGAGATAATCTTTATCTATTATAGTATTGCAACTTTTGTTTGTTTTGAAGTATGGTTGTGAATTTTTCTCAATTGTATTGTTTTATCTTTTTCTAAACTGCTTGGAGGTATGTTTTTTTAACAAGCAAGCGGTGTATGAATTTCATGAAAACAAATAAATAAGCTGATATGTGGGCTTTGTTGCTATTTCTATGGATGTGGCTTCCATTTTAAGATTTTCCAAGTTTTGCATTTTCCACTCCCTTCTTTAGACTGAGCACGTATAGAACACAAGAGCGCATCTTTCCCTGCAACCAATATAATAAACTCCAGATTGATTAGATCTTGTCATCAGAGGCATGGCTCATATCTAGGAAGCCGTGCATTTAGTATTGTAGGCCCAACCTTCTAGAACTCCCTTCCAGTTGAGGTCAGACAGGCACCCTGGGCCCAGCTGAATCTCCATTGCCTATTGAAGACATTTTTTTAAAACTTCAGAAGGAATTTTAACATAAGTTTGATTTTTATAGTTTGATTTTATACTGTAGTTTTATTTTTATAGTTTTAATGGATTTATACCTTTTCTGTATTGTTGTATACCACATGCAGATTATTGTATTTAGACAATTTATATATTGTTGAAATGAATAAAATAAATAATTTTGTTCTGGAACTCAAGTCCATGAGACCTTGATGAGATATTTAGTTGTGAAGACTCACTTGATTTTTCACATCTGGTACATACATTTTCTGACTGCTAGAGCTTTGACTTATCCATGCACATTGCTGAAGGCCAGATGAGTCTTTGAAAGTCAGTCTTAAGCCCAATTAAAATTACTCAGCCTCGCAGGTGATTCACAGGTTTACTACTAATCTGTTTAGGGCATTATAACTGTCAAACTTTTAGCTGCTGAAGTATTGGAACCACCAAAACTAAACTAGAAGAATCTAAGTTGGAAAGAAAATTATGCTTGCAAGCTTTTTTCTTTTTCTTTTTAATCAGCAATTTAAAAATTCAGTGCTTCCAATAATAAAATAAATGGCCAAAACAAGTTTCTCCAAGCACTCCAAAGTTAAACACAGTCCTTTCAGAGGCCAAAGAGATCACCAAGTCCTTTCAACATGCTTCCAAGGCCACAGATCTTTGGACCAGGTTTCTTATGAACATGGAAAGTACAGACATATGACAACACAAAGTTTTTAAACGCCATTCTGTCCCCAGTTTGCTTTTCACCCACTCTAATTTATTCACACAAAAGACAACTGCGGCATGGCCTCTGATGCTGATCGCTGGAGCAAGGAGTGCAAAGAAGGGGAAAAGTCAGGCAATACTCAGCTAGGAGAAAGCTAAATAACAGCAAGATAGGACAGTCCCCCTTGCTGAAGGCAGCTGGACTAACAGCAACATTTAAACAGATAGCTTAAGAGGGATTTGTCCCAGCATCTGACTCCTGAGTTGTGCCTTAAGTAGATTTGTTCTTCCACTGTTTCGTGCACACAGAGGAAGACTGAAGAGACACAGGAGTGCTTAATGGCAACCATTTAAACTCACTGACTACAGGGTTTGGCACACTAAAGCAATCCTACAAGGCAAGGATGGGGAACCTGTATCCTTCCCATTAGTACTATCAACTCCCATCAGCCTCAGCCCACACTGGTAATAAATAGGTTTGTTTTTTCTGGTAATAGTTGATGATGGGATATGTAGTCCAACAAACAGCTAGAAGGCTACAGGCTCCCTGCCCTTATTATAAGGAATGCTGAATTTCTGCGTCCCACTGTTGCTTTCCACCAATGGCACTGTTTGTTCTTTCTTACCAACTGCGCCAGACAAGCTCTGAAACAGACACGCTTCCTGTCGCCTCTCCTCTTTACCCTGTTTTTGCTGGGCGTACAAGCAGAACGCATTACTCAAGAGGAGAGCAGGCAGGAGAGTCAGCACACAATTTAGGAGTCACCGGTTTGGGATGCTAGGTTCGGCCACCCCAACACCGCTTTCTTGAGAGTCTTTCCTGTGTTCTCTTTGGAAGCGGCTCAGGCTGAAGAGGACTTCTGGAAAAGGGATCTTGTGAAGAAGGTGGGCCTTAGCAGCACGTCTGACACATGCACTGGACACCAAGATGTGCACTTGTATGACAGGTATGGCAAAGTCTCCCTGGAATGCTCTTCCCGTCGTGACCAGAGCAGTATTTTGCTCCTCTCAGTCTCACTTATAAAAGCCTGGTCCACAGGTTTGGACGGAGTTTCCCCACAAACGGGTGCAAGTCACCTCCCATATGGATCAGACCACCAGTTTCACAAAGCAACTGCAGCGAGTGGAAGAACTGGATTAGGCCGCTTTGTTCTCCGGCAGAACTCACTCAGGATTTTAAGCCCATTTTAGACATCATCTGTTCATAGACAGTCCACGCCATGGCCGCCATCAGTGTTCGTCGCAAAGCTCTTGGGACGGCACCTCGGAAAAAGCCTATTAATCCGTAATCCTGTAGCAGGAGAAAGAAGCAAGTGTCGTCGTTACTCTTAAGCATGCAAACCCTTCAGCAAGGCACATTGATGCTGCAGCAAATGTTCAGCAAGTTTGATTTTCAGTTAGAAATTAAAGGTTAGGGTGGTTAAAGGATTTTCTAAGAAAAAACCCCCAAACCTGAATGAATGGTCAAAGTTTTCCAAAGCTGTCACAGTTGCTACCTTTTCTCCTATCTGCTTCTGCATCAGGGGTTTTTATTCTGTCTAGAGACTCTCCCTCTTTGTAAAAAACCCCAGAAGCTTTCCTTTTGGGAATTATAGGGACAGAACTACCCAAACTGTATAGAAATTTATTAATGTATATGACTACAGTGGCAAGAATGTTACTTGCCCAAAAATGGAAAGAAGAAGTAAGTGGTCCCAGTAAAAGGAGAATGGATACAAAAACTTATGGAATACGCAGAAATGGGAAAACTTACCAGAAAAAAAAGAAATCCAGATAACAAAGTTTTTATAAAAGAATGGAAATGGTTTAGTGAATATTTACAAATAAATTGTAAAGAGATAAGAACATTGGCAAGATTACTGTAATAACCTGCAGTTTTATAAGAGTATATATTTAAAGTATGTAGATGAATAAATGAGTAAATTAAGTTAATTTGGATATGCAGAAAATATTAAAAATAAGTTTAAGGAACCGCAGAAAGAGGAGGAAGGAAGTCAAGTTTTGAAATGTCAAAATGATTATAAAATTTTTGAAATATATAAAATTGAAAAATCATAAAAAAGAGACACTCGCTCTGTTACCTATGGGTTTAGCATTAGCTAGGCAAGGATCACGTAATGAAAATTATCACATGGTACTAGGTGTTAACGCTCCACATTCCTTTCCCTGGGTTTCTTACTAAAGCTGGATGAAAGAAATCTGGGGGTGCTCAAACTGTTTCAGAAGCGTGTTTAAAGGAAATCCAGGTTTCTGAAACGGAGTTGTGTATATTTTCGTCAGGGTTAAGAATGGTCAATATTATTATTATTATTAGGAGCAAAACAGCAGCCAGTAGGCCTGGTCTTTATTCAAACGACTGTAGCAACAGGACTTCCACCCACCCCACAGAAACAGCAGGAAGAAGCCAGAATGGTCAATATAATTATGACCCTAGCCAGGCAGGTGAGAAGAAAGGAAGGAAATTCATGTGTCCATTCATTAAGCAGGTAGTCCTTTGAGCCAACCCTATGTCTTGCTCTTGTTCCCTTAACCTAGATAGCAGTGTGTCTGCACCATAACATCAGAGTCCCAAGTAAGGTATTCTCATGTTGCAGGATGATAAGCAAAACATATACCAAATGCTTGCCAAAAAAGGGGGCAAGCATTTGCCTTATGGACACAACAATGCTTAGGCACAAATGCTGATGAAGGAACTTGACAGATTCTCTCACTTGCGAAGACAAAAACATTTTGGATGGGTCCAGCTGATCAGCATAGAAACCTAACAAAAGAAACTGTTCAATAGCTACTTTTTGAACGATGCTAGGAATTATTCAACAGGATATACTTGTGCATCTAGACCCAAGTGCATCATTCGGTGATACCTTAGCTTAATGAAATATTTCTAAACTAAATAAATTTCTTGGGAAGGGTTGTGTTATCTTTCTCCCTTTTAATTGTGTGTCCAAAGGACAAAGATATGGTTTACAACCATTTGTTCCCAGAGCAGAGCTAGCCCAGAATTGCTTCTATCTGAAAGCAAGCCAAGAGTGATAAAAAAACCTGAAAGTAGCACATCCAGATCCTATAATTTAGCTAGTTCATGAAATTATATCTGTCATCAAAGTACGCTCTGCCAGTTTAAGAGCCAAAGTACTCTTTCAGACCTGGTACAGTTGTACTTCGGAGGTCAAACGGAATCCGTTCCAGAAGTCCATTCGACTTCCAGAATGTTCAGAAACCCAAGGCGCGGCTTCCGATTGGCTGTAGGAAGCTCCTGCAGCCAATCAGAAGCCGTGCCGGGTGTTTGAGTTCCAAAGAACATTCGCAAACCGCAACACCAATTTCCAGGTTTGTGGCATTCGGGAGCCAAAACGTACGAGTGCCAAGACGTTCAACTTCCAAGGTACAACTGTACTGTAGTGGGCAATTTCTCTACATGTAGGAAGATGTCAGGGATACACAAAACAACACTCTCACAATTTTGCAACACCAAAACAAAGTTGTAAAGTCAGAACAACGTGTGCTAAGTCCAAAAGGTTGATGTGCAGTGATTCTATATATTTGTAAAATTCAGTATAGTTTTGGAGGGGAGAGTGAGGAGATAGCAAGCCTAGAGAATGGGTCACAATGTGTGAACAGGGTTTGTATGTAGAAGTTCCCAATTTCAGTACATAAACAATACTGAGCTCTAGGTCCAATGGTCAGATATAGTGGTATAATGCACCTTTCTGGGAAGAGACCTGCTCACATCGCTGAACACTCACCAGCAGTTTTTGGGGGCTACAGATAAGAACAAGCTGCGAGGCCAAAGTCTTATCCAAGCTCAAACTGTGTTTCTGAGAATCTGTTATTATTCTGCCTTTCCCCCCTAAAAGGGACTCAAGGAGGCTAACAGATAAAAATAAGAACAGCCGATGACGCCAGTGTGTGTGTGTGTGTGTGTTTGAGACGCCTGCCTCAAACATAGCTGGAAAGCCTTCAATGCCTTAGAAAAAAATAACAGTATAAAAATGTGACTAGTTAATGAGCAAACTCAACCTTACCCTGAAGATTAAGGCAATGGCTTGGCGCATCCGGAGGTGTTTGTCGGATGACACCTGCACATGGGTTTTGATGACATCAGCAGGCTGAGTTGCCAGCGATGCCAGAATCCCTGCAACAGTCCCACAGCCAAAGTTCACTAAAGGTGAGAGTGCTGGGTCCACTTGGTCTGGAAAAGAATGAGCAAAAAACCATTTCACAATCAGCTTTCGGCAGGAGAAAAGAAGGATCACAAAGTCTTACGCCAAATCTTTCTTAATCAACTTAAAACCTCAGTAACAGCCACTTATTCCACCTAAAAAGTACTTGGATAAAAGGAGATTTCAGCTTCCTTAAGCAACTTGTCACATTTGCCTAACTGTTCCCCCACTTAAATCTAGCTTCATTTTATATACAAAGCTGCTTGCTCCATCTTCCTTATCGTATCTTTAAAATTATCCCAAAACTAGCCAGTCCCCTTACCCAAATTTGCCTATTCCTCCCAAACCTTGCCACGGGCCTTGCCCTATTCTGAGCAAGTTTTTACTCAAAGCAAACCCATTGAAATAAATGAACCTAACATAGCCCTGTTCATTAAATGTAGCTGACTACCATCCTTATGACTTTCTAGTTTGATTTCCCTGCAGCATGCTTTCAAACTGGCTCTGACATTTCGAACAAGTACTAACCAGTGTTGAGCGTTTGTCACAGTCCTATTAAGACATACAAGTAAATAAAGTAAAAGGTGTCTGCCAAGCCAGCTTCAATGGCATTCAACTTCATTGTGGCATCATCCCATTGCTGACTCAGAAATGTGCTCTGCTGTAACTTCCTGGACCTTACAGTGTTCAGTGCTAATCTGGCACTGCTAGGTAGCTGACTAAACAGATTACTCAGCAGATTACATCATGGTGTTTCCCCCCTGCAGAGTAAGGCTGCAATTCTATTATGCAATAGACATTTTTTTCTTTTAAGTAAACAAGCTTAAGACAGGGTTGCAAAGAGACCAGGCATAGAACAGACTATATAGGCAAAGGACTATGTTTAAAAGGAGTGTTTTAGAAGCAGCATCCACCATGACTAAATTTCAATCACAGAAACAATTGTGCATAGAAATATTCTTCACCAATTATCAGGTGACAAGAAGATGACACATCTCCAAAACTCTGCCAACTCTCTCTTGTGTAGCAATCTGCAGTTATGTACACCAACAACGACTGGTGCAAATATTCTCCAAGCAAAATTACATTGCTACAAATATTGAAATGTGGCCTGTCAACCCACCATTCAGTCATGCAGCTCATTCTCTGGTCAACCAGGTGAATAAATACTTCAATGGCTCATCCTGATCCTGTTGAAAATGCCTGATGTACCTTATCTAAACCCTGCAAATTAAATTCCGGGAACAGGAAGCTGTGAGGACAACATTACAACCACCCTTACCATACGGTGCTATCTTTTTGGTTTGCGTGTAGAACATCAAGTAAATGCCAGAAAAGGGCGCATCACGCAGGAGTGTTGCAGTCAGACCGCTAAACAAGCCCTGGACACTTTCTGACCGATAGATGCTCCTCAGGGCTCCATAAATGCTTTCATAGCCGTACCTTCCACACTGCAAACCAAACATAAAAGTGAAATTGAACACCTAACAACAAAAGTGTCCTCGGGCTGTATAGTTGAAGGGCAGCAACTGACCTATATGGACCGGTTGAGGGACTAGTACAGCCATTTAAAAAAAAAAAAAAAAGGTTACAAAACTCACCTCATACCGTGTTTTCACTACAGTGATAGGCAACATGCAAACCACAGCTACAGTACGCGAGGTTCCACCCAGCAAAACAGACTCCAGGGCTGTAGGAGAACGATCCAGCAGAAAATGCTGTTTTATCATATATAAGGTGCTGAAGTAAATTCCTACTCCTGGGATGCATCTTGCAAAGGACTGTGAAGAGATGAAAGGGCAACAGTGGGGAGAGAGAAAATATTTAGTGGTAAGACCACAACGGAAATTCTATTGCATATTTACCGTATTTTTCACTCCAGAAGATGCACTTTTTCCTAAAAAGTAAGGGGAAGTGTCTATGCGTCTTATGGAGCGAATGTGTGGTCGACTGCTGGCTCCCTTTCCGGCCCCGCCTCCTTGCCCAGGCCTCCATTGTTGAATGTTCTGCAGAAAGAGGCTGTTTCCACAGTGACATGTGACTGGCTGATTAGTTTATCTGCCTGGAAACTGTAGAAACGGCTCCCTTTCTTTTCCTAAAGAAGCTGCAGAACTGTGAGTTGAACCCCATAAAAACAGTATTTTTTCCCTTTGCAAAGTAAGCTCAACAACTTTGAGCTGATCCTCAAAAAAACAGGGCTTTCCCCCTTTCCTCCTCTAAAAACTAGGTGCGTCTTATGGAGCGAAAAATACGGCATTTCTTTTCAAGCTACATGGCCGGCTCACAATTCAAGACACCATAAACATGAGGCTACATTTTCTACAATCTTAGACCTACTCAGAGCAGAGCCATGGAGATTAATGGAACTAAGTTAGTCATGTTCATTTATTTCTGTTAATAGGGTGTTCATCTCACGAGGAGACAAATGAGGTTAACTCCAACGAATCCAAAAGAAAAGAAAAACACTGTTTTATTTAGGCAACTTACCGGAGAAACACCCTTCCACAGCCCCAGTATACTTTCTGTGCGAACCACCTTAAAGAACAGAGTTACCATGCCAACACGGCCTGATCTGCAAGGAAAACCCAATCAGAGGTTAAAAACAGGCACACATAATCACAAGTCTGTTGACAGGAAACACACTGCAAAATAATCCTTTCCTCCTTCCATTGGCCAAAGCCCTCCAGAGATGAGCAGGTATACCAAGCCATTCCTGCTTCTCTGAACAAGTTATTCGATGTCCATTTAATACACAAAGAGGCTTGAATCCTGCCATTCTTCTCTATTTACCACTAACATATTAGTTTATGGAAACACCACGTGAAAAGGCCAATACGTTACTTTGGCATGTGCTTACATTTTAGTTCATGGTATCTGGAGTAATTGCTGTTTCAGTGGGAATGGCTTTTCGGGGCTTCCAGTAAAAATGATCCATGTTTTTTAAGATAGTTCTAGCTAGATCAGTCACTCAAAACATGACTGGCTCAGACATACAATCGGGATGATTTTTTAAGTTTGGAAACCTCATTGTAAGCCAGGGTGATTGCAAAGTCACAGCCCACAATCATAATTACTAATTATTAATCATCCTGGCTATCTACTGACTGAGACCACCATATAAATGCATTTATTAGATTAAAAACTGAGGCTGAAATATGCTCTTTCCCCTCATGGTCTTGCAACACCTTTTGGAAGACCTTTCCTACTTCATTTGCCAAACACTTTTCACCCTCTTCTGTACTCATTCTGTCTCTATTCCAAACCTCTAACACCAAGGGCGTAAGCGTCTCTTCTTGAAATATCAAATGCTTACCCATTGACAGATGGCTGTAGGGTCTGCAGGCGGGTTTTAAGCAGGTCTAGAGGCTGGAATAGCAGGGTAGAGCAGGTCCCACTGATGGAGCCACAAACAAAGGCTTTTACCACAGGGTGCATCTTCAAAGGAAAACAGTGCAATGTTAAAAGAAAAAGCCTTTAAATGGGACATATTATCGCCAGCAAAGACATAATATATATTTTTAATGCTCAATTCAGGATTTGCTTTCATAAATGGTATCGGTCAAAATGCTCAACAAGTTGCAATTTAACGCCAATGTCCTGCAATGCCTCTCACATGTTTAAGCCCGTTGGAAGTCTTGTGACAACTGTTCATGATTTCAACTAGTTATAGAAATGTAAGGGACCTCATAGGCAACCTAGCCCAACCCCGTCAGTGCAGAAAATCCACAGCTACAGCATCCCTCATGCCAATACTTATCAATCTCACCGAAAAAGTGTCTACAACATTTCAAAGCTATCTTTACCACTGTCAAACTGCTAATACTACCAGAAAGTTGTTCCTCGTGTCTTGAGGAATGTGTTACTTTGCAGTAAATCTCTCAAGAGAATACTTATATGGGTATCTTCAAGCCTGGAAACAATCAGATCTTCAGCCGCGCTTCTCACAAAATACTGACCATTCTCAGTATTGAGAAATCAGTCAACGGAAGATCACGGAACATTCCAGACCCAACCCATCCAACAGCAGTGGCAATATTCCCACTGTAGCATCTCTGAGAATATAGTGGCATTGGCTTTGAAATAAGGCCGCTTGTCTGTGAGTAAGCAGCAGCTGAACAACTGAAGGCCAGCAACTGACTATTAGTTGACTCTCCAGCTGACTTAAAAGCACAAGAACATAAGAAGAGTTCTGCTGGATCAGATTAAAGCCCGTCCCATCTAACTTCCAGTCCGCAAGCAAGGCCTTCTCGGTGGTTGCTCCCAAACTTTGGCGCTCCCTCCCTAGCAAGGTTAGGCAGGATCCTTCATTGGTGTCCTTCTGCTGGCAGGTGAGGACCTTCATATTCCAGCAGGCTTTGAGGAACTGACCGCTTTTAATGAGACAGCTGGTGCTATGCCGTTTTTATTATTATCTGTTTTAAATACACCTACAGTTTTAATTCTAATGTTTAATGGTTTGTTAATTATTTCCTCCCCCCCCCCCATGTTTTTTGCTGTTCTTATTTTATTCAGGGCTGCTTTGTGCCCCTGTCAAGGGAAAAGGGAGGGTATAAATCAACAGAATGATGATGATGATGATGATGATGATGATGATGATGATATTAACATAACAACACTCCCCAGCAACCATTGTTCAGAGGCTAATCCTAAAGGTAGTACATAGCCCCTCCATAAAGCAGTCAGCAGAGCACATGGCTCTTAATCTCAGGGTGGCGGATTCATTGGGCAAAAGATCCCTGCCTTACAAGCGGGTTGGGCTGGATGACACTTGGGGGTCCCTTTCAACTCTACCATTATACGCTACACTAAGGAGGAGCCACGGAAAGCCTGTGTCGTCCATGCACTTGCCTAGCACCTCCTTTTCCATGCTCTTTCCTCAACGCACAACATGAGGCTGCAAATTCCCAACCTGGTGGTTCTCTTCTGTATTTTAATTTTAATGTTGTATTTTAACCTTGTTTTTAAGCTGTAGTTCAATCAATTGTTTTTATATTTGGTGTTAGCCGCCCTGAGCCCAGTCTTGGCTGGGGAGGGCGGGGTATAAACAAACTTATTATTATTATTATTATTATGGGTTTCGTTCTCTACTTCGTGGACCGCCTCAAGATCTTTAAACCGAGGGGCGGTATACAAATTCAATAATTAAAAAAATGAAGAAAGGCTCCACTCCAGAGTCCCAGCCAGCCAGCTAGAGACCAGAAGCGGTCACCCACCACCCCATACACGCCACCCTCAACGAACCCCTACCCCACGCCCCTAGACCCCCACTCCCTATACCCCCTACCCTCCTACACCCCCAGGTTTACAAGTTTAATAAATAAGTGAAGAAAGGCTCCTGTCCCGAGTCCCACCTCCCCCCAGCCAGAGACCAGAAGCGGGCCCCCACCCCCATACACCCCCCTCCAACCCCTCCTCAGGTATACAAGTTTAATAAATAACAGTGAAGAAGGGCTCTTGTCCCGAGTCCCACCCACCCAGAGACCAGAAGCGGGCCCCCTCCCAACCAAGCTGTGAGGGGCTGCCACTCTGCCCGTGCTTACTCGGGAGCAAGCCAAACCACCACCTGGCAGAGGCGCCGGGCCGCCTTACTGCGGGGGGTGGGATGCCGGCTAGCCCAGCCCAGCCCTGCCCCCGTTTGAGTAAGGGGTGCCCCCCGCCCCCCACTGACCGCCATGGCCTCTCGGGCCCCCGGCCAACTTCTCCTCAGCTCCGCCTCGGGTCCCGCAGCCGAGGGCATCCCACGCAGCTCGCCGCCGGGCCCCAGCCGCGCCGACGCCTCCGACGCCCGACCAATCCGAGGCGAGGGGACGAGCCTGGACACGTGAAGGGGAGGCGGGGCTTCGCCCGACGCCCCGCCCCCGAGGCCAAAGGACCGCGCGCCGAAGAGCCGCGATCGCGGAGAGCGTGGCGGAGGCTTGGAAGGGGGAACTCCCGGGGTCATCTAGTCCAACCCCGCGCGCAGGACAAGCGGCTAAAGCGTCGCCTGGCACACGGGCGCCCAACCTCGAAGCAGAGGAAGGAGGGTTTGCAACCGGCAGCCCCCCTGCAAAAAAGAAAAGAAAAGAGAAATGAAATGAAATGAAAAAGGGTGAAGGAAGCAGGGTTTACAGCCAGCAGCGCGCCGGTGCCTTTTTTAAACTCACTTTATAGAATCCTAGAATCGGAACTGCAGAATTGGACAGGATCCCGAGGGTCACCGAGCCCACCCTTTTGTGGGAGCCCGATTTTGGCACTGGAAACAAATCCCCAGGCTGATGAGTGCATACATAAACACATACATACATAACCACATTTTCTCTTAATTCTAAATGTATTTCTGCACCCTTTTAAAAATCATAATAATTGCACAGATTATACTTATTTTTATATGTAATCTCCCCAATAAAAGTATTTGGTGGTGTTTATTTTCTTGACACGTGCTTTATATAAATAAATTCTATTTCTAGGTACCAAGCTGGTTTCCATGATCACCGCAACTCCGCAGACAAAATGTATTTGGGTTTTTAATCCCTTTGCAGCACAGCCGAGGCTTGGTGGGGAATTTATAACGGTGTTTTAAATACCTATGATGAGCAGCCCGATCTTAGGAACCTGCCTAGTTTTCTTACCACTGAAGAGTTCCTCCTTGTTTCCTGCTTCGTGTTTGCCTGGAACATGGCAGGTGGTTCATTTAAGACTCTAACGGCAGATGCTGATGGAATTGAACCTAAAGATTACCAAGGATCTAGGAATTGAACCTAAACTTTATTAAGGATCCTAGAATTAAACCTAAAAATGATTGAGGATCCAGGAATTAAACTTAAAAATTACTAAGATCTGGAATTAAACCTAAGAATTGCTAAGGATCTTGGCCGTTTTCAGCTCCTCTCTGTCAATTCTGCTTCGATATACTGTATGCTATGAAACGGTTTGGGTCGCCAGATCTTGTCAGACTACAACTCCCATCATCCCAAGCACGTCGCTTGGAGATGACGAAAGAGCCCGGTTACAGAAAGGAAGGCGGGTGGTTAGCTCATTACCGCGGAGCTAGGGAAAAGTGTAGAGTCATGCATCTCCATAGGTTGAATTTCAGCTAGTTTTCATAGATGAAAGCACATTATAAAAGCTTAGGAAAAACAATTGGATTTGGGAAAGAACTTGGAGCCTAATTCTGGTACTGAAAAGAAATCCCCAGGCTACACACGAGTTTAGCCTCTTTCCCAGGCTTCTTGTTGTTTAGTCGTGTCCGACTCTTCGTGACCCCATGGACCAGAGCACGCCAGGCACTCCTGTCTTCCACTGCCTCCCGCAGTTTGGTCAGACTCATGCTGGTAGCTTCGAGAACACTGTCCAACCATCTCGTCCTCTGTCATCCCCTTCTCCTTGTGCCCTCCATCTTTCCCAACATCAGGGTCTTTTCCAGGGAGTCTTCTCTTCTCATGAGGTGGCCAAAGTATTGGAGCCTCAGCTTCAGGATCTGTCCTTCCAGTGAGCACTCAGAGCTGATTTCCTTCAGAATAGAGAGGTTTGATCTTCTTGCTGTCCATGGGACTCCCAAGAGTCTCCTCCAGCACCATAATTCAAAAGCATCAATTCTTCGGGGATCAGCCTTCTTTATGGTCCAGCTCTCACTTCCATACATCACTACTGGGAAAACCATAGCTTTAACTAGGCTAAACATACCCAACTCCTTCAACCATTCCTCATAAGGCTTGGTTTCCAGACCCTGACCCTTGATCATCTTGGTTGCCCTCTTCCATAATGTTGCTGTGTGTTTTTAAATCTGTTTTTGGTTGATCCTTAATTCTTATTTCTTTTAATTAAATAGTTGTTTTAAACTGCTTTTACTGATAATTTTATTCTTTCGTGTGTGTTTTTTTGCAAAGCACAAAGACGTGGATTTAAAAATTAAGCAGTACAGGCAACCCACCATTAACGTTACATTTTGAGGCACCACGTGCATCAATGAAATTGTGTGTATTTGAAACACCGTTGGGAAAGCCCCCCAACCCTCTGTTCTGCCCCCACTCCGCTCTGCCCCTCTGGGTGACGTTTTTGACATTTATCAGTCACTTCTGAGTTATGTGCGTGTCCACAGTTGCACACATATTGAACACGTGTTCATGGGTGGTCGCCTAAATATAAATGGTATGAAATAAAAGAATAAATAAACTGCAAGCTGTAGCCTGCTGTCTGCCTTCAAGAATGTATCTTTAAGAAAGTATTTTAAAGAATGTATCTTTGTATTTTAAAGAATGTATCTTTTAGAACATGGGTAGGCAAACTATGGCCCAGGGGCCGGATCTGGCCCAATCACCTTCTAAATCCGGCCCGCGGACGGTCCGGGAATCAGCGAGTTTTTACATGAGTAGAATGTGTGCTTTTATTTAAAATGCATCTCTTGGTTATTTGTGGGGCATAGGAATTCGCTCATCCCCCCAAAAAAAAATATAGTCCAGCCCCCCACAAGGTATGAGGGACAGTGGACCAGCCCCCTGCTGAAAACATTTGCTGACCCCTGTTGTAAGATCTTGAGTGGTGCTAATGGAGATGTCATTTGTTTGAGATTGGGAGCAAAAGGTGTTGAGCTGTTTTTCCTTTTCAGCGGATCTTGGCTAATAGTTTTTCCTTTATTTACAGGAAAGAATACTGGAGGTTCTGGGGTGATCAGCATGCAGATTACATGATTGACTGGATTTTTGGGAAATGGTTATCAGTGGTGCTGTGAAGTTCTGTTCTGCATACTTTTATTAATTAAACTTGGTTTATGTTTGCATTTTGTGTGTATTCTTGGGTTCATTTGTAGACTCAGTAGGTGGCGCTGTGGTGCTACAAGGTTTGACAGTTTGTGAGTTTGACAGTTTGTGAGTAGCAGACAATAATATTCACAGATTGGTTATACACTAATGTAGTAATACAAAGGCATAAAACAGGGAATACAGGATATGAGGGCATTAAACTATACAGCGATACAAAGACAAGAGTTACGTTCTTTAGTTACATTTTAAGGAGCGATACAAGGTAAAGAAATACAAGTAAAAAGATGCATTCTAAAACAGGAGTCAGCAAACTTTTTCAGCAGGGGGCCAGTCCACTGTCCCTCAGACCTTGTGGGGGGGCCGGACTATATTTTGAAGAGAGAGAAAAATGAACGAATTCCTATGCCCCCCAAATAACCCGGAGATGCATTTTAAATAAAAGCACACATTCTACTCCTGTAAAAACATGCTGATTCCCGGACCGTCTGTGGCCTGGCTTAAGAAGGTGATTGGGCTGGATCCGGCCCCCCGGGCCATAGTTTGCCTACCCATGTTCTAAAAGATACATTCTTTAAAATACAAGTAAAAAAATACTTTCTTAAAGATACATTCTTGAAGTCATTCTTAAAGATACATTCTTTAAAAAGATAGAAATGAAGAGGTACAAGTAAAAAGATTCATTCTTGAAGTCAAAGGTACATTATTTCTCAGAAAACGACATTCTCTGATAGCATACATATACTTACTCAATACAGAATATAAAGCAGATACGAATATAGACAGTGTCATTCTTTAATTCCCCTTTCTGATCATGGTTTCTCTTATGACATCTGCATTAGCGGGCTGGCAACAGACACCAACCGCAAGCCATTATCGGGAAGACGTTAGTGCACACAACCTCATGCCAATGTGGAAGTTACTGTCAGCTGTCAGCTGTGTAATATGAGGCAATGCATGTTCTTTGTACTTTTGTCCGTTTACTGTATTTATTTCCCTCGATTTGAACTATAAAATGGTAATTTTCTTGAGTCAAAATGAGAGTACCCCTGAACATTTTTTAGGGGGGGAAACCCACTGTATCTATCTATCTAAAACGACATTTATTTATTTAAAAGTTTTTATACCCTGTCCTTCCTTTCAGAGTGGAGCAGAGGCATGCTTGCAACACAACATATGACATAAACGTTACAAAACAAAACAAATGAGAAATTATTGTTGGGAGTCAAGTCCATGGCACTCTGGGGAAATTAACTTTCCAGGGGACACTCTTTATGTCACATGATTCATTCATCTCAGAATCTGGTGGATGCTCATGTCATAATCCCACCCCATATTTTTTTTTCCCAGCCCAGCAAGAGCCCAGTTAAACATGCATGCAGTCCTGGTCAGCCTATGCAAGATCTTCTCGGAAGAAGCAGTTCATTTCCCTTGCAGAGCTGGGTTGCAATTGAGGAAACAGTTGCAGCATCTGCAGTCTATGCTCTGGCTGCATCAGTCTAAGGCAGAAGAGGGAGCAATCACCCTGATCAGATTTGAGCACATTTTCATTCAAAGCAAGACAGAGCCTATTAAGGTAAGAAGAAGAAGCACCATATAATATCTGAAGGTCCATAGCACTCCTGCACCTTTAATAGTTGTATAGGAGAGGGCATTTCAATAGGCTACTTTGCATGACAAACTACTATTAAAGGTGCAAGAGCCAATGTCCTTTTTACCTGGCCATTCTAGTTCACAATATTAGCTCGTGTAATTTTGATCTCCTTCTCAACCAACAGCTACGAAAGTAAATATGAAGGCCGACAACTGATTAAGGATGTGTTAGATTCATCATATGCGAGATTTGGCTGCAGCGTGAAACATATTTTCTTTGTTTTGTTTATTAAAAAATAAACTATATATATATATATATATATTCCATTTTAATCTTCAAAGCGGAGGGGGTTGTCTCATTGTACAAGCAATCAGAAAATCAGATTGTTTGCCACAGAGATTTCAACAGTGCCAAAATAGTGGAGTTGAAACATCACTTCCAGTCTGCGGCATGGAAATATCCACTGTTGTTAGTGGGGAAGGAGCTGCAGGAGAAGTCCTTCGAAGGCCATACCTTGAAATCATGTTTGTTTTAAAAAAAAATTATATTAACAGCAGAATCCTGTGTATGCCTGCTCAAAAGTTAGCCCCAAGAGCTCAACTGGACTTACTCTCAGCTTAGGTAAGCATGTATCAGATTTTGGAATCGGGAGAAATTTGATTCAGTTCACACTTAAATGTGAACCAACCTAAGTCACCATTTCAAAAACAATCAAACCTTTGTTTAAAACTGTCGCTTTCCCCTCTCTCAATTTCTATCCATTCCTGCTTTACTAAAACCTCTTCCTATGTTTTTAGCTATTCTTATTTTATCTGTAAGGCATCTTGAGTCTCTGATGAGGAAAAGGTTGGGAATAAATAACAAAATATATTAATAATGATGATGATGATGATGATGATAATAATAATAATAATAATGTTATTGTTTAATGCTACAATTTCCCTGTCAGTGTCTTTCCCTACTCACTGAATTCTCCCCCCTCCGTTCTTCAGTTGCCCCATGTGAGAGAGATAGTACCTCCACACAATGTATTTCACTTCTGACACCATGTGTTGTCTTCAGCATGAATCAATGTAGCAATTTAAAACAGATATTTCATGAACAAGCCAATGCCTGTTGCGTGTACAAAATCCATCAGCTTCTTTAGCCGTCAAGATTGCTCTTAAGAGTCGATTCATCTTAAATATACAGTGTCGTGCAAAACAGGCAACAGGAGGCATGGAAATGAGGGAGATCTGTGTGCAAGGGGGAGCTGAGAAAAAAGGGGGGAGGAGTGGAAACATGGTGAAAATAAGGGATGCAAAGGGAGGCTGAAGAAAAGAACTTGGGGGTGCATTGGGCTGCATAACGGGATGGCAGCTGGTGAAAAGAGATGTTAGTATTGCATGGAGTGGAAGGAGAAACCCTAGGAGTTAATATGAGGGGGAGATTAACATGTGGAATGAGTGGGGGGCAGAGTCCCTGGTTATTAATGAAATTAGAGACACAACATGGCCACAGTTCAGCCACATCTAAGCACTTCCACTCATTTCAGTGTACGGGATTTGCAGTGTTAGCATAAGCATGTTTACTCAGAGTTAAGTCCCAGTAGTTGTAGTTTGGAGTTACTCCCTAGCAAGTGCGTTTAGGTTTGCAGCTTTAGGCTGCAATCATTTAGGCAGCTTCCTCAGAGTCAGCCCCATCAAGCTATATGGGACATATTTATTTCACGATTCATTTATTTCATGAAACTTAGAGTATACACCGCTTGATTGAAGAAGAAGAGAAAAAAAACACCTCAAAGTGGTTTGCAGAAAGATAATAAAATCGAGACAAATCTACAGCCATACTTTAAAGCATGCAAAAGTTAAAATACTGAAACAGATTAAAATGACCTCAACTTTATATTATTTTATTTACTTATGATTAGGCATGTGTAAGGTTGCACAAGGGACGCCGGTGGCGCTGTGGGTTAAACCACAGAGCCTAGGACTTGCCGATCAGAAGGTCGGCGGTTCGAATCCCCCAACGGGGTGAGCTCCCATTGCTCGGTCCCTGCTCCTGCCAACCTAGCAGTTCGAAAGCACGCCAGTGCAAATAGATAAATAGGTACCGCTCCAGCGGGAAGGTAAACAGCGTTTTCGTGCGCTGCTCTGGTTCGCCAGAAGCGGCTTTGTCATGCTGGCCACATGACCCAGAAGCTGTCTGTGGACAAATGCCGGCTCCCTCGGCCTATAGAGTGAGATGAGCGCACAACCCCCGAGTCGGTCATGACTGGACCTAATGGTCAGGGGTACCTATACCTTTACCTTTAAGGTTGCACAATTAAGATTATGCTTACCTTTACAATGTCGCCAGTGGAATCCTCTTTCCTGAGGCTAATAGCCTCTCCAGGGAGAGATTTTTGTTGGGACTGTGGGATGGTGGTGGTTCTAATCCTACCCAACCCACCCTGTGGTGGTTGTAGACATTTTTATAAACTGCACACAGTAATTGTTTTTATGCAATTAGCACAATGTGTCATTTGAAACTTAAACATGCTTTGGCACGGTCGTGACCTAAAAGTATCTGAATACCCTAAAAGCATCGGAAAGAATGCTTTTCAAACCTCCCTTATCTTGCCCAAAGTCTATAGAATCAAGAATGATTTGCACTGAAAAATTCAAGAAGAGTGGAATCCCAGCTGATGTGAAGGGAGTTGTATTCTGATTTTTGCAGGGTTCAGGTGTGGAAGATAATTTGTTTTACGACCTGTGGTTGTACACTAAACTATATTATTACAGCTACAACTCTGGGGTGATAAGCCAACATTAGTCATGCTAAGAGTAGACCAATTCAAATCAATGGACTTAACTATTCTACTGATTTTAGTGGTTCTGTGTGGGTTTGACTGACATTGGATATCTCCTTTTCCAAAGCATCTCTAATACAGTGGTGCCCCGCAAGACGAATGCCTCGCAAGACGGAAAACTCGCTAGACGAAAGGGTTTTCCGTTTTTTGAGCTGCTTCGCAAGACGAATTTCCCTATGGGCTTGCTTCGCAAGACGAAAACGTCTTGCAAGTTTGTTTCCTTTTTCTTAACACTGTTAATACAGTTGCGACTTGAGTTCGAGGAGCAACTCATAGAACGCAGTGTACATAGTAGCCTTTTTTGAGGTTTTTTAAGACTTTGGTGATTTTTGAAGCTTTTCCAAAACTTCTTTTGCAGCCATTTGGTAAGTTAAGCTTTTAAAACTTTTTGGGGGGGTTTTGGATTTTGGGTTGGGGTGTTTGGAATTCAAGGACTTGGTTTTGGGGAGGGGTTTGCAAGAATCTGGAAGCTTGTGTTTTTTTTTCTGCATTTTTATGATTTTCTGTGACCATTGGGCCACTCTGCTGTTTTTTTAAAAAAAATTCTGGATTCGAATTTCTGTGTGCTGGGTGGCTGGGGGAACAGTTGGGGAGGGGTTTGCAAGAATCTGGAAGCTTGTTTTTCCCCCCTGCATTTTTATGATTTTCTGTGACCATTGGGCAACTCTGCTGTTTTTAAAAAAAAATTCTGGGTTTGAATTTTGAAATGCTCTTTACAGTATGTGTGACTTTAAAGAGCACTTAATAAACTCTTGTTGTACCAAATTTGGCTTTGTTTGGAATTTTTTGGACCATAGGAACGCATTAATTGATTTTCAATGCATTCCTATGGGCTTTCGTGCTTCGCAAGACGAAAAATTCGCTAGACGAAAAAATTCACGGAACGAATTAATTTCGTCTTGCGAGGCACCACTGTATAGGGCAGTGTTCCTATTTCTGTAGTTCTCTAGGCTTCCTCCAAGAACTTTTTCTGTATTGAAACAATGTTTAACAATCAGTTCCTGGGACGCAAATTCTTGCAGCCATTAGGAGATTCTTCATCATCCTAATAGGAAATCATATGAATCAAATTCAGCAAAATCTCTTCTAGCAATGCGATCCTGTGCATGTCTGCTCAGAAGTAATTCCAACTGAGTTCAGTGGGACTCCCTTCCAGGCAAGTGGGTAGCAGGTGGCAGCCCTACAAACTGGAATTCCATGCGTTACCTTGATTACAAAATCTCAATTGTTCGAAAATTTGGGGCAATGTCACCACAAACATAAAAGTCCATGTTGAACACAGCACACCTTTGCGCACCAAAATTATCAACCCTTTAAACCCTGTCCTTTTTCCGTTGTCTCAGATACCACCTATGGATCAGAACCATCTACAGATCATCTTTAACATGACAATTTATCTTAGTACAGTGGTACCTCGGGTTACATACGCTTCAGGTTACATACGCTTCAGGTTACAGACTCCGCTAACCCAGAAATAGTACCTCGGGTTTAGAACTTTGCTTCAAGATGAGAACAGAAATCGCACGATGGCGTTGCAGCAGCAGCGGGAGGCCCTATTAGCTAAAGTGGTGCTTCAGGTTAAGAACAGTTTCAGGTTAAGAACAGACCTCTGGAACAAATTAAGTACGTAACCAGAGGTACCACTGTATTACATTCTCTTGGTGTTAAGGTATAACCAGGTAATCATAGTTCCTTAGCTGTGGCTGAAAATTGTTTAGCCTTCCTATAAACACCACTTGGGACAGCTTTTCTCTTGTCTTGTCTTGTCTTGTGCATTACCCATTTGCGAAATCCCAGCAATCTGTCTTCAGCATAAGTCCCATCTGAAGCATCCTTAGATGCAGGCCAATGAAATAATCATAGAATTGCAGACTTGGGAAGGAATGCCAAGGCTCATCCGGTCCAACCAACTGCAATGCAGGAATCTCAGCTAGATCATATATGATAATGACTGGCTCCGAATAACTATTTAACAGTAGATGCTTGTGACAGGCTGGAGATGAGGGTGTACCTTTTTGAGAACCGAAGGTAGCTTGAAAGAGACAGGATATTGTACTGTGGCTTGTGGCGTTTGCATGCTCTTCCACTTTTTGTATCACTTATTTTAATAAAAACCGATAAATGAGCCCACCACGGGAAGTGAAGCTTTCAATCTCTCGTAACAATTGACTCTTCCAAACATCAGCCATTATCAAGCTGTTGCTGGCAATCTATCAGTTCCATCAAAGGGCCTCCAGCCCCTTTCTTTTACTGTCAAGAAAGATCCAGCAGCCATTGTAGTCAGAGAGATGGTCTTTAGCTTAGCTGTGCATTTAATAGGTGACGTGAGGAAAGCATGATTGCTGTGACACGGTTCCCTGTCCTCAAAAGGCTGATAAAAGGACTGACTTGGAGGTGAAGAAGAAAGCCTTCTCTCTGAATCTAGAGAAGCTGTAGCCTTGCTGTTGTTAGACCAGAGCTCCCATCACCCCCGAACCTGATGGTTGGATCTGACGGGAGCCCAACAACCCATAGTAAGCTGCCTTACAGGCCCAAGCTCAGTCTTATCTACACTGGTTGGCAGTAGGCTTGCCCTGTTGTTGCTGTTTAGTCGTTTAGTCGTGTCCGACTCTTCGTGACCCCATGGACCAGAGCACACCAGGCACTCCTGTCTTCCACTGCCTCCCGCACTTTGGTCAAACTCATGCTGGTAGCTTCGAGAACACTGTCCAACCATCTCGTCCCCGTCCTCTGTCGTCCCCTTCTCCTTGTGCCCTCCATCTTTCCCAATATCAGGGTCTTTTCCAGGGAGTCTTCTCTTCTCATGAGGAGGCCAAAGTCTTGGAGCCTCAGCTTCTGGAACTGTCCTTCCAGTGAGCACTCAGGGCTGATTTCCTTCAGAATGGAGAGGCTTGATCTTCTTGCAGTCCATGGGACTCTCAAGAGTCTCCTCCAGCACCATAATTCAAAAGCATCAATTCTTCAGCGATCAGCCTTCTTTATGGTCCAGCTTTCACTTCCATAGGCTTGCGCTATGTCACAAAAATTCATGACATGTCCTGGTTTTTGGGTGTAAAAATGGTGTCGGGAAGGAATTTTGCCGAACCGGCAAAATGTCAGGGAAAACCCAGATGTATGGCAATGTGCTGGAAAAAAGCAGCTCCAAAAGCTTAAAATCACCCAGTAATTTGGGTTTGTTCCCAAATGAAGCTCAACAGTTTGGGTAGGTTTATTAAAAAATACCTTCAACATTTTTGGTGGTTGGCAGTGTCAGAAATTTTACTTTTTGAAATATGGCAGCCCTCGTTGGCAGTCTCTCTCCAGGGTTTCCCCTCAGTCCTATCTGGAGATGCCGGGGCTCAAACTTGTGCTCTGTGACTTAGCTACGTACCCCAAAGGCCTTACCCCAACATATGCTATACACATTGAGGGCAGAGCCGGGCAGTGCCCATTCTCCCCTGCCCTCAAAATGCTCGTACCCCACGCACATTGAGAAGAGCATGTGGGAGAGGAGTTGATGTGCATAGTCTCTCCTTCCAGATGGTCCTCTCTTGGAACAGACATCGTGGGGTCAAGGCGAGACTCAAAAGTGTGCATACCTTTGGTGTGGGGTCAGCAGCGGGGCCCAGCTATGCCCTTCATGCATCGGCTACACATGTGAAAAGGGCTTTTGCAAAGAGCTTTTGCAAACACCATGCATTTAAAGTGCATTCAAAGCACATGACTTCCCCCAGGGAATCCTGGAACTGTCATTTGTTACAGTGGGTACTGGGAAGAGTAGCTCTGTGCTTTTCCAAGTTCCCAGGATTCTTTGGGGTGGGGTGGGGGCATTGAGAGAGAGTCGTGTGTTTTCAATGTACCGTATTTTTCGCTCCATAAGACACACTTTTTTCTTCCTAAAAAGTAAGGGGAAATGTCTGTGCGTCTTATGGAGCGAATGCGTGGTCCCTGGAGCCGAATTGCCCAGGGGCAAAAAGCAGATCATGCTTTTTTAAAAAAAATAGGACGCAAAAACGTGATTACAAAGCACGGATCCACATGGATTCTCAGGATTTTTGCAATGGGCTACCCCAAACTCACCGTCAAATCACATGTCTGTGGCCACAGCATGAACCACAAAAATCATACATCCACTGTTTCATTCAGAATATTTTTTTTCTTGTTTTCCTCCTCTAAAAACTAGGTGCGTCTTATGGTCGGGTGCGTCTCATGGAGCGAAAAATACGGTGCTTCAAATGTATGGTGAAACATTTAATTCCCATTAAATGTTTTTCAAAGTCTTGGGTGTTTCAACACGGTGTGGTTTTCCTGTGCATCCAACCCTCCAATACTCCGTGTTCCTTTTTCTTCCTCACCCCAATTTATACTGAGAGAAGGTGGGGGGCACACAAAAGAAGACATGGACTGTCCCCTGTGGGCAAGAGGGGATGAGAGGGGCAGAGGTGGCATTTGCTGTGTGGAAAGAGAGAGGGACGGAAGCACCACGAAAGCGAGCTCAGCGCAATATGCATCTTCTTCCCACAAAGGTCAGCAGACGCAGGCCTTTTGCAGCATTACCACTTCCACCTGTCTTCTTGCCCCATCTGCGTGGGAAGCCTCATCCTGTTGTCTCTGGGCTTCTGCAACCATCCTTGCCTGGGCCAGCAAGATAAGATAGCAGCAGGCTGCTTCTGTGCAAAGGGAGTAGCCGGGGAGGGGAACTAAGGATTAACTGGCAGTGGTTCTCAACCTGTGGGTCCCCAGATGTTGTTGGACTACAACTCCCATCATCCCTGAGCTCTGGCCTTGCTAGCTAGGGGTGATGGGCGTTGTAGTTCAACAACATCTGGGGACCCACAGGTTGAGAAAGGCTGGCTTAACAGGTTACAGCAGTGCTTCTCAAACAAAACAAAACAAAAAATTCCCCAGGTCACCCTTTCAGAATAAAAAATTGCTCACACCACACCAAGTTTTCTATTGAGAAAAGATCCATTGGAAAGCGATAAGAAACCATTTCTAGCAGTGCTTGATTTATAACATGGAACATAACTGCTTTATAGTATGGGACATCCAGGAAACAATGCAGCTACAGAAGAACAGGAATCATTCCCAAAATATAATGATAACTGAGCCTCTTACATATGTACCTTAAGTCCAGACCTTCCAAGTGCTCCAGGGACAGTCCCAGATTTACAGAAGCCATTCCGATTTTTGATTTGACCCCAGAATGTCCCACTTTTCCTTAGGACATCCCTATTTTCATGAGAGAAACGTTGGAGGGTATGGAGTTATGTGACTCCTGAGACAAGAAGATACAAGCTTTGGAAGACATCTGAAGTGCAGCCCAGAATAGGGAAGCTTTTAAAATGTTTAATGTTTTATTGTGTTTTTATACATGTTGGAAGCTGCCCAGAGTGGCTGGGGTAACCCAGTCAGATGGGTGGGGTACAAATAATAAAATTATTATAATAAATGGCTGTATACAAACTCAATGAGAGGCATGGGTGATCTCATTTATATTTGGTTTCATTTGAGACAAACAAACTCTCATCTCCTCAACAACACAAAGAAGCCTTTCCCGATCTTTCATATTTGTCAAAAAAGCTACAGTGGTACCTCGGGTTAAGAACTTAATTCGTTCCAAAGGTCCGTTCTTAACCTGAAACTGTTCTTAACCTGAAGCACCACTTTAGCTAATGGGGCCTCCCGCTGCCACCGCCGTGCAATTTCTGTTCTCATCCTGAAGCAAAGTTCTTAACCCGAAGTACTATTTCTGGGTTAGTGGAGTCTGTAAACTGAAGCATCTGTAACCTGAAGTGTCTGTAACCCGAGGTACCACTGTATTTTGAAAAGCTATCAACCCATATTCTCTCTCTCTCTCTCTCTCTCTCTCTCTCTGTGTGTGTGTGTGTGTGTGTGTCTGTCTCTCTGTCTCTCTGTCTCTCTCTGTGTGTTTGTGTGTGTGTGTAAAACACTGAAATGTTTACCTGTTTCTTGTTCTTGAATCTTCCTGCCACCCTTGCCATCAACCCTTGCCTGCGACACCCTTTGAGAACCACCAACTTACAGCGACCTAATGTCTGGTTATCAGGTCTGGCTTGAAACTAACACTATGAGTGGGAGCTATCAAAATGTGACTGCTGAAGTTTCCGTATTGTGGCAGAGGAGCTGCTTTTCAGTGAATATGAGTGAACCTCAGAGAAGAGGGCACCAAAAGGTTTCCCAGGCTTCTGATAGCTGAGGCTGCAACTGCGCATCATATGAAACGCAAGACAGGCTTTTCTCTCTTCTTGTAACATCTAAGGATGCCTCCAGACTGAACAGCTCCTGCTTTATCCAAAAACTGTTTCTCACTAAACCTCGTTCCACTTGCACATTGTTTTTCCAATTGTTTCCTTCGTCTCACTGGCTTCCAGTGTTCTGCTGTACTTGGTTTTTCCACTGTAAAATGACAAGCATCTGTAAATGTTTACTCAAAGTTCATTTTACTGATTTAAACGGCCTTATTTCAAATTCAGTGTGTGTAGGACTGCAGCCCCATATCACCCTGGGATTGCAAAAGGAACACACACACATACCCTCGCCAAGTCTTGGTCATGCTGCACAAATTTAAAATACCACTTTAGGCTGATGAAATGTGTTATGTGCTGAGTTGAATAGGATCCAAAAGGCAGCAGTCTGATTGGTCCTAGAACAATAGGATTCAGAATGCAGCGGTCTGATTGGTCCTAGAACAATAGGATTCAGAATGCAGCAGTCTGATTCGTCCACAGGAGCCACCCAATCCAGTTCCAGGTGGAAGTGAATCCGCAACCTGATTGGCCTACAGGAGAATCCCGGAGTTAGCCAATCACGTGGGGCCCATTGTGTAAATAATGTATATAAAGCAGACATTCTGGGGGAACTGCCATTCCTCTTCACCACTATGAGCTGAATAAAGACCATGAAATCCACTCTTGACTACGAGTATATTTCAAAATGTTTCTGCTGTCTACTGGAAAATTGGCTTGAATCGCCTTTTGACAGATTCCATCCAGGGTGACCTATCATAGAAAAGAATCAAATTTTACCTTTTCAGAGAAAATGATAGTTACCTTGGGAGTCGACTTAAATGGCACAAATGTACATATGGTAGTCTGGAGACTGAACAAACTCAAGCATTTTAATACCTGTGAATATGTCAAATAACAAGACATCCATGATTTGATCTGCCATGTCTTCTTTTTTCTCTTGGTAAAGAGCTGCCACCACAAGGCCCAATTGGTACCACGACACAGGGGTTGTGATGTAGAAAAAGGAATGAGAAGTTCTGCCGCAGAGCTCCATAATCCTTAGTGTGGCTCTCTGGCAAAAGACTTGCGAGCCTCAAAGGCAATCTCAACTTTGCATGGACAAAAGGGGCACATGTTATTTCCCCAACTAGCACTTGGGAAAGTGCTTCCACAGTTAATTTATGTTCCGGTAATCTGGGTCTATCTAGAAATAGCACAAAATTTTAAGGAAGTTAACTGTAAACAATAATGCAGACATTAAAAAACAAAAACCCTCAAAATGGTGGCATGCGGCAACATTTAATGCACAGGGTTTCGCCCAAAGAATTAAGGGAACTGGGACATGGGTGGCGCTGTGGGTTAAACCACAGAGCCTAGGACTTGCCGATCAGAAGGTCGGCGGTTTGAATCCCCGCGACGGGGTGAGCTCCCATTGCTCGGTCCCTGCTCCTGCCAACCTAACAGTTCGAAAGCATGTAAATAGGTACTGCTCTGGCAGGAAGGTAAATGGCGTTTCCGTGCACTGCTCTGGTTCACCAGAAGTGGCTTAGTCATTCAGGCCACATGACAAAAACAAAAATGTTACTTAAAATGTGAAGAGGTGATTTAACACAACTGTAGGACTTTAATGTCGGGTTCACAGCTGCTTTGCATTTGAAATGAGCACCAGAGGCTGATCCACCAACACTTGCCTGCCTTCTCCAGTTAGCTTAGTTGGTTAGGTGCTGGTAAAACCAAAGTCACAGATTCAATTCCCATACAGACCACCTGCATATTCCTGCATGACAGGGAGTTGGACTAGATGACTCTCGGGGGGCCCTCCAACTCTATGATTATATGAACTCTAGAATTAGTTAGCTCTGCCTTCCATTGGCTCTAGCGCCACTTACTGTTGGCCTCCCTGCCAATTCCAATGGACACCAGCCACCACGGGAGAGAAGTCCATGTCTCTCTTCCACGGCTAACTGTGCTTCTCCTTTTCCTTTTTCAGGCAAGTATTCATCATGGCTGAGGACCATCTGGAAGTGGTCACTGAGTATCTCTATGAAGAGCAGGCCATAATGTGCGAGAAAACAGACATCCAGGCATTGGGCAAAGCCTTTCTGCCAATACTGTACGCCCTTGTGTTCACCGTAGGGCTGGTTGGAAACGGCCTGGTGGTTCTGACCATCGTGCAAGGTGGGCGCCAAAAGAGCGTCACTGACATATTTCTCCTGAACTTGGCCATTTGTGATCTCCTTTTTGTCATTTCTCTTCCCTTTTGGGCTTCTTACATCGTAAAAGGTTGGACACTCGGGAACATTCCGTGTCGGATCGTTTCCTCTTTCTATTCCGTGGGCTTGTACGGAGGGATGTTTTTCATCACTGTCATAAGCATCGATCGATACTTTGCTATCGTCCGGGCAACTTGCATCATGAAAGCCAGAACAATCCGACATGGATCTCTCACTAGCCTTGCAGTCTGGACCCTGGCCATTTTGTTTGCAGCTCCCCATTTCGTGTTCATCCGAAATATAGGTAGAGAATGCACTTCTCTGTATCCAGAACACCTTGAGGAAATCTGGCCCATTTTCACTTACATAGAATATAACGTCATTGGTTTCCTTCTCCCGCTGTGCATCATGAGTTTCTGCTACTTGATGATCGTCAAAACCTTGATGTCCTGCAAAAATCACCGGAAAAGAAGAGCCATGAAGCTGATTTTATTAGTGGTGGTTGTGTTCTTCCTGTTCTGGACTCCATACCACATATCACTTTTCCTGCAGATATTGAGGCTCTCCGATTTCTTTCAGAGCTGCAGCTCAAGGAGGCTTTTAGATTACACCATGCAAATCACCGAATCGCTGGCTTTCAGCCACTGCTGCCTTAATCCCATCATCTATGCTTTTGCCGGTGAAAAATTCAGAAAGAAGCTTTCTCGCTTGGCTCTCAGATGTGTCTCGTTCTTTTTCTTCTGTGCGCCTTGCGATAGAGCTCCAGTTCCTGTTCCAGAAGTCACCATAACCAGCAACCATACGCAGAACACCAGTGACCAAGATGGCTCCATCCTTCTGTGATTGCTCCCTAGAGGCCAGCCCGGAAGAATGTTTTGTATACTGAATGCTAGCCTACAATTTGACCTAGATGTGAGTGAGCGAATAGGGTTGGGTCCAAAGATCCGCCCATGGGGAAAACGTCATGGGCTTCCCCTGTGAAGGGAGCAAAAAGTACCTCTGTCCAATTTTCTGCTCTCTTCCCCTTCTGCTCCTTGCCAGAGGCTCTGGATCTCTGGGAACCATTAATTGCAAGTTGAGGGGGGCTGAGAGGGGGGGAAAGGGAGCAGGAAAGGCTACTTCTAGCTGCCCCCTTCTGGGGGCAGTTCTCTGGGTTCATTTGTACATCCCATAGGTTTCAATATTCATGTTCTGCCACTAAGAACCAGAAATGTATATATATGTATTTGAGGACTGGATAAGATTGTGGAAAGTGAATTTGAAATTTACCAATTGTGTATTGCTGAAGGAGAATTACATGAAAATGATGTACAGATGGTATATCATGCCAGTAAAATTGGCAAAAATGTATAAAACAGAACAAAAGAACTTTTGGAGGTGTAAAGAAGGGGAAGGTACATTTTATCATATGTGGTGGGAGTGCAAGATTATCAAAATATTTTGGGAAATGATATACAACAAACTGAAAAGAATGTTTAAAATAACATTTGTTAAAAAACCAGAAGCCTTTTTGTTAGGTATTTTAGGACAAGAGCTGCCAAAAGAAATACGGACATTATTTATGTATGCTACAACAGCAGCAAGAACTGTAATAGCACAAAATTGGAAGACTGGAGAAGTACCATCTAAAGAACAATGGCAAGAAAAATGGATGAACTACGCAGAGTTAGCAAAGTTAACGGACAAACTGCGAGAAAAGGACAACAGGGACTTTGAAAAAGAATGGGAACCTATTACAATATATTTGCAGAAACACCCCCCAAAAAATGGACTCATTGGCAGGATTTAAATAAACATTTACAATTATATTTACATAAAACAAGGAATATAACACTGTGATAACATAGTATTGTATATAAACAGCAGAACGTATCATTTGATGTAATAAACCAGAAATGGAAGCTGAGGGAAGTCAATGGGGGGGGGGGATGAAAAGCTAATGTTTAGTATTGATAGTGGATATTTGTTTTGAAAATGGAAAATCAATAAAATCTTTAACAACAACAAAAAAGAAATATATATGCACACACACATAGCATGCCCCCCCCAACTGGTATCTGATTGTGCATTAGCATTAATGCTTAGAAAGTTCAGGTAATTTTAATTTATTTCAGTATTTTAACTTTTGTAGGTTTTGAAGTATGGTTGTAATTCTTCCTCATTTTTATTGTTTTATCCTTTAGTAAACTGCTTTGAAGGTTGTTGTTTTTATAATCAAGAGGTGTATATATTTTTATGAAATAAATAAAGGATTCTTATTAAGCCATACAGATTATTCAACTATCCAGCATAAGAAAAGAGACATTGCACGTTCTTTTGTAATTCAAGAAAATCTTTAATAAAAATTATTTCAAAACAAACAAACAAAAAACTATGCAGCATATAGTCTCCTGTAAAATTTGTTTTAGCCATCATAGAGAGTCATTACCAGGAAAGAATATAGTGAAAGCCTTGCTGTTCAAGATAGCCGTATCTGCAGATAGTTTCATATTGTATATTGGATAAATGGCAGACGTCTCCGTTGTCTCCCAAGACAGGCAGATGCTAACCAAACAATTGGCCAGCATGCTGCATAAAATTTGTCCATGGATAATCCTTGTAAAGCCTTCAAGGTCTGAGCTACTGATAGCCGAGCAGCCACTAAAAGAATAGTCAATAAATCCTTCGTCTTTATATTAAAGGTAGGTACCCCTGCCCGTATGGGCCAGTCGTGTCCGACTCTAGGGTTGCGTGCTCATCTCGCTCAAGAGGCTGTGAGCCGGCGCCGTCCGAAGACACTTCCGGGTCACGTGGCCAGCGTGACGAAGCTGCAGCTGGCGAGCCAGCACCAGCGCAGCACACGGAAACGCCGTTTACCTTCCCGCTATAAAGCGGTACCTATTTATCTACTTGCACTTAAGGGTGCTTTCGAACTGCTAGGTGAGCAGGAGCTGGGACCGAACGACGGGAGCTCACCCCGCCACGGGGATTCGAACCGCCGACCATCCAATCAGCAAGTCCTAGGCACTGAGGTTTTACCCACAGCGCCACCCGCGTCCCTTCGTCTTTATATTATCATGTTGTAAATATATTCAACACTTTTCTAACACCTGCTTTACTTATTAGTGCGGGACTATGCGTTTACAAGGGACGCGGGTGGCGCTGTGGGTTAAACCACAGAGCCTAGGACTTGCCGATCAGAAGGTTGGCGGTTTGAATCCCCGCGATGGGGTGAGCTCCCGTTGCTCGGTCCCTGTTCCTGCCAACCTAGCAGTTCGAAAGCACGTCAAAGTGCAAGTAGATAAATAGGTACTGCTCCGGCGGGAAGGTAAACGGTGTTTCCATGCACTGCTCTGGTTTGCTAGAAGTGCCTTAGTCATGCTGGCCACATGACCTGGAAGCTGTACGCTGGCTCCCTTGGCCAATAAAGCGAGATGAGTGCTGCAACCCCAGAATTGGCCACGACTGGACCTAATGGTCAGGGTTCCCTTTACCTTTACCTATGCGTTCCTCCTCCAGGTCCGGAGGCAGCTGTGGGACTGGTTTGCAGGGTATTTACCGTATATTTTTCAATATATAGTCCAGCCCCCCACAAGGTTTGAGGGACAGTGGACCGGCCCCCTGATGAAAACGTTTGCTGACCCCTGACTTACATCATAGGAGCCTACACAACACAAAACACTGTTGCTGTATGTAGGTTTTATTTTATTTGTTTTTTATCTTATATTTTGGAAATGTACATCCAGGTTTTTTTCCCTTTAATTTTTTGGGGGGGACCCCAAGAGAGTGGGGCCCTAAGCTATAGCTTGTTTAGCTTATACGTAAATCCGGCACTGCAAATATGAACAACTAAGAAACATTAGGTTGTTTAAAGCAGGTATCTCCTTAACTTGTGTCTGACAATTTCTTCTAGTCATATCTTATGGAAGGGGAAACTGGACGCTATCCTTGAAACTCTAGGATCGCAAAATGGTAGCCACAGCACAAACAGAGAGAGGGAAGGCAGCAGCTACAGCACAGAGCTGTAGTAACTCCCTGTCAACCAATTCCTGGCCATACTGCAAATCGCCCAAACCTCGGAGGGATAAGGTGCAGCGTTTGCCTTCCTTCCATCCCTTCTCCTTTTGGCAGGACCAGAGGCCACAAGCCTGCGAATTAAAGGACACAGTGATTTCCTGAGCTGCTTCCACGTAACAGCCGTACAAATAAATAAATAGCAGCCATTAAGCTGACTCAGCTCAGAACAGTATTAAACTTTGCACTGCTGTGCCCAAAAGGGAAGAAAAAGAAAGAGGAGCAAGTCAGCAAGTGTGTGTGTGTGTGTGTGTGTGTGTGTGTGTGCGTGCATGTGTGTGTGTGTGTGCGCGCGCATGAGAGAGAGAGAGAGATGGGTTTGTTCGATGCGAGACGCCCTAAATTCCTTGGTCCGATGAAAGTTAGAATTAATCAATGTTTGGTGAGTGAAACTGTGCCAAACAGCTTCTGTTCAAAATAGCTCACCGAAGGGGATGAAAGCCTGATGATGGCCAAAACCATTAACCTAACAAAACTGTCATACAGCCAAATGGGGGAAGCCCCTCCCTGAGTCCTGGATTTAGTTAGTAAAGTAAGACAAAAGTCCAGGAGGGAGATGTGCAGGATTGCAGTTTGCCTGGTAGGGTGAAGAAAAATCCTGTTCCGTCTCTTCTCAGTGACAAGCGGGAGTGGTGGAGGTCACAGCACGAGGAGGGCAGACTGCTTTGGTGCTGCAGAAAGGAGTGCGAGAGCATTGGGGGTGCAATGCTTTGAACCCCTTCACAGTAGGCTCAGGTGTGTAAATAAACCACATTGGGTAGGAAGATGGCTGCCGAATGCTTGAAGCAGGGTTTTGAGCTCTAAGGCCAACTCTAAGGCAAGTTTCTGCTCTATAACCGACCCTTAGCATTTGTTTTTATCCCCTCTTCCATTTTATTTCTTAACTCCTTTTAGTGCTTCCTTTTGTTGTTTTGATTTGTTGTTTTATCTCATTGTTTCATTGTTCTAACTCCCCTAAACTCTGAGCCTGCATGAAGCTGGGCTGAGCACTTTGCTAGGCAGTGCCAAATGCAAGGTTGAGCCAGATACATGATACTAGTTATAAATTAAGGAAGAGAAACATCTTGATTATCAGAACTGTTGACGAGCGAGCCCAGGTGACAGCTGCAGAGAGTCTCTAAAACACTCCCTTCTGCTGGATGGCACTGACTCCGGACTCAAAAATTCAAGGCTGCCACATTTGGAGATAATTGATTTCTGCAAACTGCCAACAAATATTCATAATTATTATGGTACTTACTAGAAAGAACTGCAAAGATCTGGGAATCATGCCAGATTCGCTGAAGGAGACAGAGCGAAATCACACATTATTTTCTCCAAAAGGAGGAGAGTACGAGGGAGCTGAATGAGTTAATTCTAGATGAGGCCATTCCTTCTCCTTCCACTGTTCTGGACTGGTCAACTGATCTTAAAGGGCTCCAACAAGATTCCGAAAATATTAACTACCCAACAAGCCTGGCTCAAGAACTGGCCTTAGCTGAGAAATCCTAGAAGGCAAACATAACTGATATAACGACCCAGAGGCCACCTTCTGAGCTTGGAAAAAACTTTCAAAGTCAACAGGTTACTTCCAAATGTACTCAAACAGAGGAGAGAAACGGCCATCTTCAGGACCAGTTCCACTTGATATGCATGAAAAAAATTCTAATGATAACAAATGGGCTACTTCTGACCCTAGTGGAAAATTTTACACCTCAAGAAAGAGGCAAATGACACTGACCAAATGAACAACCGACCCAAACCAGCACTGTGCCTCATTTCCAAAGGAAACACAAACCATGGGTAAGACCCAGGCACCCTGGGATGTCACACAGCTGTGGAGATCAGGGTGCCATGTAACTATCTAGATCTATCTATCTAGCTATCTAGCTATCTACATACCTACCTACACATACACACACACACACACACACACACACGTAGTTGCTTTTATAAAATGAAAGAGGAAGACAAAGGCAGAAGTCCCATCCATGCCACAACCAAGGAAGTCAGCAAAAGGAGAAACAAAATAAACTTCTTAGGCAAGCATTGAGCCCGTACCATGTGCATGAGGTTTTGGCAACTGCTGAACAAAGCGGGTAGACAAGACAAAAGGCAACCACTTCTGGTTTTGTCCCGTAGCAGACTAATAATGATCTTCCGCTTTGAAACCGCTGCATGCAGGAACCTGGCTTCAGAAAACGAAGAAAGCATATGTTGCGTAAGGCCACACAAACTCTCTTTCTCTCTCTTCGCTTCTTTCCTCTTTTCTGGCCTCGCCAACAAACTGGGGTCAAGCTCTTGAAAGAGAGAAGTATGCTGTAAATCAGGGATAGGCAACCTAAGGCCCGGGAGCTGGATGTGGCCCAATCACTTTCTCAATCCAGCCCGCGGAAGGTCCAGGAATCAGCATGTTTTTACATGAGTAGAATGTGTCCTTTTATTTAAAATGCATCTCTGGGTTATTTGTGGGACATAGGAATTCGTTCATTATTTTTTTCAAAATATAGTCCGGCCCACCATATGGTCTGACCCCTGCTGTAAATGTATGCCTCAAGTTTCACTGTGGTGTGCTCAAAGCAAGCATTGTATTCATGACAGGGCACTTTGTAGCTTTCTTCCCCCTTTGAAAATGCATTTGTAGGGGCATGGATCTGAGGCAGAGGGCTTTGGCTTACTGGCAGACCACTCCCTGTTTTTTGTATAAGAGTCCTCCCCAATTGTATTACCATAGGCTTGTACCAGACAGGGTGAGCTTCTACCGACAACCTTGAACCAGGCTGTTCAGCTGTTTCTAAAATTTCTGAGCCCAACTGCGTGGTACTCTTCTCTTTTGCACACCTCTAGAAAAAGCAAACAAAGAAGCTTTGTATGTCCTTTCCCAAAGCCCATATGAGGCAGACCTTTGCAAGTCCCTTTGAAATAACATTAGAATGCAATGAGCAGCTTTAACTCTTAGCTGTGTGGTTTTAGCACATTGGGAAGATCTGAATGAGAAATTCCTTTTGAAACCAATGAAGCCAAATGTCCAAATATAAAAGGAAACTTATTTGGAGAATTGGGGGGAAATGAAGGGAAAGGGGAGGCAACACATACATACACACGAACACACACACAAACAAGCTTAAAATGAAGCCTATTGTAGTAGTTAGTTACCTGCTTGAGCATAGACTAGGTTTTCAGGACATTTGCACCTTGTAGAAGGTTGGTTCTGGAAGAGGGCATATTTAAACTACTAATTTCCCGGACAAGAACGGAGGGTAATGCTCTTGGATGGAAATGAAACAAAAATGTACAGGTACTTTAATGCACACCCAGTCGTTTCAACAGTGGTTGCTCATTCTAAGATGTGCTCATTGTTTCTTAGTATTCATCTTCTACCTGTATAATTCAGTGCAACATGAAAGTATCATGTAAGAAAATTAGCACATCAGAGGGTTCTTGTTTCAAAGGCAACTGAAGGCAGGAAGTTGTGTCTGTGTGTAAATGGTTAGCATGATCCACAATTAAACATTACAGTGGAACCTTGGTTCTCGAACGGCTTAGTTGACGAACAAACTTGAGAGCAGTACAAGCTGCTGCTGCACCGTGAGTGTTGGGGAAGGCCGCTCCCTCTTCAGGCTGATTCCACCTGGCCTAGGGGCGGGGCCCAGACTCACCTCCGCTACAGTTTTAAGGACACTGGTGCTGCTGCAGCAAATGTTAAAAATGTTTTTATATATTTTAAAGTGTTTTAAAGGTGATTTTACTTTTTACTTTATTGTACCACCGTGAACAGTGGTTTTTATCTATGTATTTTTATTTTGTTCCGTTTTATTGTGGTTTGGGGTGGGGATTGGTTTTGTTTAGGTATAATTGTTTTCGGTTTGGTTTGTTCTTCTATTCTGTAAATGGAGGCTTGTATGAGGCTTGGGATTGCTACCGTGGAGGGGCGAGGGAGGTATGGTGGTGGGGGCAGATGTTATAGGCGAAGGGGATCGAGATACGGATATGCTCGTACCCCTTCCAATCTGCGCCCCATCCCGAGGGACGAGGGTAGGGTGAGCAAGGATTACTCACCTCCGTCACTGGTGTTGTGCAATGCCAGGTCTATAGGCAACAAAACCGCCACTCTGCGAGATTTCTTTACCTCGCAGGGGGTCGACCTGGCTTGTGTGACGGAGACCTGGGTACGCGAAGGGGCAA